TCAAGTACCCACCTCATAACACTTCCTGGCCCATCCGGCTATCCGAGGTGTCCCACCACATCGGCTGCTTTTCCAGGGAGGTGGTGCAATGCGCAGAAGCTTTACGATCGTGCAGAGGTGCGATGCGGTAAAGCTTGACAAGAGCGGCTCCATTCTGTCAGACCCCTAAATTGCTCGTGTACCGTTTCGTTGGATCGGACATGGGCCTGCCCAGCCCCCTTCTGCTTTTCTGCTCTTAAACTGAACAAGTGCCCATCCTTCCTTTTTTTTTTTTTGTGTGTGTGTGTGATTATCTCCAACTTTTTGGTGGGGGCTTGCTCGGTATTTTACGGAGAGGGAACTCGCTCTTCAGCGGGCAAGGTGCAGAGGCCGGCGTATTCGCGATGCTCGTTCCGGCGACTGGCTCAGCTATCCTTTTCTTCCATAAGACGGCAAACCCGTCCCCGTCGGCTGATTCCACCAAAAGCGACAACAGGCGCTTTGTGCTCCGGCATAGCTGCACGTGTTCCGGCTGGTATCGCACGTTTTATGGTAACCGACAGAACGAGAACAGCAGGGCATGTCTTTCGCTTCGAAAACTTAACCTTTTCGGGCTTCCCCTTTTCCGCGACCGCGGGCTTTTCACTCACACGTTCGGTGCCGATGCGTGACTCGCGGGTGCAGCGGTCGGAGCTGACAAAAGTCGAACGGGGTAGCAAACGCGCGGCACTCGGGGACTTGTGAAGTAGCTCCGTATCACGAACCAGACAAGCACAGAGCTTTTCGTCATCTGTCCATGGCACTCCTGCACCTCGGCCTAAGGTGCGTGCTTTCTAGCAAGGCTGAAGGGTGGTCAGGCTTGCCATCGCACTCTTCTTTCGTTGTAAACCCGAGACGAAGGAATGATAAAAAAGATGGACAGAACAACGGAGCTGCGTGGGAGATTTTGTCATTCTGTCCATTTTTTTTTATTGTTCCTTTGTCTTGGGTTTACCATGAATGTCAATTTCCAGCTCACCTGCTTTTCATTTTTTTTATCCTAATTTGCACTCTTCTTCCTGCTCGTGATGCTGTTTTTTCGTCTTCTTTGCCGGCGTGCGCAACACTGCTGGGCAAGTTCTCAACACTAAGCCTAGTCGAAGTGTGGTCTTTCCATCTTGTGCACATTATACGCTCGAAGGTGCCGACGCAGTTCCTGACGAGACGTTCGTACTCTTCGTCGACAGTGTTCGTACGTGTCCAATGGAGTCGTCGGTTGCAGGTCTCGGAATGCGCAGTCTATTGCTGCTTCCACATCTACCTTTTTTCATCGGCGCCACCTGTCGAACATTTGCCATTAGCAGGTGCTAAAAAAAAGAAATACACAGCTGTAGCGGCCATTGAAACGTTCCATATACCAGCAATGTTTGATCTATCACTGTTGCAAAATGTACTTAAAACTTGTTTTTCTTTTTTCTTTTTTGCAATTAACTTTTGTGGGCTTTGAATGTTGTTGGGGTACTTTCCTGTTCAGTTGCTGGCGTTCATTCAACTACTTCGACAACGTGTGGCCTTTGCACGTTTCTGTGAGTAGAAGCAATATTGGAATTTATTATGTTTTTCGAAGCTTAGGATGGTAGTGTCTAACCTGTAACAATAGTTTTTTGCAACTTAAGAAGGGGAAGAGAAGCCCTCCCAACAAAGCTTTCTAATCTCCATGATTGGTGGTTTTCTTCTCTACTCAAACCCTCTCCAGCTTTATCTCCGCTAAAGTGGAAAGGGCGGAGGACTTGGTGGGAGGAATTCGTTCTGCTATTGTTATCCTGCAGCACAATAGACGTTTGCAAGTATGGCCACTGAGCTCCGCCGTCTTGCTGCTGGTGTGGATATATTGTCTGATGGTGAAGCAGTGCTGAGGCATACCCACGGTTTCCAGACTGGCGCCCAAACAAAGCATTTTCCATGCGCGGTGGGCAGACCAGCTCTCAAAGCATGGCTGCTTGCTGAGGTCTACAGCCTTCCTAAGCATTATCTGCGAATGAAGAAACGGTAGTGAAGAGAGGTGCGTTTGCATTTGGAAATAAATTGATGTTTTGGGGCACGCTAAAACTAGAGAGCGCAGCTTACACTTACAAGCTTTGTAAGTCTGTAACTCTGGTGAGACTATTCCCGCTGCATCGCGCTGTTATTTTGGTCACTGAAAGCAGACTGTGATAGAGCTTCGTCTGACTCCAAGAAGTTGTCTTGTTTTAGCCTTGGAACAACCTTGGCGTACAGGTTCCCGTTCTCTCTGCCACATGCCTTCAAGCTGTCTTTTGTTTGGGGAGAGCAGGCCTGTTCCCTGTCACCTCTGACAACAGATGGGCGTTACTTCTTTATTTTTATTTTTTTTCCTTGTCTTGTTTGCATATGGGAGGGTTGCAGCGGTGTTGTGAGAAAACTTTGTCACCATACTATATGTGTACGAGAGAGTATAGGCATGCTTATGGGTTTGCTTTCCTCTCTTTTAGCTTGGTTTTAAACTTTGCTCATTATGTGCAGATTGTTTTACGTGCATATCTTTTTTTCTGCTCATGCTTTTTTTTTACACTTTAGATTTAATTGATTTAATTGGACTTGTACTTAATAAATTTTAGCAGTTAGCTCATTCAGAGTTATGAGGGAAGCATGGTGAGCAAAGCAGCTGGCTGAAAATGTGAGCCTTATTAGTAATAAAAAAGCTAAAAAAAAAATAAAACATTTTGTGAAAAAAAAAAAAAATTTTTGTTTATCAAAGAGAGAAAAAAAAATGAGGAAAGAAAAAAACAAGACCTAATTTATTTTAATTATTATCAAGCCTATTAGGCGAATTTTCGCAACACATGATACAAATAACATTAATGACTATGTCAAAACGAAAAATAATCGCATCACAAATCATTTCGTGGACAGTGCAGTGGAGGATTAAACACACTATTCCATATTAGATTTGCTAGCCCGTCAAATGAAAAGGAAACGGTGCGGTGATGAAGCAAGGTAGAAAATGGAACGAAACACAAGCGTTTGTTGTGGTCTGCCGCCTCTATCTGCGTCGAGCTGCTTGCATTGCCCTAAAATCATACATCAGATAAGCATTGTTTCACTGTTGAGTGTACATTGTGCAGCAGTATGGCTATAAATGTTAAGAATATATCAAAATAACTTTTAAGAACTTTAAAACAGAGTGACAACTTAGCACTGCCCGAGGTTTTTCTGTGTAGTGTATGCACACATGTGAAGAAGCCATTATTTTATATATTCTATAGCATATTTTCTGGTTAGCACATTGTCACGCCCCCAGTCACCAACATATGTAATACTTTTGTGTAATATAGCACCATAATTGAAGAACGGTGGCTTCAAGTTAACTGTTCCAAGTCAACCCAGTACGGCATTTAGTATGATGAAAAGTTTATTGCTATTTTCAGATGCATATAGTCAAAAATCTGCTAAATTGACAAAGCTCTAATAAACATTGAAAAATAATATAAGGTAATAGTACCACTGCAAGAACTGGCAAAAATGCTTGCCGTTGATGATCTACATCGGTATCTTTTAAAAGATGGCTGGATTACTCGTGCTAAATCAAAATTTCAAGTTAAAAAAAAAGGATCCTTTTTTTTTTGTTTTTTGGTCTTCAAAAATTTTTGGAAATTTTGCATTTCTAGTTTTATATGGTTATCATAATGAACACTGAAGTGCCAAGGACAAGTGAAAGGCGTAGACAGGACAAGCGCTGTCTACGTCTTTCCTGTCGCCCTCCTTGGCACTTCAGTGTTTGTTCTGTATAAGCAACTTGCCCAGCACATTATTTTGGTTCAACTCGTAGGGTAAGCTTTCTGTGTTAACCCTTTCCCAACTGTGTCCATAGAGCGTCGATCACCTGCGATCGATGGGCACAGAGGCCCATTTCAAAACTCTGGCAAAGCTTGTGCTCTCTGTACCGCCTTGTAGGTAGTTTGGAAACTGCAGTTTTGGTTTCTGTGTAGCAGCGATGAAGCCAAGCATGAAGCCAACGATGTGTCATTGTTATTTTTCATAGCAGCGATTTTTAAGCCAAGCATGAAGCCAACGATGTGTCATTGTTAGTGACAACCGTGTTCCACAATTCCGTCACGACTCTCAAGCGTGGCAATTCTCGCAAGGCCTGTTAATTTTTTTTTTTTTTTTTTTTTGGGAGAGCAGCAGTGGGTTTGATGATGAAGCGAGGTTATCATATTTTAGTTCTGATGACCTGTGCCTCACCACATTAAGAACCAGCTTAATTAGCCAATGGCACGTCAGTCATAAGGACTGACTTGATTTTCGGTAAATGAAAGTCTTTCTGAGCTAGAACTCCAGTTTCTTCCTAGAGTTTTGTTGTGAAAATTGAAAACATTTCGTATATTTTAATTCTTTTTTTTTTTTTTTTGTGATAGCCATATTGTTATCTGGTTTGGTGGACCAATCTTTGGAAAACAATTGTTTTTGATGAATGAAGTATTGCAATAGAATTCAGGTCTCTGCTTTAATGTTTGCATCATCGAAAAGCTCATTTATTAAGCCTAATTTTTTTTTGCATGGCATCATATTGAAAACTGAATAATTTCCTCAGGAAAAAGAAATTTAACAGAATGGCATACAAAAAGGCATTTTCCCCATGGTCAGAAAAGGGTTTAAGAAAGAGTAGTGACAACAAATGCATGGACATTTCTTGTTGTTTACAGGAAATTAACCAGCAGATTCACTTCTTCCCCTGATACACATAACCATTATTTGCCTGGCTGAAAATCCCTCTAACGGGAGAGATTTTTTTCTTCTTTCTGGTTGTGAGTCGGTCAAGCAGTAGAGAGACAGGTACCTCTGCTTGTAACGGAGCTTACCAGCATCTTTTGATTGACTAGCAAAACAGCTGAGAAAACCTATCTACAGCCATCGTTCTCATTTATGTAAAGCTTCGAAATAACACAGTTATAACTTGGCTCATTCTGATGCAATTTGTGTTCTCCGAAAACCCAAAGCAAGCAACGGTATTTTTGCCGCAGGCTCGCCAGTGGCACTGTCGTGCAGTACTGCGGGGAACCGTTACTCGACTGCGCCCGGTGAGACACCTCTCTCGTTTTCTTTTTATAAAAATCTTGTGCCAAAAGTTCTGCCCGAGTTTAGTTGGTTGCTTTTATTGAACTTGCAGCCCTTACAATTTTGTACACAGTGGGGTATATTGACAAAAACCCCATTGTCTCCAATGACTTCGAGCTGGTGTTGCCCCTGTGATACTTTCAACAAATTTTTATGATGTACTGCAGCAACAGTGAAGTGAAGCCATCATTATGGTGTTTGGAGCTTGGAAATTGCTGTACAGAAATGTGAAATCACAGGGGCAACATCTGACTCAAGCACATTTAAAGTATGTTTGAATCAGGTGGCTCAAACACACGTTTGAGCCATCCGACTTGTAACCTTCGGAGGATGTTTCTAAGATTCTTTTGGCTTCAGCGGCAGGCAAGTCCCGCTCGGGAGTCAAGAACATTGTGCTCGTGGAAGGGGTTCGCACGCCATTCCTCCTGTCCGGCACCAAGTACAACAACCTAATGCCGCACGACCTGCAGAGGATGGCCTTTCTGTAAGCATCCTGTCTTCGCTTCCAAGGGAAGGCGACGATAATTGAAATTCATCTATTAATATTTTCGCAGTGCGTTTGCATTCTAAGAAGTACTTTGCTGTGTCCGAGCTTACGGTATGTGACCGCTTCTATTTTGTGGTCCTTTTAATTGGCACAAGTGCAGTGTCAGTGGCGACCTGTCTGGGCAAAAACCGTCGGGGCGATTTAAGTTTAGTCGTGAAGGACACTGTCACATTTTCGACGAGCATATAGATGCAAGCTTCAGGTTTCAGGGGCTGTTTTGGCTGAACATGTACTGTAGAATACCATGCATCCGCTCATTTTACATAAGCGCCCATTACCAAATTGGTAAGATCTGAAGAAATACGCACAGTACATTTATATGTAAAATTGATGACCGGACAAGCGCCCATCCCCCATTTCTTTGTGATTATCTCCAAAGTTTGAGTGGGCGCTTGCCCCGTATTTCACGGTAATCGTGCTGACGATAGATTGCCTTGTTCCTATTGCTGCTGAAGAACTTTTCACAACAGTTGTTCTACTTTGTCGTATTGGCAGTTTTTTTGGGTGATCAGACGAAGGGGAAGGTGGAAAGATCTTGGCACTCTTGTTTTCAGTTCAAGCTTTTGTAATAACTTTTTTACATTAGGTAAGCACAGATCTTAAAATTTCTGAAAGAAAACCCTCCAACTAGGATTGCCTACTGTCCAGGATTTTGCGGGACTGTCCCGACTTTTCATGACGCGTCCCGAGTCCCGCATCGTCCATGTCGGTACAGCTATATGTCCCGGATTTGGTCCAGATTGTCCAGTTAGCAATTTCATACGTGATCCAACGCACGCCAACAATGCGCATCACGCTGCAAAACCCGAAGTTAGCATAAACCGCACGAAGCAATGCTGCGGTGGCTAGTGTTCGCTGCAAGAGGCTTTAGCCACTTTAGCATGCAAGCCATGGGGAGCCAAAAAATCGGGGCGACACTGGTGTGCCTGTTATCATCATCATAGTTTCTATAAACCCCTTTGTGTCTCCCTTCTCTTCCCTCGCGCTGCACTCTTTGAATCTTTTCACCGTTGCTGCCATAGGAAGTTTGGAACACGTGCTGTTTAGCTTTTCTTACGTTAACGGTTTATGCCAAAGTTTACGCCTCTGTGGGGAGAGTATTCTCAGTTATGAAGAGTTTGTGGAGAGACGAAAGAAATCGTACGCTAGATAAACTTGTCCAGGCAGAGTTGCAGGTAAAGCTGAAGTTCCGCATGAAGTGCGGCATCGTTGACGAGTAGATTTTTTGGCAAGAGGAACTGTTATTAGTGGCAAGTAGTCAGCAGAGGCACCGCTTCAAAAGGCCAGCAATAAGGAACGATGGACTACCAGATTTATCTGGAAGGGGAAACTGTAAGATGCTGCAATGAAGATAGAACTGATTTTGCTAACCCCCTATGTAAACCCCCCCCCCCCCCCCCCCCCCCTTCCCATCCCGACTTCATACTTTATTAAAGAGTTGGTAACCCTACCTCCACCACCATTTTTTCATCAATGTGCTTTCAGCACATTCATGGAAAAAAAAAAAGGTTTGAAATTGTGTCTCAAGGTTGGAACAGTGTCTTAAAATTGCTTTGAGTTTGCTTTTAACAACTCTGGCAGTGATTGAGAAGTAGCGTTCTCAGTTTTTCTCACTGTTTCTACAGTATGATCATTGAATACCAACTAGCCAAACTCTCAACATTACTTCAGAATTCTCAAGCGTGAACTTTTTGTTTTTGTTCCTGCAGGGCCCTGCTTAGAAGAACAGGGGTGCCAAAGGGTAAGTGTCAGAATCTTTTTTTCAGGAGCTTAGGATGCCCCTAACATTTATTTCCTCCATGGAATCAAGTGATCACTGAAAACTGACGGCTCAACCAACCTAACTAGCTTCCACAAAGATACATTTCAGCAGCCGCATTCACCTTGAATCAGAATGCTTTCTGAGTATAGCCCTTAGCAACTGGTCATTAGAAAAAGGGGATAAAAGGTTCATTCTAGTTTTTGAACTGAACACTTTGCCTTGTTAACAAAACATAGTATTCTGCTAGGGTGCAGTGTCTTGCTTACGGAAGCTCCACTAGAAGATTTTTTTGTGAAACCTTTGGAAATGGTGCCGGGTGCGCAAGGCAAATAAGCAGCTGATGGCGGCACTGGAGCCAATAATAATTAATGTTTTTCAGTTCTAAAACCAAATCTTGCCAAAGATAAGAGCGAAGCGAAAAAAAAAAAGAAAAACATTCTCATATTGTTCTTGTATCAGGAAGTGTGCTCTGTTAACTCGAAATATTTAGATTTCAAAATGCTCGTGTAAGTATGACAGAAAGTCCGGAGAAAATGCTTGTTGAATAATGCCATCATTTCTTGGAAGCGTGTGAATGCTGGACCAACAGGAAGGTCAGAATCCTGAGCATCTAGCCACTTAATTAAACAATTACCAATGTAAGCTGTGAGGTCTATTGTAGCCGAGCTCCCTGCGTAAGCTAGTTGTCCTTGTTTAGTGCAGAGTTCCATGTCATGTTGCTGCCGTGACGTCGTGCTGTTTTTGTCGATACAAAGCGTGACTCGGTTTGTTCTCCGTTCTTTGCAGAGGCCATCGAGTACATTGTTTCTGGTTCAGTCATTGCAGAGCCAAAGACTTGCAACGTCGCTCGAGAGGTGAATGTTTTTCGCTTTATTGTTTTTGCTTTTGTACCCATCTGTTTTCAACTTTTGGTTCACTTGCATATGTTTCTATCAAGCTTCATTCTAAACAACTCAGTGGATTTTTCTTAAGATGGTACTGATGCATAAAAGTGAACATCCAAATTTCTGTTTTTGGTGGCAGCAATTGAAACTCCCGCTCAAGCCGTAAGCGAGAAACATTAACAATGGTCCGCCGGCAACGAAAGTATAGAATTGATGTATGGCAGTCGTTAGGGTTGTGTTCTGCTTGACGATTTTTGAGGAAAACAGCTGTTTTCTCACCAACATGAAAGCTGGCTAACATTATATTTTCTGTATTTTATTATATTTATTGCCACAAACGGTTGCTATTCCTACGTTTTCTACTGTTATTATCGCAGGCTGTTGCTGATATATGCGTCATATGTGCTCATGAACCTTGTAAACCGACGTTCGGTAGCTATGCCCTTCAATGCAACTCTTGCATTTTCGGGAAAATATATTTTGCCTGGAACAGCGTTTGCACTGAGGGACTATGCTGAAGTATGGTTAACATTTTAATATAAACTTTGAAAACAGCCTCATAGATCTTACTCAGAAATGAATGCCAAAAGACCCATCTCCACCGTGCTTGCAAGAATTACCTAATGGCCACCAAGGGTGGCCGTGAAATGGCATCAACCTGAGATCACGTCATGACATTTGCAGGCAGCGTTGTGCGCCGGCTTTTCCGACCGGACCCCATGCCACACCGTCACACAGGCCTGCATTTCGTCCAATCAGGCCATCACTTCGGGTAAGCTTGAGTTACCTCTTATCTCGTTTCCCCCAGAATAAAATATTACATTGTTTTGTACGTGAATGTTGTCCTCGGGAAGGATTGACGCGTAACAAACTACCCATGTGAACAGTAGTGTTAATGAGCATCTAATCTCGTTTATTGGAGTTCGAGAAAGAACTTACGACTTCTCTCGTTTCGAGGGAAGTGGCCACAGTTTTGCAACTGCCAGGCTTTAGTTTCCACGTACCAGGGAAAGGAGGTGTCGCAACTAGAAAAGAAAACCTGCACAACATTTCGCTAACGCACTAAATTTCTCAGCTGTGCTTCTACTAGAAGTGGGCACGAATTACTGCACATGCTTCTGCGGGTCGGCCAGTGCTCGCCCGACATTGCACGAATTTCTGACGACTACATTGTTGTGACAAGGGCCATCAATTAAGCTAACTTCAGCCATATCGTCGCTTAAAATCATAGATGTCGGTCATCTGACGTCCAAAATTGCAGCCATTTCGTCCTCCAGAAAGGTTAAAACGGTCCTTGACGAGGCAAAGCAACATCGCCTGAGCATCGCAATGTCGTGTCGGAGGCTCGGGAGATGGCATTAGCAAGCCGTAACTATCACCAATTGCACCCACGCTGTACTAGACGGCAGAATGGTGGCACCGGCGAGGGTAACGGGAGTCTAATCTTTGCCCGCGGTTACTGACAGAATTGGAACGACGAGGAGGGGTTTCAGTCGAGAGCTTCCTACCTTCAACGACACTTTCGCGTCTCGCCAAAGTGTCAGCAAACTGCCAAAGCACAGCAAAAGGCAACAAGGGTGTGCTGGAGGCCATGCTTTCGACTCTGGTTTTCACCAGAGTGGAAAGGCTGAATTTCTCTAGGCGTCATCCTAGAAGTCATGCTTGATGTTGTCCTTGAAGTTGTCCGAGACGTCGTCCTTGAGGTCGTTCTAGAAGTCGTCCTAGACTTCCTCGAGGTCGTCCTAAACGTCGTCCTTGAGGTCGTCCTAGTCATTGTCCCTGAGGTCATCCTAGGCGTCTTCCTCGAGGTCGTCCCAGAAGTTGTCCTTGAGGTCGTCCTAGACGTCCTCCAGGCGTCGTCCTTGAGGTCGTCCCACCATAGTACAGCTTCGCTGGTCTTCCTTCTTCACCAGAGTGGAAAGGCTGAAAGTTTTTGTACCAGTAACACCTACATACCGTATTTACACAATTGTAAGTCGACTCGATTGTAAGTCAACACCCCTCATTGCACATCAGCCCCCTCCCCCCCCAAAAAAAAAACAACTTTAGATGCAGATTTTACTGCAAACATGTGAGAACGGCAAAGTATCTTTCGAAAGCCCAGCCTCTAACTCACGATCAATGCCTTCTGGCATGTTTTGGCTGCACGTGCACACGCGAGGTGCATGAGATGCCCAGGCGTTATCGAAACTAGGAAGTTCACGTTAGAGGCGGGGCAACTGAAGCTGCTCCCTGTCGTTCTCACTTCGTCCGCAACTAGACTACGACTTGTCCGCACGGGTGATGTCAGTCCCGTTGTCATCACTGCTACTTTCTTGAATCACGTCGTCACCGTCGTCCAACGAAATCTTTCACTTCGCAAATGACAGCATCATTCGCACCTTCCGCGCTTGCTCGGCAATCGCGTTGCACGTCACAAGCAGGGACCAATTGCGCACTTTTGTGGCATATGCTGCAAGCCTGACTTCCAACTCAAGAAGGCATCCCCACCTATCCAGACTTTGGCCTGCGGAAGCCTCTTCGTTTGCCTTCACAGTTTAAGATCCCGCGCCACTGCAGACTCCGCTGGAGCATTACCCACTCTGACGAACCCACACTTGCGAGTATGCAGTGCCAATTTCATTGAAGTAATGCCCTCCAAAGACATTTTGTCTCCATTGTATGTGTCGAATGACATTTCCGGCCCAGTATGGCATGCAATGTGTACTTCATGAAAAAAGATTCGGATGGTACAAGAAGTGACAAATATGAATCTAAGGAAAACTATGATGAAACTTGGAATCACTGGACAATCGAAGTTTGAGTTTGGCAGTTTATGGGATATGCATTCTTTTTCATCAGCCTCCTTTCGGACATGGAAATTGCCTTTCACCACATAAGGGGGTAACGGTAGGAACTAGGTGACTGCAAAACGAAACGTCGGAATAGCCTTTGATCATATTAATGCTAAGTAACTAATACATCTCAATAAAAAAAAAAAAAAAAAATTGTGATTTTAGGAAACTGAAGTAACTCAGCGTTTTGTTTAAGTTTAAACCAACTATAAATCATATATATATATTATTTAAATTACTTTACCTAAAAAAGTCATTGGTTTTTCACTACAGTGAAACCCGTTTAGAACGAACCCAGGTACAGCGAATTATTGTTGATATCGAACTCTGGGAAAATTTAAATAAAAAATGCATGTAAAAAGTACTATTTATAACGAACAACATATTGGCTATCTAGAACTTTTCCCCCCCCCGGAAGCCTTCCAAAAACGTGCGAACAATCGCCTTCTAGCCTGTCCCTTCCCCTCCACAAAAAAATCTAGGAAAGAAAGCAAATTCTAAAAGCTCAAGCTGTGAACAAAGTTGACATAGAGAAGCGATTAAGAAGGGAGAAAGCTAAAAAAAGAAACTGCACGCACTCAAATAAGAAAAACACAAAACTTCATCCCAAAGCGGTTGCCTACGAAGAGAAGTTATTCGGAAGGGGAGATAATCTAAAAAAAAAAAATCTGCAAGCTTGCAAAAAAAAACAAAAAAACATTCCAGTGTTTTGTTACAAGGTGGAAGAGAAGAGATGAGAGAGTAAAAGAAGCTCTCGCCTTACAACGAACGCATCGTGGAAGTTTGTTGTAAATGGTTTTTTCTATCAAAATGAGTTGCTGGGCGAGTTAAATAGACATCTTGACTTAAACAGTGCAAATAAGTTACGTAAGGAAGAGACAACAGGAAGGAAAGAGCGCTCTTTCCTTCCTGTTGTCTCTTCCTTACGTAACTTATTTGCGCTGTTTAAGTCAAGGTTTTTTCTATATCGAACTACTTGCTATATCAAACTGATTGGAGCTTTTCCTGCTGCTCGTTATTAACGGGTTTGACTGTAGTCTCTTTGGGCACATGAAATGGATTCTTTAATCTGCCCAGTCACTGAAAACAGTGTAAAAGAAAGATTCACTGCAAATTAAATTACATTGTAAAGTGCAGATTAATTCAAAACTTCTTTTCCTAATATAAACAATGTTATACTAGAACAAAAAGAGCTTGATCTGTTTAGTTATTGCAAAAGCTTTATTTGCTGTAATACTTCAGCAAAACAAAATCAGAACATCTTCGAATTTCTATGAAAATGCCCAGGAAACGACTCGTTCCCGCCAGATTGTTTTCTCAGCTTCATGCACTCAAGGCCAGTGTTGCAGCTGCTACTGAGGCCGGTTCCAAACAAAGTATTAAAGGTCTCTCAACTGCACCAAAAATGAAAAGCAAAAAAAATATATATATATATATAGTATTTATATTTAACGACGTAACATTATGGCCGTTGAACTCAAGCACAACTCGCGAGTTGTTTAACGACGGTGACTTGCTCCTTTGGTTTTAAAGTGTGCGAGGTGAGGGTACAATTTCATGAAAAACAAGGCAAGCTTCTGTAAGGCAAAACATACTGAGCGATGTAAAATCAACCTTACATGTACAATTAGATCCGTATGTACCTGTCTCTCTGTCACATCCTCTGTCGGTCTGTGTGTGCGTGCACGCATGCATACAAGTTTTTGTTTGTTTCTTTCGCATTATGATATGCTTGCATCAGATGCCACGTAATTAGCGAAAGAAGTGGAAAAGATAGATAGTACAAAGCTCACCTTTCCGATTAGCGTGGAAGAGCACTGCATTTTGCTCATGTCTACATTTTTAAAGCAACAGCTTTAAGGAGCTCGTTGTGCAAAAAAGTCAGCGTTTGGTGGGCCAGTAAAATCCTGATTGGTCCATAAGTAATTTGTTTACCTCAAAGAAACAATTTGAAGAATTTTGGGCGGGGCTAGATCAACCCCTGACCCTTCGCTTGCAAGCCAGACGCGCCCCCGACTAGGCCACACAGACTCGCTTGATTGGCTTGGAAACGAGCAGGGGTTTATATTTAGCTATCGCGTTCCACTCTTAAAATGCAAAGCTTAAGCGTCCTTCTGTAATTTTTATTTGCCTGATTTTTTTTTATTAAAAACAAAATAAATTTGCATGGATGGCATCAAATTATAAGCAAACAATAATGAGTTCATGATTATGGGATTAGTTTTGCGGGAAATTATTCTTGTGAAAAATTATCATAGTGATATTGGGGTGACTTAAATCGTGATTTAAATCATCTTGATTTTTTTTCTTTACGCTAAACTCAGTGAATTTGTGGTAGATTAATTTCAAGGCACAAATTCTTCGTCAATTTTGGGAAAAAGTGCAGTGGTTGCTCTCTCTAGAGGCCTGAAAAGTTTCTTGTTGGAAGCCAGCATTCAGCGTGGTTGGTAGAAGATGTAAATTTATTTTCTGGGATATATAAGAAGCGGAGAACAGCTAGATGTCCTTTCTAGGTTTCCCCAGCCCACATGCAATGTCACCCTCAACGTACAAGCTCAAGAAGCCAAAGTTCCGTCCCTGCGTGCTTCCGCCGCCACGGCTTCGCACGCGAAAAGGCACCGCAGGCTGCTGCACGCATCTCACCCTCGCACGCCAGCTCCTCTGCTGGCAGTGCTATGCACGTTTTTCCAAGCACCCCCTACACTGTAAAACCCTTTAATTTCGCGGCCACTATGTTTTAAGCTAAACGGTCACAGACGACATAATCGCGGCCAATATATTTCGCGAATTCCAGATGCCTGCAGTGAAACTCTTGAAAACCAAAGTCTTTGCGCGCCCTTAAATTTCGAAAATTTCTCAATTCGCGAAGTTCGCAAAAATTAAGGGCTCGCGCACATTAAGGGTTTTACAGTAGTTTCCACACAGAGTGTACATGTATTTATTTATTTATTTAAAATACCTCAAAGGCCTTTCAGCATTACATGAAAAAGTGGGACTGTGCGACTTGATAAAAAAAAAACTTAGCGAAAAAAAAAAATTTAATAATATACATGAACAAAAATTGAAGAGCATACCGTGTGGAATATAATGGCTAAAAACTTGTATGTGTTAATAGATATCAATCTTTTAATGCGAGTAGATATAACACAAGCACATAGACATGAAATGAATTGGACTCTCAGGTATTTTAAGCCACAACTTAAAATATTTTTTTTATTGAGACACATAGTTGTTAATTATGCAACGAACATGGTTGCTAAATCTGAGCGGAGAGTTTCTGGATCTGAAATAGAAATGGCAGCATCTAGAATGGTTCCAGAGTTTGATGGTGTGTGGCAGGGAAGAGTTACTGAATGCTAATGTTGACTCTCCCGCCCCCTTTCCCCCTACCCCTCCCAAAAAAAAAAATGTTTTAAGCTCTATAGGTTTCATGTAAATATTCTATGTTTTTTTTTGTTTTTTTTTTAATTTTTTATATGTTGCCATTTATATTAATGGATATGTGGAATTGAATATCGTTTACATTGTGTGTTGTTGTTGGTACTTACGATTAATTTTTTTGTCTCATTCACTCGTGCAGTCTGCAAAGCCGTGGCTACCGATTGCGCAGCTGGCATTATTGTTAAATAAATAAATAAACATTGCGCTCGAACGTGACCATTAATTCCTGCGCGCTTTTCAGCCATGGGCCTGATCGCGTTGGGATCACACGACGTCTGCATAGCCGGCGGAGTGGAGTTCCTGTCGGACGTGCCGATTCGCGTGAGCCGTCCGCTGCGCAAGATGATGCTGGGCGCCAGCAAGGCCAAGACGCCCATGCAGAAGCTAAAGCTGCTGTCCAAGTTCAGGCCAGGGATGCTGGCACCCGAGGTGCCCACTCTTTCTCCACCTTTCTCGTCAACGGTCCCAAATTTTCATTGGCCCAACCTCGAGCTACCCAAACTCTGGTACTCGGCTGGTTTTTCTAGCTACCCAGACTAACTGCATTCGCCAAATACTGTAAACTACTTAATTTTCGTGAGGACCTAATTTTTGCGAATCTCCTACAATTCGAGAAACATGGGTCCCGCGAACAATTCCGGCAAAATGTAAACACATTAAAATCTATTTTGAGATCCCACCGCGTTGCGAAAATTAGAACCCGCAAATTATTTCAAAACTTCAGCTTCAACCTATATCGCAAAATATTGAGCGCGCGAAAAATAAGTTGTTTACAGTACCCGGGCTTTGCTCTTTCCGGCACGCTATTCAGTATTTCTAAATTATGAATGAATAGCTATTGAGGAAACGGAAAATGTAGGCTGTGCCAGAACTAGCGTTTCCATTTTCCCGCGCTTTTACAGCGATAGCTGTAATGGGCTTTTCCCACCACTGCAAAATCACGTCCGTTGTTGACGTTTTAGTTGACGTAGTGGGCGTTCGTCGTCAATGTTGCCGAATCCTTCAAAAAACCGCTGCCTGCGGGTCACTACTGAGCAACGTTACAGCATCAAAAGCCCGCTCTATACATAGGGCTTTTGTAGTACCAAATGCCCATGGCACGCACTTGCTAGAGAAAAAGCGTAGCAGATAACAAAATGCCGTTCTTGTAGCACTGTCAATGCTAAGAGCTCGTGCCGGGAGACGCTCTTTTACGTGCTCTGGAACAAAACGGAAACAAAAGCATTTGGAACAAAACGGTCAGTCTTTTTTTTTTGTTGTTGTTCCGAACGCTTTTGTTCGCGCGCCTCACAGTGCATGGACGTGACACCAATGCCCAACGACCTCGCTGTGAATGTACTGTGGATTAACGTGGGACTGCACGATTTCTCTTTTAATGGTGCAACGTCGCACGTTAGAAAACTTGAGGGCTCAGCAGGCAGGCTAAAAAACGGAGTATTGTAAGCAACTAATTTTCGCGGGAGCCTAATTTTCACACTTTGAAAACTATCGCAAAAAATTTACCACACAAGTACGTTGCCCCGTGGTAACAAACGCTTACCATACCACCCCCAGTCGCAATATGTTGTGCTCGTCAAGTGTTCCAGAAACTCCCCCTTGGTAAAATTTGTGAAACATTGAGCATAGGTAAATAAATTTGTTTGAATAAAGTCTCACATTTTTTCGTACAGCTGGAGTGAGCTTCCGCAGCGTTAATTTCACACCATCGAACTACTAATGACCTCTGGGAAACGAGTTCTACTGCCCAAATACCCACATCAGTCGTCACTTTTTTAGTTTGGTCAGTAGTGATCCTTCAATTTGAAGAAGCGGCAGGTGCCGACCTAAAAGTTTCAATAACTTCGCGAAAAGAATGATCTTTACCCGCTATTAGCGTTAGTTCAGCCGTGTCTATCGTTGCGTCGAACCAATTTTGAGGCAAATCGGCGGCCGTCAAAATTCAAAGGGACGCTGGCGGTGCGCAGCTCCCTGCAGTGGCCGAGTTCACCACGGGCGAGGTGATGGGTCACTCGGGCGACCGCCTGGCAGCGGCCTTCGGAGTCACCCGCCAGGAGCAGGACGAGTTTGCCCTGCGCTCGCACAGCCTGGCCGACAAGGCGACCAAGGAAGGGCTGCTCAGCGACCTCGAGCCAGTCACCATCCCTGGTGAGCGTGGGTTCTCAAACCGGGTTTCTAGGGGTCCCCCAGAGTACGCTGCCTGAAACACGTCTTCAACTGGTGCATTTATCGCGTCCTAGAGGGTGGCTTCTACATTTCCCCCCAACGACGTGTTGTTGCAGCAGCGTTGGTGTTACAGGAGGGCTGGTGATGGCATAACACTATGGGTGGGTCGCACCATTATGGTGGCGTAACACCATTGTGGGGTCGCACCATTATGGTGGTGCCTCCCATGGCGATGTAACACAGCAGTGGCAGTGGACTTGGCAGATGCCCATTCTGCCGGAATCCGCTCCAACTCAACAGTCCACGGAAGCATCGGCAGCTGGGAGTTGGGACACCGCAACAACAGCGACGTTCACATTCACCTTTGAACCAGAACTTCTACGCCCAACCGTCAAGATCGCGACGTCCAGTTCTGATTCTCATGACGCCATTTGTTGCTGTTTCAGGACCAATTTCGATGCGTGGTTGGAGTGCAGAGCGCAAGTTTATCTGCTTCTTGTGCAGGAGTGACGGTGACGTTAGAGACGCCGAACTCTCATTTTTTTTTTTATTGAAAGAATAGTGGGTGGACCTCCATGCTAGATGCCCTGAGGTCTACCCACTATTTTTTTTTCAATCGGCCAATAAGAGTTTGGCATTCTGACATCACCGCAATTTCTGTGCAACAAGCAGACAAACTTGCGCTCCACAAAGGATGCCGAGCACACCAGTCGGAGACGTGTTCTCGGCACCATAGCCTGAGTACCCTCGTGGGTTCCCGAACCCCAAATATCCAGTTTAATCATTACTTGAGCAGAGCTGAGTCACTCGGTGACGTATAACTATGCACCAAGCACTTTCTAGTTTGCCCTTTATTGATTACAAAATCCCTAGACTTCTGCGCCGCTTTATTGCATCAATGACGGGACGGGGAGGGGTTCCTTGTAGGGTTGTGCGAATAGTGGATTTTGAGTTCGAATCGAATTCGAAGCGAATAGTGATTTTGGTTGAATATTTTTTAATTGAATATCGAATACTTGCCATTAAAAAAACTTGGCCGTTTTTAGAGGGAAGTTTACAGAAATACTTCCAAACTGGACTTCTCACGCTGTCGTTAGTCCATCTCGCCAACGGACTTAGCTGCTGTCATTTTGACAATGTCGATGTCATCCACTTGCCTTGACGCTGTAATAATATAGTATTCCTTCGAAATATTATAGTTTAAATATTTTGAAACCGTGTTTATGAGTTTTATCGGAAATAAAAGTTTCTGAGCAATTATGCATGTTATGAGAAATTTCTAAAGGTACTTAGTTTTATCCTAAACTTGTTTTTCTAAATTTATGTCTGGACGTGGCAGTGGTGAAAAAAAGAGTGCTGGCAACCAGGGCGCCAAGATTGGGGAAGATGGTGCGGGCGTCTCTGGAGTTCGTTGCTCGGTTTCTTTTACCCGTTATTAAAAAAGTTGACGAAATAAGTATGATGATTTTATTTCAAAGTTCCCACCATAATATTTATACCATATTGCCGAACATGTGAGTATATTCTTGATTTTAGATATTGTTTCTTTCTGGTCTTTAGACAGTAAACGAACATGCGACCGTGAGTTTTCGAACACTTCGAAAAGCATGAATATTACAACTGCTCTCGGAGCGAATATCGAATTGAGTACTATTCGATACTACTATTCGAATATTCGCACAACACTAGTTCCTTGGCTGCCGTTTAGGGCCGACGTAGGTTCCTTGAGGTCGAAAAGTTTGGTAATTTTCGCTGGTGAATTGTCGAGTCAAGAGAGGTTGCCAGGCGACAGTTTTAATGCAGAGTTGCATTCTTGCAGAAGCTAACTCGGGTGTTGCGAGCGTCCGAAGCACGCGTTGCATGGCACGGTGGAAGGTACCAGAGTCGGCCAACTGCCAAAAGCTTTTGGAAGGAGAAAAAGAAAAATATAACAGGAGAGGAGGATGAGGCTGCATCTAAGCGTCAGCTGCGTTCGTCGTTGAACGCATTTCTTCGTGCGACGAATAGACCGATAGATGCAAGTAGAGCTGAAAATTTTTCCACCTTGTCTCGGCCTCTTTCGTACTGTGGGGAGTTTGGTTTGCTTCCAGGTGACAAGCACAAGCCGGTAGCTCTGAAAGCCAGAGCTTCCAGTCACGTGTCAAGGGGGAGAAAGGCCGTCAATTCTATGTTTCCACTTACTGTATCGCCCTTTGTGCATCCATGCACAAGCGGGCTTGTCTGAGCGAGCAGTTTCGAATGGGTGTTGGCTCTACTGTGTTTGGAGTTGGGTGCGAAGTACTTTCTTTGGTTGCGGCTTTAAAATATTGAGTACACCATGCCCGTAAGAAGTTAGTTCACGTCACAATCTCCGAATTCCAGACGACTTTGGCGGAAAAGTATATGCAGCGTACACATTTCTGTCAACCCTTGCCTCGGAAATTTTATTTATTAGTCTCTGGAGACGTTGAAGGCTGAAGATCACATCAGAGGTCCACAGGACAATGTTTCCCCTTGCAGGTGAATCTGCGCAGGTGTCTGCAGATAATGGCATCCGGGTGTCTACCTTGGACCAGATGGCCAAGCTGAAGCCGGCGTTCATCAAGCCCCACGGAACCATCACAGCTGCGAATTCTTCCTTCCTGGTGAGTCTTCAGCATTTGTCTGCAGTTGCTGGAACTACTACCCGCCGTTTTTTAGACAGCGTGGTGCAGCTTTCCGAAGCAATGAAGCAATTTCTTCGTATCACCCACCCTCTCCCCAGGTAAAAATAACCATTGAGAACCATTGGAATTTCAATTGGTATCAGTTGGTTCCAATGGGTTCCAGTTGGAAGTTCAATTGATGCCAACTGTAACTAGTTGGATCCAATTGGCAGTGAGTAAACAATTGTTTGTGACAGTTGGTTTCAATTGGAAGTTCAATTGTAACTAGTTGGATCCCATTGACAGAAGGCAAACAATTGGTTGTGGCAGTTGGTTCCAAGTGGAAGTTCAATTGATGCCAATTGTAACTAGTTGGATGCAATTGGCAGTGAGTAAACAATTGTTTGTGACAGTTGGTTCCAATTGGAAGTTCAATTGTAACTAGTTGGATCCCATTGACAGAAGGCAAACAATTGGTTGTGGCAGTTGGTTCCAATTGGAAGTTCAATTGATGCCAATTGTAACTAGTTGGATGCAATTGGCATTAAGTAAACAATTGGTTGTGCCAATTGGTACCAATTGCAAGTTCAATTGGAATTGGTTATAACTAGTTGAATCCAACTGGTATTAAATGAACAATTGGTTATGCCAATTGGGACAAAAATGTCTACTTGATTACATCTCAACTGAAACTGTGCTTTTCAATAGGCACCGGACACCAAATTGTATCTTCAGTTGTCTTTCATTGGTTATTTCAATTAAAATTACTTTACAATTTGAATATGGTCCATTTGATGGACCATTTGAAAGGAAGGCTTGCATTTTTATTAGCACATTAAATCTATGCAATTGAGATAGGGACATTCTATTTCATGCAAATATGTAAATGTATTTTCTTTCTATTCTTGCTGTCACAGCTAGCCGAGATCTGGTAACACTAAAACATTGCTTGTTTACCTCACGAAAAGAAAATCTATAAATTGTGAGGTTCAAACACTGTGCTAGGAGTTTGCAAGGCTATTGGCAATAATTTGAAAAAGCAAGCAACCTTTCATATCGTAAAGAATCCAAACTCATACACATGTCTGTTTTTTAGAATGTGTTTATAAGAACTCTTACACATATGCACAGGAGTAAGCCACAATCATTTTGCCTATCCACATACTGTGATATCCCATCAATACTGGATAAAATACACAGATCAGTACCATATCTCAGAGCAAATGAAGGTTAAAGCAGCATATGTTCAAACATTTTAAAGTGATTGCAAGACATACAAAAATTTCAAGTTTGTTATACAAAATCTGCATGTTTATCATAGGTGCCCACTGCCAATGTATCAGGAGTAAAAAGTAACTGAAAATGTGCACGCTACAAAAAAGATTTGTGAGAAAACGCAGCAAAACAAATCATGGCAGTCTACCTTCTTTTAAAAAAAAATATATATACAAAATGCAGAAATGAAAATTCACAAACAGTTATTTTCAGTGACACACAGAAGCAGAGCATGTGATAAAAGTAAAGTAACATAAATAATTTGACTAATTTGATTGTTCACCAAGTAAAAGGTTTTTGATGAGTCACATAACCTTACAGTGAGTGCCCTAGAAATCTTCAAGCCCATCAGTAAACTGCAAGAACAGGGTGGGATCTCTACCAACCTGGAATTGTCAGTAAATTTTGATCATCAGGATAAGTCAGGGAACTGCCAGTGAAATAGTAAAAAAGATGGCTAAATCAGGGAAAATTAACAGTGAAAATGGCATGGCAGTGTGTAACAAAGCCCGACGGTAGCACATTGATGCCAATGTGCTGAGTAACGTCGCACGAGGCGTCTAGGGAGTGGAAGCCACAACGTGATTGAACGGGAAGAGCCAATTTAACTCCACCTAATAGAAAGCCTGAAAACATGTCCAGCTATTGGCTCATCAAACCAATAGTCCTGACTGAAGTAAGTCATGGAATTTCATATAAAATTGTCAGGGTAAATCTGAAAAGGTTGGCAAATTTCAAAGCTATTGTGGTAAACACCCTGAAGAAATAACCTGTTTTCAAATAAAGCAATGCCCTATTTGTACAGGACAGAAACAAGAAGTCATTGTGGAATGGATATTAGACCTTAATATTTTATGAAACACAGTGCTAAAAGTATGAATAAACTTATGGGGCTCTTCACATATCAGTACATGAATAGCTATTATAGAGCTTTTATATTGTAGCATTCTAAAGGACAACTGTAAGCATAAACAGTGACACAAAAAAAAAACTGGGTAATATGCATTGGAATAATAACGGAAATGTGGACTTAAAGGAGTACTCCGGCGATTTTGTCATGGTCTCTAATATGCCTCAAAATTGGCTAAACACACCAAAACACAGTGCTGAAGTAGTATTCAAAATATACTGACAATATATATACATACATATATTTTTTTGCAGAGTTATTGAAGTTTTTAATCGCGCTCTTACCGGTTTTTCAAACTGAAAGTCATCATTGGTGGCACTGAACTGATGACTATACGTCATGTCTCCTTTTCACTGTTTGGGCCGTATAACTTGTTTCTGACCGATTAAATAAATGCATATTGGTGCAAAATGAATGGTGTAAAAACCCTCGCTGAGCAGCACGAAAAAAAAAGTGCAATGTACTGTTTTTTTAGGATTCTTGCCTTATCTGCGAAAATGCCGATTCATTACGTCATGCGACTAGAAACCGCAGTGAGATTTGAATGTTGGTTTTCGCATTGTCATTACGTCATGCGACTAGAAACCGCAGTGAGATTTGAATGTTGGTTTTCGCATTGCCAATTCCTCAATAACTAATATGAATTCAGAGATCAAACTACTGTGTTGGGAAGAGCAATGTCCGGGTATTCAGAAATGTAGTTTGTTTGGGTAGCTCGAAAAATCGCCGGAGTGGCCCTTTAATAGTTTTAAATGGAGGCAAGCAGCTCTTGCGAATATGCTTTGGTAGTTCACTTTTTGTGAAATGTACGGACTAAGGCACACAGACTGTTTTAATGTAAATTTCGGTTTTGATAAGTGCACAGATGAAGCTTTTCTATGTGGCATTCATGGCTTTTGAAAGCTGGATTAAGATTGTGGGGTAAAATTACCCTAAGAGTAAAAATTAGAGTGAAGACTTTCAGAAAGGACATAGTGAGCTAGGCAGAGCTGTAAATATTGTCACGAATGACGGCGACGAGAGGATGAACAGTAAACTGAAGAATAAAAGTTTGATCGGCGTATTTGTACCTTAAATTCTGCCCCCGCCCGTTTCGCTGTGAACGAGCATTGTGCTGGCATACAATGGTGCATCACTACTGCACGACGCTTGTTAAAGGGATACTTCAACGAAATTTCAAATATTCCCGTCGAGTTCAAAAATAGGTTGAATATGATCCACAATATCCGTAAATGACAATCGCACGTTTGTATTTTGATCCTGGTGGCTGTATTTTTCGTTATAAACAGCCCACTCTGGCAAGCGCTCGGAGAAGGCCCAGCTTAGAGCATGTGACATCCAACGAAATCGTGACGTAGGTCGTCTCAGGACGAGCAAAGCTACGGCGAGGCTGACGTCGAGAGGATGGCCTAGTCGTTCCAGCCACCGAAGAGGCTGCTTTTGTACGAATTTCGAGTGACGGGTTAATCTTCTATAATCTTCTAGGGGGACAATAGCGACTTCTGTGACACACAAAAGGGATTCTCGGGAAGAGGGGAGTTCCTCCTTCCCCCTTCTCTCGTCGTGGCCGGAGACGAGACAACCTCCGTCACTAGCTGTCAAGGTTCCTAGACGAGCATTACAAACGAGGCGTTAGCGACATCCACCAGGTGCTCTTTGCTAATTGTTCAATTCGTCTTAAAATTCCTTTTTGAGATTTTTTTAACAAGATATTGCTATGTTCCATGTGATACTGCTCTTTTGAACACATATAGACCAAAAAATGAGCGCCGAAATTTCGTTGTAGTATCCCTTTAAAGACCTGTTCAAGACCCCAGCTTAGCAGTCATACTGCACTAGCTGAAATGCTGATCTGTGAACCAAAGTTGTCATATGTGGGCAGACCGACGTGATGCTCTATAAACATGAAAGCCTAATTTGCTACGTCAAGAGGAAGAAAAAAAAAACTGCTCATCCATTTGAGCAAATAATCCCATCGTTTGAGAATGGAAAATAAACCATTTTCATCTCGTCTCCGGCTAACCCAAAACATTCCTAACAACCACCTTAAAATGTAAAAGCACTGGGCACTGGGGCCACATAGATATCATCAGTGCCCATATAAACAACTGCACTGAAGATTTCGGAAGATCTTGCAATCTGAAATTGCCTCGGACGTCCATGAACCTTAAACAGAGTTGCCTTCGACTTTGAATAAAAAGGCGTGCATTCTAAAGGTTACAAAATCAGGAAGCTTGACTCCTTGTCGAAGACAATTTTCTCAATTACTCCAATGAGACCACTGGTCAGCTTTACAGCCGAGCTGTTGCTTTTCTTCTTACCAACATAAGAAGCAGTCGTGAACACAGTTCCATCCTTCACCATACGTGGATACTCAACTGCTTGAGCACTGAACACAGCCTCTCCCCCAAGGTCACGAAAAGGACACCCTCTGCCTAGCAAACGCACTCCTTCCGTGCAAAGACTGACAGATTTTTGTGTTGAGCGGGAGCTCAGAGAACAACAATAGCTAGACACAGGTGCGCTGGTAACATGCTGCTCTAACTCAGACACAACAGTCTCTGCCGCTAGCATCCTACAGATCTGGTGAGGGATCCCCTTAGCAGCCTTAATGCATGTTTTCATTTTCCCATTACCCGCTTCAAAAGGGAAGGCCGAGTGTGCCCACAAAGGGCCCCAGAGACGAACACTCTTCACAATATGTTCCATCTGATGGATGTTAAACGTCATGCTGTCTTCTCCATAGAGGAGCTGAGTTTTTACAACGAACTCCAGCATGAGAAGATCGCAAAGTTCTATGTCTACAGAAGAAATCTGTTGTTGCAGCATCAGGTGCACAGCTTCCACCAAAAGAGCCCAGTGGGCAACATACTTTGTTGGCAATAATCCATGAAGTACAGGAATACTATAGTAGAGTACCCAGCTTTCCAGTTCCTTGGCTTTCCAAAATTTCCGCTCCCTCAGCGACCTCGGCATCCTCCTTACATCTCTTGGGGGTTTTATGGCCAGTAGCCTACTGTCCATCCTGTCAATCTCTCGCCCAATATAGAAATCTCTGTCGCAGCACTCGAGCCAATGCTCCAAAAACTGCCTAGCCACACCCAGCAAGACACAGTGCATGTAGTCTGGGACAAAGCCCCAGACTATGCTGAAGTGCTCCAGGTTAATGAGCGGAGAAACGGTCTTGACGCCCCGCACTACAGTACCAGTTTCAAAAGCCTTCTGCATGTCATCATACATTTGGTCATCAGTACGCTCATCGGGATCCACTGTCTGGACAGGATACTTTAGAGATCTTCCTATCCGTGTGCCAGGGTGCAAACACCAGTTGCAACCAAAATAACCATTAAATTGCATGATTCCCTGCATAGGGGCTCGTGCCACTGAGTCAACTGCAGCGCAGATACAAAAGGCTCTGAAAGTTTTAGTCTTCCCTTTAAAGCTTAAAGGAAATCCAGTCTCGGAAAGATCCTGCATCATGTCCACAAATGCCTTTTGGAAGATGTCCATCCGCGGTTTGCTTTTCCCAAACCAAAGGGCTGCTAGCACAAGGTTATTCATACGATCCTTGGGAGGAATTTCATTAACTGAAAGCTGGATTGGCCATATCGAAGTTGATGAAGACTTGAACACTGGGGCACCATCTGCATTCAAGGTTACACTAATCCTATGCCCGGCCTCTGCAGTTTCATTCACAAATGTACGGTACATACTTCCATCCGTTATGTCACCCATTGTGTGTCCGTCCCCCAAAGGTTCTGTCAGATCTAGAAAGTCTGAATTTTTCAGGATCCCCTGCAGCTGCGACTGAACGTTGAAAGTAAGAAAAAAAGGTGGCTCAGAGACATTTGACACCTGGCACTCCCGGCTACAATGTGAGCACTGGAAAGAACTGCAACTGTTGTCCAGCTTCCCAATGAAGAAAAAACAGTGAGGGCAGTAAAAATGAAATGTGGCACCACCATCACCAAACATCTTACTAAGAAAGTAACGAGAGTCTGGTAGAATAGGCTTGGAAAAAAAGCTATTTACCATCTTGACAAGATTTGTCAAGCCAGTGAATGACAGGTTGTTGCTGGCAACATACTTTAGCAACATTACCAAAATGTCGCATTTCGACACAACGACTTGCTCGCCAACAATGCCTTGGAAAAGCTCAGCGAAGTTTCTGGCAGCCTGTGTTCCTTGCGGATCAGAATCCATTGCATCTTCATCCGAGATATCTTCATCTGAAGGAGCCTGGGATTAAACGATTGTCATTTTAAGAACCTAAATGGTAAAAGAGATAAGTGACACCAGTAACAATTATTTGTCTATATTGTGGATAATTCTCAAAAAACAAATTGCTGCTGTATAGCTACATTTTTCAGCTTGCATCCATTTTTTTTTGTGACGACAAATCAACTTATTAAGTGCTTGAAAAACACAGCCTACCACTGAGGATGTGTGTGACCTTGCATCATCCGAGCTGTACTCTTCAGTTGGGTCGTCTGGGAAGGCACCATGGTTCTGAAGCTGTTGGGGAGAGATCGACTATCAGAAATATTGCTGCCGTATAGTCACAATTTTCAGCCTGGATCAATTTATTTCTTGACGACAAATGAACTAATTAAGTGCTTGAAGAACATGACCTACCACTGAGGATGTGTAGGACCTTGCATCATCCGATCTGTAATCTTCAATGGGGTCATCTGGGGAGGCGCCATGTTCCTGAAACGTTATGAAAGAGATCAACTATCAGAAATTTAAAGTCTAATGAACATAGGGCAGACCTCTCCCGCTGGCCTCTGTTACTTGTTGGGTGGCATTAATTGCTTGTACTAAATTTGGCCAAAATTCAAGTTTTCGCTCATATATAGCTTCTTTTCTTTTTGTGGCGAAAAAACACAGTCCGCTTTCTAGGGTTGAGAATTTGTAAATCGCTGCTGCTGTATGTGAAAAACAAATCTTAGCTTAAACTCGGGGGCTGCACAGAAACTAATTCTTTGAAAAGCCACATATTAAAATGTATGAAGAATCACTTGATTACTCATGGGGAATTCCACTGGTGGATTTGGAGCTGTTTTGAAGTGTTTTTATCTTGGTATCTTTGTGGGCATGCAAGCACAAGCCAGCATTTACTGTTCTAAACGTGCAAGTGAAGAGTGCTTTTGGATCGCTCAAAATCCACCAGCTAATTTTCATACTTTGTGTGGACAACAAACAATATATCAGATTTTTTTTTCTTAAGTTAGACAATTACTACCAACGACTTATTTTTTGCAGGCTCAATATTTCACGATTTAGGTAAAAGCTAAAGTTTTGGAATTAGTTGCGGGTTCTAATTTTTGCGAGGTGGTGGGATCTCAATGTAGCTTCCAATGCATTTACATTTTACTGGAATCGTTTGTGGGACCTGCATCTGCAGTTTCAACTGCCCAAAAAGAGCCATACTCAACAGCTTTCTATTGTACAGTGGAAGGTAGGAACGACATAGTGCTATTAATTTCAAACCATGTGCAATTTACCCACCCTTACTCTTTTAAAAATACTAGCTGCTCAAGGATTTGAACCACATAGATTTTATGTAGCATATGCTCGCAGGCTGTCTTGGTTACACAAAAAACGAGGAAGCCCCTAACGGAAGTAGAGCAAAAGCAAAATACACAGGTTTAGAGGAGAATTACATAAATGACGAGGACTGCACAACACAAATCAAAATATGTCTTTGAAAACACATTATGAAAACATAGACTAAACAAAATAAAACTGAAATAGATTTACCATCCAGTTTCAAACTGAGTGCATGTTTTATTGAATGGTAATCAATATATTTACCATAGGAGAAGTGCAAGGATGTTCTGCATCATCAGAGCAGCTAGCGTTGTCAGTAAAATCTTCTGAAGATGAACCAGGTTCCTGTGATTCATTGGGAAAGAAGAATTAGGCACTCACTGCTATAGACTTTATTGTTCGTTATGTAGGAGTACAATGCTATATTAAGATTGGTATCACTACAATAATACAATGCTTACCATAGAGAGAGTTGACGGATGTTCACTGGCTTCACAAGGCAAGCCGCCTCTGGCTTGACCTTGTGCGGCATTTTGCTGATGTGGAAAGATGTAGAAATAAAAGTATGCATTTGTCCCAGAAAAGTTTAGTGCTTGAGAGTGGTATGAGCAACAACCAGAAGATGTACTTACCAAGGAATGGGTAACAGTTGCATCTTCACTTTCATGAGGTAATTCGACATTTGTGGCTAAGCACGGAAGAACTGCACCATCCTGCGAGAATCGGCAACCAATTTTTATCATAACAAGAAAGCTAAAACACACTCAGCGTTAAATGAACTACCACCTGGGGCGGATTTATAATTCAGGCCTGGGAGGGGCGGTAGGCATTCAGCTGGCGGAGGAGGGGGAGGGGAGTCTGCTGAGATATGATGTTACCACGGAAACATAACCCAGATCTATATTATAGACCCAATATTTGCTATGTCACCAAATAGACCCCTTTCGAAAGTCACGTACCGATTATTAAAAGGCCGGAACCACTGCACAATGACGGAAGAACCGCATCGAGGAGCGTTCAAGTCATCCCATAAGATAGCTAAAGTCGGAGTGCATCCAACGCTTCGAGCTGACGAGCCAATCAAAAAGCGTCAAAAGTGCAACGTCACTGCGCTCATCATCTTTTTCTGTTGGTGTGTTTTTTCCAGTGTGCCGTGACGTTGAAATTTTAGTCCGCCATTGTGCAGGAGTTCCACAGCTGCCAACAGAGGGCAGTATTTTGAAAGGGGCCTATACCAAACTTTTGCCGGGTGTATATCAATTATTTTATTTTAAAACGTTGACTTTGGTGAGCTTGGGGAAAGGGGGGGGGGGGCGGGAAGGAGGTCAACCCTTCCCCCTAAATCCACCCCTGATTACAACTAGGGTCGGTGACAGGTCAAGAACGAAGTGGAAGCTCCTCCTACCTCTTTCCACTTTAGTAATGCGAACGCTGGAGGGGAGGCGGCCTCCTTTCTATCGTTCGCTCCGCTGAAGTGGAAAGGGGTGGGAGGAGCTTCCACTTCGTTCTTGACCTGCCACCAACTATAGGTAGCTTGGTTTCTATGTGTTATTACAATTTCTTTCTCTAGTGTATATAGCTAACTGCAATCTGATCTAGCGAGCACACAAACCTTGCACATAGAGGCAATCTGCAGCCTAAGCTTCTGCAGTATTTTTTATGTTAACCAGAAATTCACTGATAGCAAACTTGTTTTTCCTCTTCGTTGTTTACAAACCCACAAAAGAAAGCTTTGCCTCATAGCTTGGTGGCCATGCTTGTAAGGAATGATTCAGCATCTGAATATAATAATAATTGGGGTTGTGGGGATATTTATACAGCGTGTAGTTGGTCTGCCATTAAAGTTGTGACGAGTCACACGCTGTAGATGAGCAATTTAGCCAGTGCAGTACAACCGCTAGCCTGGGGTCTTTAACGTGCACCACGCAGTAGTGATACACGACTGCACGCCGGTACGATGCTCATCCAGATCGAAACGGGCAGCGGTGGGGCTCGAACCCAGGATCCCTGGGTTCTGCAGCGCGAGCTTTCGCTCCACGCGCGTCGAGCTGGGTGTGCGCTTCAGCCCACTCGGCCACCAGATCCCCCCAGCATCTGAATAGACTATAGGAAGGCACATATGCTGAAGAAAATTCACGTTGGGCGTGGCAATAGCAATGCTGATGGGAAGACCGTTCCATTCGTTAATGGTGCGCATGAAAAAGATGTTTTTAGCATTCGGTTCTGCACTAGGGTGATGGAATAATTTGCAAAAGTCTGTCAAATAAGCGAGATCACTTGATCATGTACCAGGATATAAACGATTAATTCTGCACTGAGTCTTTCTTCTGCATTCATTGTACAGGCTGGGGCAGGTAACGCATGCAGCTGTACCATGTCTGCGGACGCGCTTATTCGCACCGATTTTACCGCTTCGTTCCGTGATAAGCCGCTGGCCCTCCAGGCCGCTCGGTGCGCTCGCGATATTAAAAACTGGATCACCGTACTATACTCCGTTTCACCTTATGTTCTACCGCAGCGAAGGCTAGAAGCGCGAGCTCATAGCGTTGGCAGCTGCACGGAATGCACGAGAGCTTGTGCCACCGACATGTGCCCCAGAGCAAGGAGCTCGCGCTTGTAGCCTTTCCTGCGGTACATCATAAGGTGAAATAGAGCATACCTGCCTCGAACAAGTGGAGCAATCTTGGCCTGAAGCCAGAAATTTCGAAAAACAATTTTACATGTGACAAAGGCGGGCCGATCGGGTCCGTTTAAAACAGTTTGTTGAACTGAAATTTCCTCTGCGCCAAATGCGGAATATCTAAAAAAAAAAAAAAACGTTTTTAATTTATTTTTTGCGAGCTATGCACCGGGTGCGGGAAAATTCAAGACACTCGAGGTAAACCTGTCTAAATTATCAGGTTAATGTTCAGACTGACGAAACCCGTGCATAATTTTATGCCGAACGTCGTTGCGCGCGGAGCGATAAATCAATACTCACAGAGGTCCCACATGCGCCGTCTTGTCTCTGGCAGTACTTTGTAGACTTCGGGATCGGAGCATGGGACCCGGGAACAAAATACTGCTTATAGGGCCCCCGTTTTCTCGGTCGTCTGGGGCATGGAGTCGCAAGATCCGGACACTTTGGTGGCTCCGAGGTTGGCGAATTCCCACCCGAACTCTCCATTGAAAATTACTGGCTCGCAGGCCTCGTGTAAAGACGGCGTGCTAACAAGGAAGAACCTCTGATTATCTATTCAGAACAGAAATCACATATTCCAGTTCCTAGAGCCATAAAATCACCAGAGATCGCCCAGCCAGCCGCACGGCCGTGTTTACGGTTGGCCGTGGTTTGCAGTTTGCAGGACATGTGGCTGACATGGCTGTGTTCTAAATATGTACTCAATCTCATTTCAAAGGAGAGTTGCTACCTCGGCGTCCGAAAAAGTCCCAAATGCCATCCACGTTCAGCGTTATCCTATGTATGTAGTCACGTGATGTGACCTGCCCGAGTAACTTTGACCCACTCGAGTTAAACTTGATGTCACTCGCACTCCTACTACCACTCGTTGTATGAGTTATATACTCCTTTTTAGAAATCCAGATGGCGCTAGGGTAGTCTCATTGTTAAGCCCTTTTACTCTAATCTTCCTCCGATATCACGAAAAGTCCCTTTCCTACAAATTTTTTTTTTTTTTTTTTTTTTTTTTTTTTACGTTTGATTTAGAACCGGTGCAGGGGTGGGGGATAATACCATTGTCGCATTCTTTTCGGATTAGGAGAGGGTGCGGGAAGGTCTCCATATTCTTGGGAACGTTGGTCATGACTCATGTCATGTCGGTTTTTGGCACACACCGCGTTCACTTCGAAGTTCGATGTAACGTTTTAGAACTGCGTTCTAAAGCCGTTTTAGAACTGCGTTCTAAAACGGCTTCGAATTTTTTTTGTTTTCCGCAACGCCATGCTTCTAAGAATAAAGGCGCGTTCACCGGCGATGTGATCTAATCGCGCGATAACTTTCATCGCAAAAGCGACCATTGCGGAAAAAAAGCGACGCGATTCGAGCAGTCGCTAGCTGACCCGACTTTTGCGATGCGATCTAGTCGCAGAGCAGCAGAGCCAATCAGCGGCGTATCAGGCATCATAAACGCATCATGAACGACATTACTGAACAACTTCCCAAATTTATAGTTCCGCTATGTTACCGCTGCGGTTACGACAACTCCGCTACGGTATCCCCGAAGAAAACACCGCAGTTGCGCATGGGCGCTGCCAGCCTTATCTGCATAGTTCAAGGTCGTGTGACGGATTACGGAGCGCTATCCGGGTGCTTAGAGGGCTGAGGAAACGGTCTACTACAATTCCCCAATAAAATGCCGTCGTGCGCTCGTATCTTTTTTTATTTATTATTCGGCGAACGCGATCGCGTGCACGCGTGTTTTAAATATTGAGTGCTATTTCACGCGCATTATGCTGCGAAAACGGGCGAACCCGCTTTGCGGCGGGGATCCCGTTGCAAATGTGTTTGAGCCTTAAATCAGGGCGGAAATATTCTCTAGAATATAAATGCCGATTGCAATAATTATATATTACCGCCAGTGTGCTTTTACAGCAGAGCAGCACCAGGGCATTGACTCAGAGTAATGACTATAGGGGTTCACTAACACACTCGGGGAATCGATGGTATTTATGTCACACACTTTGTAATTATATATGCCGTAATATGAATGTATAAAATGAAGAAAGAAATGGGGGGAGGGGTGACGACAATCTTATGATTGTCGTCACGACATGCACTATACATACAGATACGAAATATACCAACACGCTCGTTTTCAATTTTGTATGTAGGTGCGTTTCCTGACAATAAAGCTTCTATTGTATTCGCACAAAAGAAACACACTTCACTAGTACAATCGCGAGTTTTAGCAGATCGTGTTCAAAGGCTCGACACCACTCCTGACGCGCGCTTCATATATATATATATAGCATGCTTGTTTTGCTTTAAAAAAATAGCCTCTCGTGATATTTATTTACGATATAAATATCTACACTGTCTCACTCCCAAGCGATTATCAAGATCTCCGTTTGAATCTAGAAGCAGTAATAGCATTCCAGAAGAAGAGCTTGAAGAACATAATCCAGAGAAAGCCAAAATCCCAGTGAGTCTTGTGCGGTACCATACCCATCACAAGTTTTCAAATTAGTTGTATCCACTTCTTTCCCAATTTACATGGCTTCGAGAATAATGTATTCTCTCTCCCAATTTCTGTGGAAGGTTATCAAAAGACCAGGCACGATGGGGTGTGTACCTTGCAAAAAACTTAACTTTTCCGACAAAAAAAAACAAAAAAAAAACAGAGCTGGTGATATTTGCATTGCAGCAGCAAACTTTTTTACTTTACCTGCAATTAATGAAAACCGGAACTGACGGTAAATAAAGCATTTTCACCCACTATATAGAAATAAACAAGCAAGTCTATACTGAAGTAATCAAACAGCGCATTCGTTTTAGGACTGAATATCGCTTTGAGAACGCGCGTGATTCTTATATTTCAGTAACGTTCTATGTGATAGCTATGTGAATGTGCAGGCTCCTGCTTTTATTAATTTCGCGAAACGCAACATTAAAGTTTTTGTATACGCGTAGTATTTTTTTGCGAACGGAATATTTCAGTGTTTTCAAACGCTGACATAATGGGAATTCCGGACAAAATGTTTGAAATGGTCCCAAATACATTTTGTGGGGTTTAGTATTGGTCCTAATTTTTTTATTGGCTTTATACTTGATAAAGTCCGAACGTATAAGATAAATATTCGCATAATACAATACGAATTTTATTTGGGAAATAAACATTTCACTACATAAAGGAAATGGTGGTAAATGTGCCAGACGCATGGCTTTCACTCAGCACGTCTTCTTGCTCTTTTGAACTAACGTGGAACTTCATTAAAACCTTGTTCACATCATCGAATTAAACTTTAAAGCTTGGACGCTACAAAGTAGAAGAAACACACATATGGGACGGGCGCCTGTCCTGTGTGTTTGTTTCTCCAAAAGTGCCCCGTGTCAAGCGTCTTTTTTTTTTTGTTTCGTTTGTTTCTTGTTGTTATGAAGCGTTCGAGCTCACTGGCATTGCTGCAGATGTAATGCAGCATCCACACTATACTTCGTCTCACCTTAGTATGGACTATACTTCGTCTCACCTTAGTATGGACTATTGTTAGCCGCGCGTGCTAAAAGCGCGAGCTAGTTGCTTCGAACGAAGCAACTAGCTCGCGCTTGCGGCTGCATGAGCGCTCGTGCAGCGAGTGCTCCAGTCAAGGTGGTCAAGGTTAGCCGCTCGCGCTAGCACAGCATTCGCGGTTAGTCCATGCTAAGGTGAGACGAAGTATAGTGTTAGCCGCGCGTGCTAAAAGCGCAAGCTAGTTGTTTGGAATGAAGCCTCGGCGGCTGAACGAGCGCTCGTGCAGCGGGTGCTCCAGTCAAGGCCAGCCGCTCGCGCTAGCACAGCTTTCGCGGTTAGTCCATGCTAAGGTGATACGAAGTATTGGCGACGTGCGCGACCGAAAGCGTCGCTGTGGTCGGCCTTCCACGATTGGCCGAACGCTGACTATGACGTCGGAAAGGGGATTTATAATTGACGAAATAAGAGGAATGAAAGAACTTTAATTTTGACGGTGTTGGCAGTGTTCCTTTGAGAGTGCAATGATTTCAAGCTTCCACCATGCTATTTACAAACACCATCGAACTTGTTGTTTGCAAGATAATGACGTCACAAGGGGGAACCATAGGAGGGCGCCACCAAAACATCTCGTCGCTAATAGCAGCGTGAGAGCAGAATTACAAGCGGATGTTTTCAGCATCAAATGCGCGTGTATTTGAACTGGATCTTTAAGCGGTCGCGTTCGCAACCGCCCCCGCGAAGGCGATTCATCTTCCAATAGCGCATTAAAGTTGAGCACAGAAGCAATGTGATTTTCATTAGGTATCGGAAGCCTTTGAGCAATGAAGATGCGAGAGCCAGATATTTCATAATCCCCTCCGTCGTACTACAAAATTCGCATCATACGAACATTGAATGTCTGTTTAATAGAACTTCAAAGTAGCACCTCATTAAATATTAAACTGTGTCTAAAATTCATTTGGGATCATTCTGTCCGGGATTGCACTTGGAACCAATTTGTCCGGGGGCATTTTAGCGAGTGTCGAAATCTCGAAAAATAAGTCGCTTGCAGATGCAATAGATGACACATTGAGAAACTACATCAAAATAAAACAAATAACGAGCAATATTTAGCGATTTTTTATCATCCCGCAAAGTATACACGAAGCGAGTGTCAGAAGTAAAAACATAATATAGAAAAAAGGTGAACCACTCTGCCCCTTCGAAAAGCCCAAATCGCATCGGATATCACGCCAAGCGGCCAAGCCTTCTACACGCCAGCGCGTGCATGACGGCGAGTCACCCACCACATCCGGGTAAAAAAAAAATTTTTTTTTCCTTTTTTTTTTTTGGGGGGGGGGACAATGAATGTAGTTCGCCTCTCCTTTCGCGGAAAGACACAATTTCGCAGTGCAAACGCTTACCAGCATAATTTCCAATCTGCTCACCCTGTGGCGCCACCAAAAAGTTTGATAATCGCTGTTATTTTTGTTTTGGCTCCATTACCGCAATCCAAAGCCAAGCCAAGCAAACTGCCGATCTGATCCCCGGCCATTGCCAAACTTCTTTGTCCGTCCACTACGTATTTCACTCGCCGTGTGTTCCCTGTTCCAACCAATCTGCATATGAAATGATTACCCACGCGTACGTACGATACGTGGATGATAGTACCCACGCAATTGTGCCCATCTCGAGCATCAAAGATTTTCATCCGAGTGGGCCCACCGACTTCAGCGACAAAACGAAGTACTACGTAAGATGGCATGCTGGCGACAGTGAATTCTACAGAGCCCGGATACTTCTGTTGGGAGCTAGGTGTCAATGATTAAGCCGCATACGCTGCGATCGGGAAATTATATTTCCCACCCCTCGTTTGCGCCCGGTAATCAATGACTAACAACCGCGCATAGCTCGCGAGTGTCGTCGTTGCTGGGTACTGAAAATGATTTCTATTTGCTAATTCCTTCGAACCACGAGTTCTGCGGTGCGCAATTCTCACGACGAAGCCAAAGCTCGTGGCAGATAAAATACCGGTATGACCGCGAATGACATGGCGTGCATTTGTATTGTGGAGGCTATGGTATTGCACGTGTACGTTCTACCTGCAGCTTCTGCTAGCGCTAGCGTGGGCGGTCGTGATTTCAATAATGCTAAAGATATGGCGTACATCACTGTGTCTAAATATATGGCGGATGTACCCGGTACGGGGAGTTTTAACTTCTAAAGATACGGCGGACGTTCTAGCACGGATCATGGTAACATCGAACGCACCCGCTGGTTTAGGAGCAGTCCAAAAGCGCTCCGTGCTCGTGCCTTCTTGCGCTTGTATTAAAATAAATAACTAAAAAAAAAAAATCTAAAAAAAAAAAAACGTTTCGCAGGCGCGCGGCCGCCGCCGCCGTCGTGTGCGTGTAAGACACTACTACTACACTAGGCTACACATGTCGTGTGCCTGCCCTGTGTGTCGGTAAATAAAAGCTTGGGACAAGTTTACGGCATTTAGTAAATTTGAAGCTGATCCAAAACAGTTTTGTGTATACGGCTGTCAATCCATCACAGCAGATTGGCAGGCGGGAGCTGCTGTCCACCGACACTAGCCGATGTAAGTCGTTTTCATGTCCGTACAGACCGCATACAGGCAAAACTTCCGAGCACCAAGGAAACAGCACCCAGGTTGGTACTCTAAACAGCTAGCTGAGTGCCGAGCACTTCAGACATGGTCGGAGAGTGAGCACAGACTAAAGCGTGAAAAACATGGTGGGTCATCCGTGTTTACATGCCAGTGATAAGCATTTAATTTTAACAGTTAGTCTGGTGCCCTGAATGCAAAGCTTCACTTTCGCGCTAAAAAAATTTGCCGGGCACGTCTGCTGTACTTTTAAAACCCCGTGTTCTGGTTATGTCCGACATATCTTTAGATTTCGGGTCCATCTGATCTCTTTACACATACCGTTTATGAATACCAGGTGTTTCAGAGAAAGTAGGTAGAAGTGTTTTTCTCACCACAAAGATAATGTATGGGCGCCATGAGCTCGAAACTGCCAGGATGTAGCCTTTGTCGTTGGAACAAGATGCCAGTTTCAAAACAGTATGATCTGACTCAGTTATAGGCAATTTCTGAAAACGTTGTATTAGAAATTGCCGGCCATTGGTGTTTGTGAATAAGAGACGCTACCAAGATGCAACACATTGGTCATTGAAATTTTCAGAAAATTGCTTCAATGTTTTTAATCAGATCACTCTATGTTCCAAAATTTTAGCATGTTGCATGAACTGCTAGGGTTACGTTCTGGTGAAATCTGAGCTGGCCATGATCTGTAGTTTATTTTTGTGGTGAGAAAAACACTATTATCTTTTCTCGAAAAGATGCAGTACATTGGCAACTTATTTTTGTAAAACTGAATGTCGTTTTAGAGCTGAAGCTAAAGCTTTCGCCGGAAAACTTTATCAAGATAGAGGACACACTAGAAATTCGTCTCTCAAACCGGATATGACCGGGTGCCCAGGGTAACTAAGACATAGCATAGAATTGTTTGACAGCTGTAACAGCATACTATTTAACGTTAAGATCCTTTGTTGAAAAGCTATCTGAGGATTTACCTGATGATTAAGTTAATATGATCTGTGAAAGTCTTCAGCAGCACTCTGCCCCCGTGTTTCATACAAACATACTTTTATCCATCTTATAGTCTCTGAAGAGGATGTCACGGTGAAACTAAAGAACGGGAGACTACGTGTCCGTAAAGTCATCGAGAGCTCCGACTACTCTGAAGAGGATTCACTGACCACCGAGAAGGAGAATGTCAAGGCGCAGAAGGTAACATTATTATACCATGGGGTTAGGTGTAGATGAACCAAATTGATAAAGCTTTCCCATCTGCAGAAACACATGAAAGAGAGACAAGCCACATCAACGAAGGCGGACTTGATGCGGATACTTGAGCTGAAGAAAAAACAAGCGACTGCAAAAAAGCCAGAGGCCAAGGGGGACCTCGAAGAGCTGCAAGCCAAGTATGACAGGGCGCAAAGGCATATCACACGGTTGGAGAGGGAGCTCAGCCAAGTTAGGCAGCTCAACATTAATCTGCAAGAGATTGTAATAAAGAAAGTGCAATCTTTAAAAGGTATGGGATTATAAAGTCCATTATATACAAGCATAGGATGTAATCTCGTGTTCAATGCCTCTGCAGATGAAGAAAAAAATGTCAGTGCCAAAAAAATGAGCGTGCTGCATTTGGCTTTGACGCTGCAACTGGCCCTGCCCCGGTGGGTGCCCTCCCTGCCCCCGCTGTTCGTGCCCCTGCCCTGCCAGCTGCCTGTGCCCATGTCCTGGCTGCTCCTGTCCCTATGGCCCTGGCTGCTCCTGTCCCTGCGGCCCTGGCTGCTCCTGTCCACGCGGCCCTGGCTGCTCCTGTCCCCGCGGCCCTGGCTGCTCCTGTCCCCGCCGCCCTGGCTGCTCCTGTCCCCGCGGCCCTGGCTGCTCCTGCCCCTGCAGCCCTGGCTGCTGCCCCTGAACTTGCCGCACTGCCAATTGCAGACCGTGCTGAACGGGACGCTCGCTTGGCAGAAAATGATGGTCATATGGTATGCTTGTGTAAAAGATTGTCTTTCCTCAAAGAATGTCTAAATAAGCAGTACTGACGACTATCAATTTTAAGGCTATTTCAGACAGTAACGTTTCGGACGCCTTGCTATGTGCTGGGAGGGGATCCTTTTATTGTAACAGGACTATGATACTCCTGGTCATAATGGTAGCTAGCATCATCACGAGCGGTCGCAGTGGGTTGCATTGTAGAAAAACATACATGTGTCAAAGGTGCTTTACACAGTAGGATCTCTCCTAGAAACCAACCTGAATCAATATCATTCGGTAAGCCATACAGGCTTACTGAGTGTGACAGAAGCATAGGCCTTTCTTCGTATTGAGCGCTTCATGGTTCTAGATCGTCGCGAAAAGTTGTTAGGAAATCATGATGGATGGATCAAATGCACATTTAGTTTCTTAAGGCTTGCTGTCATTTTATAACTAATTTTTCTAAACTCATAATATATTGCCTCTCTCCCCCCCAATTGGCATCCCTGCTCTGAACACACACACTGCAATCAGGAAAGTGCTGAAATAGCGTCTGTAGCACTGCTTCACATGAAAGGGGGACTACGGAGGTTTCTGAGATTGTCTCGTTATGACGTAACTCAATCTGCATGCTCTAAGCATTCCAAGAATGACAATCATGTGCGATTTATTTCACTATAAAAACGCTATTGAAGATTATGAATATCAGATTTACAGATAGCGCCACCGAACCCAGGCGAATGTGGTAGAACGACAAACGGCACCCGTCAATCAATCGTGAGCGTTAACTTGCCGTGTGGACAAGCAGAACAGGTAGGCTGCTTGTCTGCACAACAAGTCATCGCTTGCGACTGGCCGACAAGCGCCATTCGTTGTCTGATCACATTCGGCCAGGTTCGATGGCGCTATCTCTAAGTCAGATTCGCAACCTTTGAATACATAGTTTATAGTGAAATAAGCTGCACATCATTGTGATTTTCGGGATGCTCGGAGCATGTAGATCTAGTTTCAGCCATAATGAAACAATCTCGCCTCTGCGGTGCCCCTACAACACCCCAAGCGTGCACGCACGTATGTGTACATGCACACCCTCTCGTGATTTTCCCATGTCCATCTCTCAAAAATTCTTGGGGAGAACCTTGGGTCATAGGATAGTTAGATCTATTATTAACAATTCATGCAACTTTGGGGACCCCTAGCATCTGGGAATGGCAGTATTTCCATATCTGTGCTCAAATATACAACGATGGGCTTTTTTAATTTTGATCTTGGCTTTTTCTTTTATCATTTGGATGATCTTGTTTTGCAGGTGGACATCGGAAACGGTGTTCTTGTGGACCAGGCATCGTTGCTTCTGGCACAAGGGAAAAGAGATGCCTTGTTTGTGAAGGACCTGGCTGTGGCTGTCTTCGGATCTCGACTGCTAATGGACAGTTCGGTCCTTGGTAAGCAGAACCGCATTTTTATTGGGAGTATGTTGTATGTTGCTGCATGGAAATTTATATTGTTTCTACGAAACATAGTGCCATATTTTCCAGTCTATAGTCTACACTCGGTATATAGACGCTTGGCACCCGCTCTAAATTAGAGCCACTGTAACTGACTTTCCCATATCTCGCCGAGAGGGAGTGCCAAAGAAACTAGTGGTGACAAGTCAAAACAGCCTGCATTGGTAAAAGGAACCCTGTAGTGTCTAGAAAGGCATCGAGTTCTTGTATGACCGCAGTGGTGATGGGAAGCAACTTAAAGGGACCATGAAATTACCTTTTTACTTTTGCCAATTCACTTTCACATTAAACCTTCAATGTTCACTGCACGCCGAACAGGCATCCGTTTGGTTGATTAACTTCTACACAATAAATTATTGAAAGTTTGAGTTTTTCTTCCTCTCCAAGTCGCCTCAAAACAAACATCGCAGCTGAGCGAAATTCAATTAGATGTGTTGCACTACAGCGACAGCATGGGACTGGTCCCATACAATGGTACGAAGCGCAGCAGGTCATCAGCACGGCAGGCGCTTCTTCGCCGTCAGCCGTTTCCGCGGTATCTCTAAAGGGATGCGCTGTCACTCATTGGCGTGGCAGAAAGTGCAGAGAGTTTTTTCTGGGCTCAGGCTTTATTAACTTTTACTTTGTCAGGATAGGCTCGCAGGACAGAGTGGATGAAAAGAGAAAAGAACATTTCTGATGTCTTGGGGTGCCACCACAACATCGCCGCACAAGTAGATGGATCTTCCCTTCTAGGCCGTGCTGGGTTATCATCGTCTAGCGACGAAAATTCAGTCAAGGATAGCACTCTACGCAGAACGATGCTCTTCCACTACGCCGACCTTGTCAACCATCACCACTGACGCCTTGTTTCTCTAGCAGAGAGCAACTGCGCAGGCACGGCCTTATTTTACCGCACAATAGATGGCGCACAACTCCTAGCATTATAAAATTTAGCAATTTCCATCACATTGCTAATTATTCAACAAAATATGCATCAGAATATCCTTTAACAAAGCTTTTAATAAACATTAGCTGGCTATTTATTGTTTATGATCGCGGTGCTGGTGAGGTAGGCTCTTATCCAATAGGCGACGTATAGATTTGGCTGACGTGCCGTGGCACCCGTGGATACATCGCAGTGAAAAGGCAGAGAGCTTTTGAAGGAAAGAAGGCGCAAAACAGGCCGGTTTTGTTTTGGAAGTTTTATAGCGAAGAATTTTTTGGCTCTCTGTTCTTGTGTTTTTTGTTTTTTTTTACACCCTTAACGACGTGCGGTGGATGAAAGTTGATTTCAAATTCATTTAATGGTCCCTTTAAGTAAAAGGAAACTGAAAGTGAAGGTCAGCTATGGCCATGTCATGCACGTCTGCTGTAAATGGTGTATAGTCCTTGGAGAAAAATTCAGGCTGAAAATCTGCTTTGTTGTGGCGAGTTCAGCTGGTAGATCTGGACCACTTCCCAAAATCCTCGAGGGAGGAGAAAATCTGTTACGTGGAGCATCCTCAAAATCGACCAGCCATAGGTATACCCCCACAGTTTTGGAGCGGCCCTACTGACGTGCACCGAAGACGGAGGAACGTTTTTTTGCAATATTTCATGGCTGCTGTTCGCGTAGCTGCAGCCTCAGTTCTCTGATGAATCACTTTCATACAGCAGCAGCAAAGCCGCACGCAAGTTCAGTGCAGATGCTCTTTCACACAACAACCCAGACACATGTCTGGCAGGACCAACAGGACGAGTGAGCGGAGCTTTAGTGACCTTGTCTCAAGAGGGATTTCTGCGTCTGGGTTGTTGTGTGAAATAGCTTCTGTGCCAGACTTGCGTGCGGCGTTGCTGCTGCTTTGTGAAAGTGACTCATAAAAGAACTGAGGCAGCGGCTTGGTGAGTGGCAGCCGCAGAATATTGCGAAAAATCGTTTCTCCGTCTTTGGTGCGTGTCGGTTGGGCCGCTCCAAAGCTGTGGCAAATGCAGCCTGATGGTGGCCAACTTGATTCGAGTCCATGAGTTTAAGATGCGCACTTCAAAAGGAGGTCTTTAGAGCGCGTCAAGTCTGACAGCTGAATTCACCATTAGACATTATAGACAAGGGATATTTGTGGACATGTACCCCTCTCATCGGTCAATACCAGAGCTTCTAAAGATTTATCTTGACACGCATTGGTTGCTTGGGGGCACCCAGGCAAACCGTGTGCCACTTGCAACATATCAAAAGACTTGGCGATGCATTGAGTTTGATTTTGCGGTTCTTACTTAACGTCCCTGCATAAAATATTGTGAACACGGCAATCTGATTGGAGCAGTCTGGAGGTAACAAACAATCTAATCCGCAACTGAAGATAGTCTGCACAGCATAAAGTATGCATGAGCCTTTAGACATGTATAGTCTAGAAAATATGGCAGTGTTTATCAGAGGTGGAAGCATCTGATTAACCTTTTATGAATTATTTTTAAGGACGTCATTGCCCGAAGAAGCCAGGCCAAGAGAGGAAGCCGGCCCTCTGCCCCACCAAACTCTCTGTCCTGAAAAGTGAGTAGTATTTTTATTGCACTTCACAGCTGTAGCTGTTCACTTTTTTTTGTTTGCATTGAATTTGAGCTGCTTTCTTTTATGTAAGCTTAACTGCACACAGAAAAGTATTAAAAGCCATTGCAGTTTATTATGTGGCATATCTTTACAATACTAATATGCTTATGCAATGAAACATTGCGTTTCCACAATGGGCACCATTATTTGCCTAGGTCGATAGGAGCTTTTTCCGGTGTCTTTCCTTGCTGTTGCTATGACTTTCCTGTCAGCAGGTCATGCCATTGAAATAATCAGCCTCTGGGTGATGTAGTGCAGCACAGCTGCATTGATGGGGCCTGTGCTCAAGCAGAGCCTAGGTGCTTTCTTAAAATCTATCTTTATGTCACACTTCAAAGATAAATTCCACCAGCCAGTTTTGCAAGTCCACCACTGCTGTGATGCATTACAGGAACTTTATTCTTTCCACACGCGTGACAAGTCATGAGCGTGAAGCATGCACCTAAGAGTTTGAGAGATTGGTCTATTGTATTGTCATGATGTCATACTTGAACGGCTTCATGCCACCTTGTACTTCAACATCTTTGTGCTACCAAACAGCAGTCTTAAGCAGCAGACTGTTCTTTGAAAAGCAGAGTCGTGGTTGCTAGATTGTAGCTGCTATTTCATTATAGTAGTCAATCTTCACTCATTTTATTGCTTTATACTCAAGTTTTCTGATGCAACGGTTTTGAGCCAAGTACCTTACTTTTTCATGCAGATGTCTACGTGGCTCGCCTTGTGAACAAAGGCATGCCGGAGAGGTTTGCCAAGGCCGGAGCCAAGGATGTCACCAGATTTATTAATGAAAAAATCACTGAGCTGAGGAGGCTTGACTCTAGGAGGTGCGTTATGTTTGTTTCATTTCTTCTCAAGGCAACATTCATCTTTTTCTTTTTAGCAGGCTTTCTTGGCAAATGCTGTAACTGTGTGGTATATGTGTATAGTTACAGCATATTAGCTGTAACCTCTTGCAGCGGAGAATGCCTCAGTGGTTCATAGGAAACAACTAGTCGTTGAGTATCCAAAATATGGAATCAGACTTAGTCAACATGGTAGCAGTTATTCTTTGCAACCACCAGAATTTACCCATTGATTATGAATGTACTACACATACTGCCGAATGCTCTCCTTCAGGCAAAATAGAATTTTTATGGATCCATATTTCTGACTACCGTAGAATACCGTGCATCCACCCATTCTGCACTAAGCGCCCACCCCCAAAATATGAAACATCTGAAAAAATATGCACAGTACATATATATGTAAAATTGATGACCTCACATCTTCAAATTTTGAGTGGGCGCTTGCTGGGCATTCTACGGCAGTCCAAAATGCTGCCTGCAAATCCTTGTCGGGCGGCTTTGGCCGCCTTTTGCTGCAGCATCGAAGACTTGATTATAAATAAATGAAGTCAGGTTTTATGGAGGGAAAACATTATTGTTCTTTATCGCAAGCTAAATATGAACACTTATATCCCATTAAGTAATTTAACCTATATTGGTGTTTCTAGGAAAGCTGCACAGGAAAAGTTTGACCTGGAGGGAGGTGTGGAACCGGAGGGCAACGCCTGAGCAACAGAGGAGGCCGAATGAGTTCATTTCAATAAAAATTTCAAAAATCATCTACTAGTGTTTCATTGTCTAGTTATCACAAGCCATAAGCAGTTTTCCCATGTGGTGGTGCTCAGTTAGTTCCAATTAGCAACACTCAATTGGGTTTTGACAATTGGAACCAATCAATATTTTTTTAATGAGGAGTCCAAAACTGCAAAACGATTTTCCCAATTGGTCGTGCCCAATTGGTTCCAATTGGCCATGCTCAATTGGGTTTTGACAATTGAAACCAATTGGGATTTTTTCAATGAGGAGTCCGAAATCACAAATGGTTTTCCCAATTGGTCATGCCCAATTGGTTCCAATTGGCATGACCAATTGGTCATGCTCAATTGGTTTTCGACAATTGGAACCAATTGGGATTTTTCAATGAGGAGTCCGAAATCACAAACGGTTTTCCCCATTGGTTCCAATTGTCAGAAATCAATTGGACCCAATGGTTATTTTTACCTGGGTCTTCAACTCTTGCATAATTAGTTTAATCAAAATAATAATAATAATAATAATAATAATAATGCTCTATTCATATTCCGGGAGGTTGACCCAAGCACCAGGCATACAGGGCCGCATAAAGGCAGTGCTGCACATCCAACAAGGACTTGCGTGCCCAACCTAGAGCCCAGTGATGATGATGATGACGATGTGTGTGATAAATAAGATGATAATGGGATGGTAAAGAGGGTGAAAAGCGTTTAGCCTAGCAGCGGTTTTCGCGACGGTAGTCTTCGCTGGGCCACCATGGCCCGCTGACTTCTAGCAGGCCGGTCTCGAGCGCCAGGCAATTTTTTTGTCGGGTTGGTAAGCTGTAGCAGATCCAAGTCTTTGGCTATAAAGAACATTCTCAAAGCGCTCGTTTGACGTCTGTGCTTGTCCGCAGACGGACGGGGCGTCCGCTGCCCTGATTATGTCGGAGGAGAAGGCCCTGGCCATGGGACTTAAGCCCAAGGCATACCTGCGGAGCTTCGTGTATGTCGCCCAAGACCCCAAGGACCAGCTGCTTCTCGGGTAAGTGACCGCGATCTCCACGAGGCTCCACCGTGGTTTTATTCGTGCTGGTCGGTCGTTTTGGAGGGATCATTTTAATAATTAATTGAGCCTTTTTTTTTAAAAAAAAAAAAGCTTTTTTAGGGAATTTTCAATTCCAAGTTTCCCCGCTAAATTAAGGGGTGAAAAAAATTAGGAGTGTGCTAAATTTCAGAGTGCAATCAAGAATGTTTTTTTTTTTTTTATTAAATGCTACTTTTATTTTTTGTGATATGCCAAGCTCATTTTCACATTGAGGGATAATGGAGCGTAAAAAACTGTCCTTCCCGATTAGCAACGTTCACTTATCTCCCTCTGTGGCTTGGTAACACCGATTCTGCCAAGGTCGTCATTGGCCATCGCCCTGCATTTACTAGAGGTGGGCTCTCTTTCGGCGTTTTTTTAAAGAATGGCAAATCATGCCAAAAATAGGGGGTGGGTTATCTTTCAAGGGTGGGGCATCTCCTGGGATATCACGGTAGTCGGAGAGTGAAGTGTGCAATTTTTGGCGGCCTGTCAGTGCTACATTAATTTCGAAGTGCTTAAACTAGCCCATCAGATTATTTTAGCTTAAAGGGAATCTGACAGGGTATTTATGCTTTGCTTAGATTTTTATTTGTACTTGACATATGAGAGCACTACTACCCAGAACACAACTTGCAGCTCGAAATTTGTTTTCTTTCTGCTCAAAAACCGTTGGTCTAGAACTGGCTGGCTTGAGTCGCGCTCACTCTCTTCTCCGTGGTCACGTGCCCTTTTTCTGTGATTTAGACACGACCACCAAAGATAACCAAAGTTGTGGATCATCAAAGGCACACACTCAATATTAAGAATGGAAAAGAAATATGATACCCATTTTTTGTGGCTTCTAAAAAGCCGCAGATTTGTTGATTGAAGAAAAAAAAAGTTGCACAGCCACGCAACTTCCGCCAACTGTCTCCTTCTCTATATTTCTGCTCCCTCCCCAGTCCAGTTTTGGTTTTGAGCGATTGCATTTTTTTACTTTATTAAAAATATGTGATGCTATAGCAAAATATTGATTGGGTGGTCTTCTGACACCATAATGAATCAACTGGTAAAAAAATAAAACAAAAATTTGGGGGGGGGGGGTGTCAGTGTCCCTTAAAATGTAGCCACCACTCGGATAGTCCAAATACAGTGAAAGCTGCACATGACATTCAGCCTCGTGCATTTTCTATATTTGACAGAGTATTTGGTCAGTCTTTTACATTTGTATTTGATTTATATATCAGAAAATATTGATATTTTCACATTTCAGAAGTGTGTAATTTTTTTTTTTCACAGTCCCGCCTATGCAACCCCGGCAGTGCTTGCTAGGGAGGGGCTCAAGATGTCCGACATCGACGTCTTCGAATACCACGAGGCGTTTGCCGTGAGTTTGCGCCCTCTGTTCGGACAAAATACTTGCAGCTGTCTTATTCATTTGCATGATGTCATGAAACTAAATTCAACAACTGACAAGCCATTTTTTTTTTTTGTGCATGTGGTTAAAATTGGGGCCCTTACTCTATGCTGCCATCTTTGTTTTGGTCTTACTAATAGAAAACTATTGCCTCTAATTTCAGTCTCAAAATAGTCTTGTTATCAGACACAAAGTAAAATTAGCGGTGAAGTTAGTACGGTGTCTAAAACACATTTCCAACTACTACATTAAACGCCTTGTACGGCCACACGTGGAAGTGGCCTTAAGTCCCAGGAGGCAGCACACCACGCCACACGTCGCAATCCCGACAGCCGATTATAAAAGCGCCTGTCAAGCAAGCAAGCAGACTTGCGTCGCCGTCGTAGCATCCCAACCCGTGGCTGATAAGGGGCTTCCTTAGACTGGCCGTCTGCAGAGCAACCTACAACGGAACTGCCTTCTGATGTATTCACCCCTCGTGCTGTACCACCGCCAGGTTTGCATTGAACGGCCGTATCGCAGTCTCAACGTTACCAGCCCAAAATCATGGGGATAAAATAATGATTCGGTAAACGCACAATTTGGAGACGCGATTTAGGCACCATAGTCCTGTGCGGAACGCAAGTTTGTCTGCTTCTTGCGCAAGAGTCGCTAGAAGCAGACGAGGGATAGTGAGTAGACTTCAATGTTGGCTGCCTTGAGGTCTACCTACTATCCTTTCGATCGGAGTCAATCTGAGCTCAGCATTCCGACGTCACCGCAACGCCTGCTCCAGAAGCAGACAAACTTGCACTCCGCATGGTCGCCGACAGGCTGAGAGCAGCAGAGCATCGCTTTTGGACGTCCGGCTTCCAGTGCACGCTTGTTGCCTTCACCGCAATGTGGAAAAGTGTGCACGGTCGAGGTTCGCGAGGCACCAAAGCAATATCAAAGGTCGGAAGCGCGTTATGGAGGCGGAACAACTGGAGCACCTCCCCGCCGTTCTCATTCTGTCGGTAACCGTAGTTCCTCAATTTTTAATGATCTTAGCAGAATTTATGGTAAGGTGTGGTTTCATGCAGGCCCCCGCTCTTGCTGTGCGAGACTGATTTGGAAGTCACCACTGGCGGTGTTCGCTCTGCTTTTCGACGAGATGTGTACAGGCTTTGTGTTTCCTGCTATACAGTATTCTAAAGATATTCCTTTTATACTTAATATGTCAAAGTTGATTCTTGGTTTTGTGTCTGTTGTATGGCAATGACATACCATCACTAGCCCATGGGGTATTAGAAAAATAAGTGCACAACTCTCTTTTTGTTGAAAAACTGACGGAGAAGAGTTTGTGAGTCTAGCAGTCAGACTGACATGCCCCAGTCTCTCTAGCACCTAACATTTCTGCGACCTCTTTTTATTTTTTTTCTTGTAACAGGGACAAATTTTGGCCAACCTGAAGGCCATGGACTCCGATTACTTTGCACAGACTTACATGGGAAAAACTGCCAAGGTGAGCATCGTTCCTGGGGTGGTGACATTTCAGTGGAACCTCGTTGACATGTGATCATTCTAGATCGTCGCATGTTTTCCCAGATCACATGTTTCCGTAGCCCCTGTGAAAAAAATGCATCACCGGTGTTCTACTTTACTTCAACACGGTGCAGAGTGTAAGGTGCTCCCACTGTACGAGTGCACACAGAACCTTCCTCTGTACACTCATGCGCACAAGAAGGTTCTTCCTGTGTGCATGATGATGTCATTGTGTCATTTGACGTCGCTGTCCTTCATGACGGTTCTTTGCAACTGTCTCCTCATAGAATTCGACCAATTAAACACATTCTGCGTTCAAATGCTGGGGCATGAAGCAGTGTTGCCGCGCACATTGCAAGGACCTGTTTTGCATCGCACCCTCATGGCCATTGCACGCAGGTCGGCACGCTGCCCATGGAGAAGCTCAACACCTGGGGTGGATCCCTTTCGCTGGGCCACCCGTTCGCTGCAACGGGAGTGCGTCTGGTGACCACCGTGGCCAACCGACTCATCAAGGAGGACAAACAGATCGGCCTTACGGCCGCCTGCGCTGCCGGCGGTCACGTGAGTTGTCCGCATTCTCCTCGCTCCTTCCTCGGCAGGGCTCTTTTGGCCAAGTAGCGCAACGTTTCGTAGCTCTATTATGCCGAGCATGGGTGCATGCATGAATTACCAAAGGCTCTTTGATACTTCATGTGCGACCAACTGAATTTGGGAGTTTATTGGTGAAACTCCTAAAGGTTGTTTTAAGCTTTCCAAACAACGAGCATGAATAAGCGAGGATTTTGAAATACTTCTCCATTCCCGACACGATTACTTGCCCCAACGAGGTTGAGATGCTTTCAGTGCCCGCCAAATTGGAGCAGCCGTTAGGGACCTTCCCTCGTCTGGCCGACGCCAGTTTACCGAAACCGGCGTTAACAAACCCATAGCAAACCTACGTCGATGAGAACAGTGGTGCCTAGGGACGCCATAACCTCTCATGTGACTACAGTAATGGAGTGAAGCAAACAGGACAAAAGGAAACGCATCACAAGGCCTGGCCACGACTGCTTCCTTTGACGACTGCACAAAAGTATAATACTATATATCTGGGGAAATTGTGGTTATTCGGTGTCTACACTTCGGTTGCTTTGCAAGTCGATACTCCCAAAAAAGCCTGCACCTTAATATGAGCCCAATGCCTGCTGCTCCGAGTTAATTTTCCAAGCATGGGATGTTCACAGGACATTGCATATTTTTAGAAAAGCGAATAGAGGTTGATATATTGTTCCATTTTGTTTCAGGGCCATGCCATGATTGTGGAGAGGTACCCCAGCAAATGAGAGGCCTTCTTTTGTCTTCTTGACAGCATGTTAACACAAGCGTATGGCTTTCTTTTTTTTTTTTTTTTTCAGAACCAGTTTAATAAAGTGTACATATTGTAGAGGTACTCTTTTTTTTCTGGGTTTGCTTTGCAAAAAAGACGCTCCACAGATCGCTACAATATTTTGTTTTTAAGCTTAAGCAATAATATAAAGCCTAAAACATATTTGTGCACACTATGACTAGGAAACATAGGTGCTGCTTGTGCATACACTAAAACACTTCATTAACAAATTCCACGATACAGACGGAAAGATCAGGACATACAAAACCGAAAGACGTCTACCAAGTAGTGCTGTGTCTGTGCTATCTTAGGAAATGGAAGCACAAAAGATACCTAGTACTACAGCAATCCCTCAATTAACTTGATAATATTTTGTGCACTGAAGATGTCGCATCAAGTTGGGCTTCATGGCCTTTTGCCTTGACCTCCTTCCTGGATGTATTATCAAGTATGAATGGAATGTAAACAGCACAGTGCGTGACCTATAATACATGCTGCGCTACCTAGAGGGCAACTAGGAAGTGGTAAAACTATGGGGATGGAAAAGGGGCTGCGGGGGCTCGCATCTACTCCAATGTGCATACCCTCGTAGCCCCTCCCTCCACTTCGCAGTTTTATCAGTTCCTAGTTGCCTCTAGGTTGCGTAGTATGAAGTATTGAAGGCCACGTGCTAGTATGGCCTTCGATCAGTCATTTTCAGGCCAGTAGTAGGCCTGAAAATGAACTCAACAAATTAAAAGGCCATTATAACAAGAAAAAGTACTTCTCAGCGTTGGGGTTTCTGACAGAGTTCAAGCGCAACTCTAGGTCTCTGGTGCAATACTGTCGACTGCGTGCACCAGGACCGCAACAGAAAATTGCTTCTCAACTAGCCTTTGTTACCCACCAGCGTCGCTTCAAGTTGAAAGCCAGTTCATTGGCCAACACTAGCATTCCTTTGTAATTCAGCAGTCTTGTCTAATATTACAACCAGAGTAAACCAAAGAAATTATTAGCTGTGGTTATTGTATGTCTCGTACAGTAGTATACCCATCCATTGGACGAAGTGTTGAAGTGAAATTATGGAGAGAAAATAAAATATTGACTCTATTTTCGCTCTAATAAAAATGCTTTAGCCTGCAAACAGCAAGAGCGCCGTGTCTTTGCTTGTGTGCTTAATTTCCTGTCATAATGGCTTTGTACTGTGTTCTTCATGGCCATGTGAAGAGCAGCCATTGGTCATGCCGTTACAAGCCTATTCAGTTATACATGATGGGGAAAACAGCTCAGAAAACACGGACTACGAAGAGGAACACACACGACAGGACAATGCTGTACTCGCAAGTACAGCATTGTCCTGTCATGTGTGTGTTCCGCTTCATAGTCCGTGTTTTCTGAGCTGTTTTCCCCATCATGTATAACGTCAACCAACTGGCCCAGTTCTCCACCTTATTAAAGTCTATTCAGCTTGCATGTGTTTTATAGCAAAACAATTTCTTTGCTCTTAAGAGAGAGACTTTGCGGTGATGTCATTCCCTCCGTTTCATTATCACAGTTCCCAGACTTGTAACTCATGCTGGTGCTGCCTGTGTGCCATGTTGTCTTTAAATCAAAAGTGTATCAAATAGACGTGCCTGAAAAATCAAAAGAAAAGGTTCCAGAAATAGAGGTCCCATCCCTGATCATCATGCGTGGATGGTCCACCAAGAAAGACTCCAGCCTCCAATTGATCCATGTCAGGTAAGTCTTCTTCTGTGAGCTCTGGGGCTTGCAGCGCTCAACTGCAGTATGTGACATCTTGCAAATATCTTGGTCATGGTGATGATATCTGGGCACAGGAGGCAAGGACACGGTAGAGGTAAATAGACAGTGCAGCACTTGTCCTGTCCGTTTTCTTCTACTGTGGCCTTATCTCCTACGCGCTCTTTATCACCATGTTTAATGCATACCAACTCACCAAACTCACCACTTTGCTAAATATCTTGGTGTTCACATAACTTCTAACTTGTTATGGAAAACTACTGATCACATTATTGCTAATGCGAATTCTATGCTTGGGTACCTGAAACAAAATTTCACCTTGGTTCCTATGTCATTAAAAATACTTTTGTATAAAAAAACTAGTTTGATCAAAGCTTGAAGGTGCAGCATCATTCTGGGACCCCGGCCACAACACACCGGTGACTAACCTCGAAGTGCTGCAAAATCGCGTTGCACATTTTTTTATATGCTGTAACTATCACTGCTCCGCTATAGTCGCTGACTGGTTAAGAGTAAAGTGGAAGCTCCTCCCACCTCTTCCCCTTTTGGCGGGAAGAGTGGAAACAGGTGGAAGAGCCTCCACCACCTCCACTTTACTCTTAAAAGCCACTTTATTTTTTCCTCTCCTTTGCTTACATCATAATGAATCTGTTGAGGACTTTTCTACAAAATTTATCATTAAACACTTCTTTGCACGAGTTGGTTATAATTTTAAAGTCTGCATACCTCATTGTCAAACATAAGCATACATACATACCAAGCCAAGCATACCAAGTATGTTAACCGATGGGAACCGAATCCAGCACCTCCGGTAGTCGTACCACCTTTGCTAACATGCTGGATTAGTTATTTCCTAACAAATTACTTACCGTAATATCCCGAGTCATCGCCCATCCCCGAGCCATCGCCCACCCCATTTTTTGGGCCAATATCGATTTCCGAAAAAACACCGAGTCATCGCCCACCCCTTCAAATACAACAGCGCGGACTCTGCGATCCGCGAACACTCATTCTACCCGAATGACGCGGCCGCGGACCTTACAGTTGGAGGACATCCGTGACAAAGTAAAACGAAGGAGGGAAAGACACTTCTTTTTGTTTACGCATTTCCTCCGTGAGCGACCCCAAAGTGGTCGTGTATCCGTGCGAAAAGAAAACGATGGAGATAACAAAATAAGAGTTTGTTAATGTAACCGCGGAGTGTCAGGTCAAAGTCTGTCTCCGCCGAAATAAGGTCACCGCGAACCCGCTCCTTCTTCCCGCCCGTCGCGACCGCGGTTGTGCAATATTTTAGGCAAAGCCAAAGCGTAAATAAAGCTTTGCTGGAACGTCCTACACAGACGTTTGCAGAGCGTCCCAACCGTGCATTCATAGCCCGCCGTGCATGGACGCACGTATGTACGCACCAAACAAGAAAGTTGCGCAAGAGCTTGCAATTGACAAGGCGCCCGACTTGGCCCGACGCCAAAGTATTTGCCAACGCGACCGCCGGCTTTCCCGCTTTCCCAGCATTGCTCTTGGTAGCTTCTTTGGACCGCTCGCTCGCTGGCTCGCTCGTTGCGCCTGGTCGGTTTTTCTATTTTCTTGTAGACTTTTCTTTCTTTTTTTTTTTTTTTTTTTTACTAACTAGGAGAACATAATGGTGACATTCTTTCACGGAACAAACGTTTGCGCTATATGCAGATCGGCGGTGTTTCTAGCGCGTATGCAAGCAACGGACTTGCGGATCTAATTCAAGCCCCGAGCAGGGCGCCCCTAGCGGCAAACGGGTCCGTTGCATCGGGCATCTTCTGCCAGTCGCTGCTAGGGATGTCGCGAACCACCCTAGGTTCGATTTCGAAAGGTTTCGATATTTGCGAAGCGAACTGAGGTTCGATTTCGAAAAATTTCGATATTTTCGTACCGACCGAGGTTCGATTTCGAAAAATTCGCAACTTTTGTCCACAGCGGAGTTTCGAATTCGAAAATTTCGAAGCTGTCACGGTTTCTAAAATTTCGAATTCGAATATTTCGAATATTTTTTTACTTCAGGTTCGATAAATTCGAAGATTTCGAAATTCTTTGTAAAAAAAATTCGAAAACTTCGAACGCTTCGAATTTTTATAGACATGAAGTTCGAACAATTCGAAGATTTCGAATTTCTTTTGGCATAAAGTTCGAAAAGTTCGAAAGTTTCGATTCTCTTTTAACGCTAAATTCAAAAAAAAAAAAAAAAACTTTGAAGATTTTGAATTTTTTTAAATCCAAGTTTTCAAAGTTTGAAGTCCGATTTTCAAGTTTTTCTACAGTTTCAGTTTCAAATAACGTTTTCACGACTCACTTGTTTTCACAAAATCAAGTTTAGAAAAGTTAGGGTGTGATATCTAGATTCTGCGAAGTTGGTAAGGCAATTAAATGAGACGACGAGTGTCCCGGACGTGCTAGAATATTTGCCAGTGCAGAATTGTGACCGCCAGCCCCCCGGGGGGGGGGGGGGGGGGGGGGGGGGGGGGGGGTCTTTATCACGCAGTAGTGATTGCACGAACACACTGTTTTACGAGACTCATCCAGTTCGAAACGGCCAGGGGCGAGCAGGAGGTTGAGGCTCAGAGAAACCTTGAAGCGACCTGGCAAACTAGCTCGCCACCCCTTGCACGCTGGTAGTAATCCGATCCGATGAAGTTTATAATTGTACTGGAGGTTTATTTTCTGGGACGGAAGAATCGCCTCGCAAAAAGCACAAAAGCCGACACAACTCGAGGTCGAGGAGCGTTCTACCATACAAGTGGCGTCGGAAGAGGAAAAACGGGGGGAAAGAGGGTAGCGGGGGGGGGGGGGGGGGGGGGGGGGGGGCTTCAGCCTCCTTCTCCCCCTTGCAGGTATTTCGGACTGTTAAAGAAAACAATACCGGGAAAGAGGGGCGTGGTCGAGCTTATTTTAATCTGAAATTATTTATGCATATGTATAGCTACTGTCGCTCTTCACTGCATAAAAGGTTGCGTAGATGGTCATTGTTAGAAACTCGTTGTCAGAAGGCACTGCTCGTCACATGCTTAGTGGTTCGGAAGTTCAAAGCTGTCTTTTCGACCTAAACACCTGTGCCGATAGTAACAAAAGAAGAAAAAAAAGAATAAATGCGGGAATAAAAAGCAGGAGAAAAAAAAACTATCAAGAATTCGTCGGAAGTGTTCTATTCTTGCATATTCAGAGGTTCAGAACTTCGAAACAAGTTTCTTTTACCAAAATGTGTACAGGCTAAAAGAAACACGTCCCAGGAACGTGAAGCGAAAAAAAAAAATTTTTCTTTTAATGAGGTGCTGAACTTGAACAATACTAGAAATCTTCTGCCATGAGTTAATTTATTCCTTAACGTGAAAAAACAATAAATATATTATTTTGTATTCTGCAGATGGCAATGATATGTACTGTCTGTGGTGTTAATTTAAATGCGATACCTCAAACAACTTAGACGAAAATAAATATCAAGTTTAGGTCATAATTGCATGCAGATACATGTTTGGACATTTCTTCGAAACTCACGTTGAATAACAATAATCACATCTTAAGACGGCACTTACCTACGCTATACATAGATCATTCTTAAAAAAAAAAGTATAACATAGCTACCATAAATAGCTCCGGCTGCAGCGTGCTTCTAATCTGGCACAAACGATAATCGTCAAAAACCCGTCGTCCGTCCTCGCCCCTTCGGGGATTTATTTCTTTAAACCTAAGCATGCCAGAACATTGAAATAAATGACATTGTCTTTCGTAAGGAACGCAGCACCGCGTGTAAAAGTTCGAGAAAAAAAATTACGAATGTACCCCACTACTTGAAATCAAATGAAACCGTCCGCCGGTCTTTCGAAGTTCGACGAACGTCGAACTTTTACCCTATAAGTTCGAAGTTCGTCGAACTTCTGACTTTTCAAAATTCGAAAGTTCGAAACTTTTCGAATTTTCTTGATAAATAAGTTCGAAAGTTCGAAATTTATCAAATTTTTTGGTCAGTCAAGTTCGAAAGTTCGACAAGCATCGAACCTTGCAGCGCAATAAGTTCGAAAGTTCGAAAAAGATCGAATTTTTTAGCGTAATAAGTTCGACGGTTCGAAAAGCGTCGAACTTCTTAGCTTAACAAGTTCGAAAATTCGACCTCCGTCGAATTTTACGATATAGACAATTCGAAAAATCGAAATCTTTCGACCTTTCGAACCGCTTGATTCGATCATCGAAACTTCGATTCGAAAAAAGTTCGCGGCATCCCTAGTCGCTGCATTGGTTGTGCGTTGCAGTCCTTGGTTGTAGTGGGTTAGCGCTGTAATTTCTGAGATGACTATTCCGCACCAAGAAAGCCGCAACAATTGCTGCGTGGTCGGCAAGATCGCGCACGGCACGAAGTTCTATATCGTCCCTTCGAAGCCGTACGAGGCGGAGTACTGCGCGACCTGGGGGGCTATGTTGCGCTTTTTGGACTCCCAGGAGACTTGGAAGAGGGAAGTGACGTCAACGACACAGCAAACGCAGATTGGATGTTGACAGAAGAAAACGAAATCAACACCCAATCTGCGTTTGCTGTGTCGTTGACGTCACTTCCCTCTCCCTAGTCTCCTGGAAGTCCAAAAAGCGCAACATAGCCCCCCTGGGTTCGACTTGTGCGTCCATACAGGTTAGTGGTGTTTCTTACCTTCCAGTTCGCGCTTTGCTTAAGCTGCTGACGAATAATACAATTAACTTTTTTTTCTCTTCTAGCGATGATAGAACAGCATCGACACCGACGGCAAACTCTAAAGTATGCAGCAAATACTTCACCGGAATCGAGAAGCAGAATGCGGTCGCCCTCCTAAGCCTATCCTTGGATGTTTCCATCAGCCTACAGGAAGATAGTAAAGAGAATCGCGGAACGGCGCGAAAAAAAATCGCCCAGTTATTGTCAAGCTGATTCAGAAATAAACGTACATAATTACCGCAGTCCACTCAACGCCAACTAAATTTTTTTGCGGGAGGGCTTAATTTTGTTTGCAGAGTACGGCGCTCCATGACATCCACTTGTCCGTCGAAACGGACCTCCTTCACGTCGTACACGCGGCCAGATTCATGAAACAGTTTTTTCTTCGTCATATTGGCATTACGGAAGAAGCTTTCTGGATTCGTAACCGCCTTAAACTGCTTAAACCCCGTCGTAATCACCCCGGCAACCCCGGGAACACTGTCCGCTGTGCTGTTAATCGCCACTGCTTCCCCCCGATGATTCTGCACCGGTTACCGAAGAAGCTTTCCGGATTCGTAGTCGCCCACTGTCCTCTGTACTGTTCGTTGCTATTACTTCGCGATGATTCTGAGCCGGCGGCACCGGCTTCCGAAGGAACTTTCCGAACTCGTAAGTGCCTTAAATTCCGTCGTAATCACGACGGGGACGCTGTCGGCCGTGCTGTTCGTCGCCATTGCTGCCCGATGCTCCTGCGGCGGCTACCGCCAGGTCGCGGCGAACAATAGGCGACCGCCGCGACACGGCCGGCTTGCTCGCTTCCTATAGTAAAATATTCTTTCGTGAGCATTCTTTTCTTTAAAACAATGAAACTAAATAGAGTTTTGAGTTTGATGTATCTCTTGTGCATCAGCGCTAGATACGCAAAGAAAAATAGGCGTTTTTTTCCGCTTTTTTTTTTTTCAAGTGTTTGTGCTCACCCACCGAGACATGGCCCACCCCACTTTTTTAACGAATTTCAGGCGGTAGGGGGGTGGGCGATGACTCGGGATATTACGGTACTTTGTTTGCATTCTTATTGTTTTTTGCATGTGAATTTGTATGCCCTTCTCATCTGTAATGCCCTATGGGCCCTGAAGTTACTGAAATAAATACTCGCGGACGCGTGTAGCGCGTCCGCGAGAACGTTTGGTACTAGCTGTTGTGTGATCGGTTGCAGTTTACGCGAGGCACCGCGCGACGCAACATCACCGGAATTTCCATTTATTCACGGTGCAATGTTATCAAAATGTCGCACCAGCTGACGTTGTAAATTCGAATCGCGTCGCGTGATCGTCCGCGCAATTTTTGGAGTGCATAGCTGGCTGGCATTACCGAAGTGAAGACTTGGGGCACAGCTGTGATCGCACTCAAGCTACGCGAGCACAGCTGTGATCGGCGCTCAACATAGAGATCATATGGCGCTCAATGTGCGCGGGCGCACGGGAACAACCCATAGCTTTGGCATCATTGCCAAGAAATGTTGTCAGTTGTAGCTGGAGCAAAAGCTGGAGATAACGATGGATGAATCTCGTTGCGGTACTTGAAAATGCCGCCAATGTCAGCCATGCCGGCCATCAAGTATCACGTGATAATTTCAACTTCCGGTTTAGGATCTTCACTTCCGTCCGCCATTGCTTTTGTCCCACCGTCGCTGTGGTCCGCTGTCGTCGATTTGTTGCCGTTCAATGTAGCGCCCACGACAACTGGCGACTGGTTGCTGCGCGCTTGGTAGCAAGAATCAGCCTGAAGATGGGAAAAAACACTTTACAATTCCATGCGTAAGAGAAAAAAAAAAAAGTGTTGCACCGGATAGGAAGACCAAACTTCGCACCGGACGTCAGACTGCGAGGTAAGACAACATTACATAAGTAAAATCACCGAGAGGCCTGTATCGATTGTGTTGATATGTGTACGCATCTCAATACAATCAATGCAGCTGGCAAAGCTGCGTCCTGCGAGCAGCATCTTCGTTTCTGTTCCTTTTGCACGGGAAGTTTGAAGACTGCCGGGGGGTTTTGGTTGATACGTTTGAATGCTCACCTCGAACTAGGCCGATCCATGACGATAGAAAGGACGGACTATTCGGCTGAAACGTTGCGACGGTCGTGCATCCGCCACAACGTCGATATGAGGGGTCTATTTCCGTTAGTGCGCATCGAATTGGGGGACCCAACACTGCCTAGACCAACGTTGACCTAGACATCGCGTGACGTCAAGCGATGTGTCCGGCTTCTCCAATCTTCCTCTCCACATCGCGTGACGTCAAGCAACGTGTCCGGCTTCTCCGGTCATCTCGACTAGGCTGGACGATGCCGAGCCACCGGGCAAGTTCTAGCCTGTTTGCCCGCAATAAGATTATATGGTTTACGTGACGGGATAATGGGTCGGTGCTGTGTACCAGGGTGTCGCGGAAATTACGACAACGGGCCCAAGGTTCGAGTGTTCTCGTTTCCGTCAGATGAATCTCTCAAAGCCAAGTGGCTGAGATCAATTCCTCGCAAAGATTTCGTGCCAACCAAGCACTCGAGGGTAAGTTGAGCTGTTGTGCCGCATTATCCTGACAAATAATCATAATTTTAAGGAATGCTACGTGCAGAGGTGTAGTATGCCATCTGTACATCGGATGGCGCTGCGTTAGTGTGTGTAGTTGCAACGAGATGGCGCCACGTGCCCGACAGTGGTAGAGTGCCTTCATACACACACGCGCTTTTGCTTGAGTGGTGACATCTCGGCCATTTTTCCACCCAATCGTTTTTTCTATGCATTTTGAAGTGCGCACAATCCGGTGTCACTCAGCACGAGCGCGTAGCTTTGCCTAATGCATAGACGCCATTTTACCGCCCAAGTCACGCACCAAGTGCGCGAGAGCGTCACGCGCTGGCACATTCAGGGCAACAATGGATGTCTTCACCCTGAGACAGACAGACATGTAGGCACCCTAGACAGTGGCATATGCTGTCTCTGGATGCATGTAGATATTGTAAATAGAGTTCGAAACTCTACCTTTACCTGGTGTGCCCGCTTGGGTTTCGCGCTAGCGACCACTTTGCGTCCCAAGCGCCATGCAATGTGAGCCTTTGCAATCTCTTCACAGGCCTTCTGAGGCACTGTCTTTCCCGTAGCTTTCATGTCTCTTTACACCCCTTTCATAGTGGCATCCACAACCACTGCATTTTGGCGACGTGGTGTTCTTTTTTCGTTTTTCTATTTGCACCCTCGTAAGGTTCAAATCGGACTCGGTGACGGAAATGAGTAATGGCAGCATGTATAGTTTTCTCCTTTGTGTGATAGGTAATATTGTAGCGCTCAAAAGGTGAGATCCTTTTTGAATATTTGCATCCACCATACCCTTTCCATATAGAATCTAGTACATGTCAATACTGTCGACGCATAGCCGCACTCAGTGTTCCATTTTGAACGTCACTATGGTGAGGCATAATGCCATCTTTTGTTTGTTTGTTTTTCGAACACTGTACGACTGTTCGAATGGTTCTTTTCTTTTTACGCATGTAGTGCGCACAGCACAAAAGCGTCCATCTCTTTTCCATGATTCAGGAAACTGTTCTCGTTTTCATTTGGGGTGAAATTTTTGTCTATGTTTGAAACATTGTCTTGCAACGGTAATGGGTGGCGACGGCTTCCTTCCCGATGCCATTATTATTTCTTCCCACGCCAGGTGCCCCTGCGCAGCCTTAGCTAAGTTGGAAAACATTGCTTTTCAATTATCTTGTGTTCATAGAGGCCGATAAAAGCTCTCCAAAGTGCAAGCGCGCACTACTGTGGTCCTTGCTTGGCTTGGAATGCCAACGAAGTTAAAAACATATCCTTCAACAGCCCCCGCCTAGAGTGCGGCCGTTTCTGAATTTGACAAGCTCGTAGCAGCACTTGATAAGCATTTTGCTGCCATAGCTAACGTTGTCGTCGAACGAAGGCAATTTCTCACCCGCATCCAGTCCTTGGGAGAGAGCGTCCTCGACTGCCTGGTGCACTCAGGCAACTCAGTTCTCTGTGATTTTAGAGAGACCCTTGAAACCTGCATTGCAGAAGTCTTTTTGGCTGGGTCAACCTCATTGGAAGTACAAGATCGGGTAATCCTAGAGTCTTTGGGAGCTGGACAACCTAGCCTTGAACGCGTTATGTTTCTGGCACAGCAGTTCGAGCAGGCGTCTCGAGATTGCAATCGGTACCGGCGACTTTCTTCCAGTTTTCCGCGTTCTGGAACATTGCACGCCGTTGAGGCCATACAAAGAGCTCCCGTTCGGCGTGAACAAGATGGCTGACATTCAAATTCAGTCATTGGACGTGAGCAAAAAAAGCAGCGTTATTGTTGGGTAATAATACCAATGGAATTAAGTTTATACTCCGCCAGATGAGCATTTATATAGCATCGAGTGTTAGTAAGGTATTTAATATGTACACAGAGCTTAGAACGTCCAGGTCATTGCATGTTTTGCGGGGGTTCGTCATCGTCTTTGCTTTAGTGACCTCTCATGCTCAGCAGGATTCTATAACACTAGACCTAGACAAGTTAAGGAACCGGTGAACAAGTGTGTGCCATTAAGTAAAACTGTACGAGTTAGGATCGCAAACTCGGTTGCAAATCCCCCAATTGGCACCTGGCTAAATGTTTCATGAAATGCCCGTGACACTGATAGTAGTTGATAAAGACAATATCTAGTAACACTAATTCAATAAACAATGCTCTACTATAACTTGAAGCAAATAAACCTCAATAATGAATGGCTTAAAAATGGACTGGTAACATTTTATGCGACCCAAAATCATTGCCTTTTTTGTGGAAAAAATAAATGTTCCATTTGTTTCCTTTTGCAGGTATGTGAAGAGCACTTTGCAAGCAACTGCTTTATCACAACACTGACCCATCATGATGAATCCACAGGAAGGACCCTGGAAGTTAACCGTATGAGGACTAAGCTCACGCAGGACGCTGTCCCAACAAGATTCCCAAACTGCCTGAGCTATTTTTCAGCATCGAGCTCCTTCACTAGTGAGGCTCCTGAAGCAAAACAGGCAAGGGCAGAAAACACTGCACGTAAAGGGGTCATAGAACGATCTCATATACGGTGCAATCCACTTATAACGACAATGATAAAACCCGAGAATTCATTTGTCATGACCAATTATTGTTGTATCTGGTCTAAAAACTGATCGTTTCTAGTCTAGAAGCTCTAGAAGCTGATCGTTATAAGTGATACATCATTATATGTGACGCTGTTATAAGTGGATTGCACACATGAAGAAAAAACTAAAAATAATTTGGTTCCTTTTTTTGGAGACCTCACAACGAAAGCTGCTCATGACACCAGTTTGAAACTTCTAGACAAAGACAGGAAACATCCCATGCGTCATGTTCCTCTGCATAGAGACGAAGGAGGCACCCCGTATTTGAAGCATTCAGTCACAGTTCACATCAACATGTCTGTGGCTGTGTGCTTTGAGGGCATCACATGAAGGACACTATCAAAGAGGGACAAAAGCTCAGTAACATTTGTTTTAATTTATTTTGCCACTAAATCCAGCATGTTTACATTCAGTTTTTGGCATCAATACCGACTATAGCAAGTTTCTCTTGTAATGAAGGCATTAAGATTTACATTTATGATTTAATGCAGATTGCATGTGCATTTCATTGCAACTCTAATTAAAGATTTCGATTGAATTAAGCTAACCAGTTCTTGCATAACAGAGCCACTGCAACGAATTCATCCGCACCATTGAACATACAGTCAAGAGCTGGGAGGCTGGCCATTGACACAAAAAATCATACATAACCAATCAATTAGTGTGAAAGTTCTCATGCTCATTCAGCAATTAATGCTTGAACGTGTATTTCGAAACGGTGTAGAAAGCAAAATGCCAATCTGTTCGAAGGCTCTGACTAGAATCCTTGGAAACTAGTAATAAACAAACGACAACTCGAATGCGTCGACACGAATACTGTAGTGCTGTTGAAGCTCCAAACCAGCAGATTAAAGCGCGAAACACATGTACATTGAAACCTTCCGATCCGACGTGCGGACTGCCGGAATGCCCTTGGGGGCGAGGGTTTTTGTAGCATCGGAGAGCATTGAAAACCCTTGCCTTTGACCGTCGTACTGTCTGGTCGGACGTTTGATTGGACGGTTTTGTCGTACATGTGTTTTGCGCTTTACTCCTCATTAGTTGTGTTCATGGAGCTACAGACAACCGCTTCTTTTTAATTATTTTAGCACCTGTTTATGCAGGAAAATAGTCATTCATAAAAGGCACATAGAAATACCGTCGCACAAAAAATTACTTAACTGTAATTAACACCGTTTCCTAGTTATTCTGATCTCAAATTCCTTTCCGTGCAGGTATTTAGGGGCCCACGTTTGTTGCATGTTTCTTCCACATACACTGTCACGTACGGATGTTCCCTGGCTCAGTCAAAAATCACTTCAAACTGAAAAAACGAATTCGACGAAACACTACGCCATAGTCTCTGCTGCAATTGCCGAATAACTGAAAAATAGAGATCAGGCGGCCGGGCCCATAGCGTGACGTAATAGGAAGAGCGGAGAGGCCTGTCAGTCTATGCGGTGTTGATTGATCCCACAAGTGATAACGTCACAACATGGCGCTGCGTTCCAAACTAACCGTTGCTAGGAACGAATACATCTGGGCTCAATGTGAGGTTAAAGTTTGCCTGCTAAAGAAAGTTAATAATTTTTCATAATCATTTTGTCTTATCAATATCTAATGTTGAAGACATTTTCTGTCGTCTCAGTGCCACAAGTCAATTATAAAAGCCCGTAATAAAGCTTCACAACCGGTTATGTCTCGCTAGCAGACGACACAGTAGCTTCGTGGGTTCAGTGGTTCTTCTGGGGGAATACGTGACTGGTTACATTTAAGGTCCCTATATCCTGTGAGGTAGTGCAATTCCCCCTCTCCACGTTTTCCGCCTTTCCATCGTGGGTAATCCTCGCCCTCCCACGCCACGCCCCCCGCTGCCATTTTCGTGCGAGGCCCACAAGGCACGCTTTTGCGTGCCAGGCCGTACTTATTTGCTATTGCATACAACAGACTAAACTTTTTTTTTTTATTCATGAAGACAGTTTCATTTATTTAACATGAAGAAACTAGCATTTGTGCACCTTATCGGAAAATGTAATAATGTGAGCAGAGGCGGAGTCGCTCGGCTGTGAAGACAAGCTTTTTCCAAATCCGCTGAATGCTGACGATTTTCAAAGATGCCAATGCAGTCCCAAGCATTTTGGAACATCAACATGCACTGCAAAAATATATTGCGTTTACTGCAGCAAGTCCTGAGAGCAGGCGCATGATAGAAAACACCTTCCTGCACGTAAATGTAGTTCTGGTGGATCATCGCAAAAGGAATGCGTTGCTGGCGGGAGCTCATGCCGTCGCTTTGAGCACGGATGGAGCATGCGCTCACAATGCCCGCAATTCTTAGCGTACGCTCTACTAAAACTTTCTACACTCTATCTCAGGAGTTTTGTTCAGTAAAGGCATAGGTGCAGGCACATGGCTTTCAGATTTCCTTTCCTTTCGCGAGCGCTTGTGAAAGAAAAGAAAACCTTAACTACACGGTTGCGTCTAGCACAACGTACCTGGCACGAAAAGTGCAAACCCAGAACTTTTTGGTAATGTTTAGCATTACCAACCGATTAGCTTAACCAGCAGCTTGGTTTACTTCGTATATGTTTTATAAACATTGAATACTACCTGCAACTGTGCACATGTGCATGGAGTAATATCTGACATCTGCTATTTATGCACCTTGTACGTTTCACCACCCATCAAACAGTCAAAACTTTTGCGACCGATCTGGTGTCCTCGTCATTGAAAATTTTGCTTTCCCGTCGGCACGGTAACAAGCTTCTTCCTTTTCACCGTGTTGTTCATACAATCTACGATGCAGCAAGATGGCATCGCATTGCCACCAACGTCGTAAAACAAAAAAACAACCTGCGGCCGGAAGGGAGTTACACCATACCTTGCACGAAAATGGCGCCGGTTTAGGGTAGACCACCAAATTGCTCGTGATCATGGGAAGTTGACAGTCACTTGTTGTGCCTGATCCAATTGAAGGGAGGGGAAAGATAAGTTTTTAGAGGGAAAGGGCATGGGGGGCGGGCAGGAATTTCTTTTTTCCTTTTCAGGCAATGGTTTGCGCCACCTTTCAGTATTGGAGACGTTAGTTAAATTAAGTTGGTGACGAGTGACAAAACTTTTTTTCTGGGGTCAACTTTCTGTGATATTTAGGAAGCGAAGAGTGCATGTGCAAAGCTTTGAACGATGCTTGAGGTGCGTGAGCGCACAAATGCCTGCTTTTGGAGGCTTCTGCAATATCTGAGAAAAATGAAAACACTGTAAAGCCGAATCACATATGACGACGACTTAGAGTGTATCGACATCGAAGTGCAGGCCAACCGACGAGGCCAGGACAGATTTCAAGGAGTTCTGACGGCACAGTTGCTTCAGTGCACATTTGTGTGATCAAAGGAGCTGTCCGTAGCAGATATATAGGTTGCCTGATGTTGTTATCCAGCTCTTTCACTATTTAGGGCCGTACTGAAAACGGAAGAATCAGCAGAATTCTTTCTTGGTGTCATGTTTACAAGCCAGGCACAAAACACACACCCGCATTGTGAGCCGGAAAAAAACAAAGTTTGGGGTCTCGAACCGTTATGTTAGATTAGAAATAATGGCTCCTGTAAAATAAAAAGAGGGCCTGACGTTGCTTCGATATCATGTACTAAACAGATGCTCCTCTCGTGGTATTAGCAGATCTCTAAACGTGTGATGGTCTTCGTCGCACGGTATCCTGTATAGCATGCAAATACAATTCATTTTTATAAAACTGACAAGTTTTCTTAGACCTGCTATGTCCCCAATAAATACGAGACCAAAATCGTAGCAATATGCGGACAATATAAGCTATTGCAGACGGCATGCCTCGGTCATTCCGGACGCGTTCGTCGTCTGCAGCAGGCATCTCAAGATGAGCCGGAAGTTGCCGTCGCAAATATTTTAGAAACAGCCGATCCTCGGCACACTTCTGTCATAAGTGTAAAATCTAGGCCTCCTATATCTATTTTCTTTAGACGTGTAAACTCGGGATCCGATTTTTGAACAATGGTTCTTTCCAAGCAAAATCCGGTCCCATATATCCATTCATAGCAATGCCCCTAGCAACAGTTTGTTTGGAGCAGTGGCATCCCACCTACGGGGTCACTAGTGGTGTGCGTGCATTGTCGAGAAAGGAACTCTCTTACACACGGACTACAGAGCTGTGGCTCTTGCGCTGCGCCGCAGGCATGGAGGAGCTTTGTTGTGTTAAACTATTGTCAGTGCCGTTCTTCTTTTTCTTAAAAAAATATATATCAATAAAATGGGTTCCAACGGACATGAAGCCTGCCAGGGTAAAGGTGCGAGCACGCACCAGAGAGTCCACATAGGCGTTTGGTATTAAACCGAGTAACACACCGGACGAAAAGTCTATAGTGTTTTCGAGCCAACAAAAGTGTTAAGTAGAGAGCATTTCAGCTGTCTTCGTAAGAGGGGAGTGTGCTTTCATACATCACTTCAATAGTCACACGTGCTTAACGAAGAGCGCCGAATAAACCAGGGATCCGTGTGTATTCATTTTCGAGGTTCTTTAGATGCGCCTGCTTTCTGGTGTTAAGACATAATTATTTCATATTGCTTACATTCATATTGCGACATACTTAAAATGCTTTCAATCAACAGGACCGCTTCACTGCTGACCAGTTTGAACCTCTGGTGTTGAGGAACACTGGGTCAAAGAGGCTCAAGCAGAATGCTGTCCCAGCTATCTTCAAACACCAACCAGCCCTGATGGGAATAAAGCCAACCTTCAAAAGGAAAAAAGCTGATCATAGTATGTACATTAAAAAAAAAAATTCATATCTGTGTATGAAATATTGTTCCAGACCTAAGAAACTAACCATTCCATTTCCTTTATCAAGGCTCATTGTGTTTTATCTAAGTTCTGTACAAGCTATTGATTCCTCTTTTTGTAAATGCAGTTTTAAGAGACGCACAGTCCGTGACGAGCGGCCAGTTGCCAACTATGAACATAGCGGATACCAGTGAGTGTCTGCAGTTTACGACAAACTCAAAAAAACTTTCCACGACGGTTTCTGCTTACCATTAAGTTGTGTCTTCTGCAAATGCAGGTTCGCATGTGGAGGTACCCCCCCTGACGTGTAGCCAGTCGCCCACTGAAAATCCAGCCATTGGTGAGTGACTGCAGATTGCTCCCAATTTCGGGACTGTTAAATGCTCCATGTCTTTTGTCAAATGCAGGCTCGCACAGTGACACACAGTCGCCTAGGCGCGGCCGGCCACCAACTGGAAAGCATGTCATTGGTGAGTGAACAAACTTGGGAACTGTTATCAAATGCTTGGGCCGACTATTAAGCCCGTGACTTCTGTAAAGTCAGGCTTGCATGCTTATAGCCTTTCTTCAACGTGTGACCAGTCGGCCCACTAAAGACCAAACAGGGGTGGGACAGCTGCGCCAATTGTGCCATTTTGATACATTCCCAATTTTCACGCGTGGCGGTGCCAAAAGCGTAAAATCGACCAGAGTTGTGCCACGCTGCTCCAAAGGTCATGGTGGCGCTAGATTTAGCGGAAAGTGAAAGCTCGATTGACGACCATGGCTATTCGATTGCCAGGTGGCGCAAGCCGCCGCCCGTTTCCTTGGTTCAGCCGTATCTGTCCATCCATCCATTCTATGAATTCAATGTATCGTACATCGCACTTGTACGATGTATGATGAAACGTGGCATGTAACATTTATGTTGCCGAGTCGTCGTGCCCCTTCATTTTTATTCGAAATTTGTTTCTATAAGTAAATATCTTTCTGTGTGCAATTTCAGATATTTCACAGTAAAGTTCTGTGCGGCGTGCAAGTCTCTCTGTTCTTTGCGCACCTCGTGCTTTTGTTTACCCTCCGGATGCGCGCACATGCTCTTGTTTCCTTCTGACCTCAACGAATGAAGGCGCGTGCTTGCCTGGAATGCGCATTCTCTTTGTTGTCCTTTGATTGGCGTGCCCCTCCCTGCATTCTGATGTGCCAAGGGCTTGCTCTCTCTATTTAATACTTTCCAACACTTGTAGTACAAACCTGTCCATGAATGCTTCGGCTTACTATTTACCCTTTTCTTCTGCAAATACAGGCTTACAGGCCAATGCATTGTCCCCGACGCGTGGCAAGTTGCCAATTGTATACCAACTCATCAGTGAGTAACTGCAGCTTACTTCAAGCTTCTGTATTGTTATCAAATGCTTGTGCCAATCATTAAGCCTGTGTCTTCTGCAAGTGCAGGTTCGCATGCTAATGCACTGTCCCCGATGTGTGGCAAGTCACCGACTGTAAACAAAGTTATCGGTGAGTGATTGTTGGTTACTCCAAGCTTGAGAACTGTTACCAATTACTTGTGCCGATTATTAAGCCCGTGTCTTCTGCAAATGCAGGGTCACGTGCTAATGCACTGTCCCCGGCTTCTGGAGAGCCACCGACTGTAAACCAAGCCACTGGTGAGTGACCGTGACTTATTCTAAACCTTGTGAATGTTCATTAATGCTTCAATTTACTATTAAACCCATGTCTTTTGTAAATCCAGGCTTGTGCGCTCACGAGCAGCTTTCAACTTGTAGCCAGTCGCTAAGCGTAATTCAAGCCAATAGTGAGTCAATGGGATTTACTCTGAACTCGAGAACATTTCAAACATTCATTCATGTCAGCTCATGCTGACTGGTGAGCCTGTGAAATTGCCACTTGCTGGCTGGGGTGACATATTAACGATAACCTGAAAGTCTAATTATAGACACGGGATGCTTCTCTAGATTGCCTCGTTGCATGTCCTTAAACATTTTTTTTAAAATCTAAATGCGATTGCAAAAGATAGGAATTCTTCACGGCGTCTTGGTCTATAGGCGTTTGGTCTATAGGCAGGAAACAAAAGGTGCAAACCCTGGGTGGTCCTTCCGCAAAGTAAAGCTTCGCCCCCAAAGAGTGCGTTGTCGGATAGCCTCAGTTGGTTTGCGGCATAAAGCCACAATATATTCACTTGTGACAAAAGAGTTACAGTATTTGCTAACCAAGTTTAAGGGAAAACTATGTCGGTACTGTCCATGTAATAAAATTTAATGAAAATTGCGACAAAGACACCTGTCCATATACTGGACCAACAATGTAAATAATGGATTGCTGCTTGCTCACATTTCACTGACAGGTTCATGAACTATTTCTCATGCAGTTCAACATTCTTCACAACAGAATCAGATACCACCTTTAAGCCTGTCCAGAGTCAGTAAGGCGCACGAGATAGAGAAGCTGACGATAAACACAGGCCAGGGGCCTAAGGAAACAAATTATTTTGTCATTATGAACTGCGAAAATTGTGACAGAAACAGAATTCTGTCGTCTTCAAAAGACTCTAGGCTAATCAACGACCTCGCTGTCAAATATTCAATGTTGGCGCGATTAAGCACGAAGTTGTCCGTCATCGGCCTGCACCGCGAAGGGTGCTCTTAGTTTAACGCATCTTTACCTTCACATTTGCTCTAAACAGGACTTTAAATGCACCACAGTGTGCGGTAACTTGAGAGCAGAGAGGACTTACATATTGATATAACGGTTACAGCCTGCTTGTCAGTTATTGCCTTCGCAAATGCGACTCAAATACGGCAGCAGCAAACGCCTACAGTGGCTGCGTCTTGGAGCAAACAATACGGCAGACGGTAGGGATGAGGGTTGAGACATTGTCGAAAGAGAGGGTGAAGAGGCAGTGGAGAGTGACATGTCACTACTTTTCCAAATAACGCACAATCAGTGTAACCGCACTTCTAACAGTGAAGCGCACTCACTTTATTAGTGTGACTTGTGTGATCTCCCCACCCGTTCATCGAAAAGTGGTCAAAGCGAGTGAAAACTTACGTAAAGGCGTCGTTTGCCTAACAACATCGCACGGTCTCCTTCAAATCGATGCCCGAGTTTTTTGGTCTTTTTTTTTGTCAAGTAAAGTGAGTGAGGCATAAGTTAGGGGGCTCTCGTGTAACGAAAACTCCGAGAAGCGTCATGCCAGAAGGAAAAGATAAACAAGAAGACAGAGTAGTATATAATTAAACTGGGTAATTGTCACAGTTGACTACTTTGTGCTGGGAGAGAGGGATAGGGTGTTTAAAGGAAGGCTTTAAAGAGGCAGGGGAGAATGAGAGGCATAAATGTTACAAGATTTGAATTCCAGAAACACGGCACCGTTCACGGTTGCGGAGGTTCATTCCCCTTAAAAGCAGAAATCCAGGCGTGATTCCCCTTAGAAAACGAATGAGAACTTTTGCGGCATTTACCTTCTTAATTGTGATTGGTCCTGCGTAACAAACGATTCTGGCACAAAAAAGCGGCGGTTATTCGGGCATGTGAGCGTGCTTTTGAGTTTACTTTCTGCTAGTCCGTCATCTATCGGAGGTTAGTAGGGGCACAGATTGGGACGCGAGTGCTGTGTCAGCGTTCGGCTGGAACTCGCATTCTCACCAATTGGATATGACTTTAAGCCCAGCACCGACACACAACTCATGTGATGCTCTTCTATTTGTTTGTTTTTTTGTTCGTTTTGTTCAGGTATAAGGTGTAGGGCAGTAAGGCAAAAGGCAGGTTTGCTCTACCTGATGGGGCCCTGTTACCCATTTACATTGCTCAGCAGGTAACAACAACAATACAACACCGGAGAAAGAAAAAAAATTAAAGCAGGAAGAACATTAAAAAAAAAAACAATTTTAGCAAAAAAGCAACTACATACCCATCCATATTAACCCAGAGACGTAGGAAAATAAAAAAACGGACAGAACAACAAAGTCTCTAAACAACTACATATTTTGTGCAGTTGTTACTCAAACAATCGTACAGGATTGCAATGAACAAAGCATGATGTACAGTCGCCCAATCTTTTAATAATATCACGCAAGCGTCCACCGCCGGGACGGCCAGCGCTGTGCTGCGGAGAAATGCGACGTCACGAGAGAGATTAGGCGCATGCGCACAAAGCTCTCTCCGGTGCGAGCGTCGTCTGCTAGGCTATTCCGTTGACCGCACACAGCCCCTGTTCCTTACCTGCTGGCATAGCTGACTGCCTTTAAGCTAAGATCTGAAGAGCGCTTGCTTGCTTGCTTGCGTGATACCGTGATACTGCTCAGGCGTGAAAGAAATTGCGTGTCATCTCGTTTAATTTAGCTTTTTTTTTATTCTTTTATTTTTTTGTTTGCGCTTACTTTGTCAGCACCAAAAAAAGAAAAATATGATGACGCTACAAGCTAAATGCAACGATGCATTAAACTATATACCATAGCTAATGCTACAAGCCATCAAAACCAATCCAGCACTGTCACCCTGCCACATGGCGTTGTACTTCCACGTGCAGTTGTGCCCAACAGGAAGGCCACGTGACACACTCTTAGCAATAGCAGGGGCTGTGTGCGATCAGCGGAATACCCTAGCGGACAATGATCCCCAGAAAGGGCTTTGTGCACACGTGTTTAATCTCTCCTGTGACGCTGCATTTCTCTGCGGCACGGCACTGCCCGTCCCGGCGGTCGACGCTCGCATGATATTATTAAAAAATTGGGCGACTGCACATACTCGAGATTACAAGCATGCGTCGCAGCAACTTACTAGGGGCAAGCCACGTGGCACATTCGGTGTTTAAAAATATTTTCGGAATCAAATTAAATAATGTTGACGATTGGGATAAGTTGGTTTGTTCTCAAAAGTACAACGACGGGGACAGAGTGAAAGAAGACTGACAGACAACAGCTCCGGCCTCGTGCGCCATTGTCCTTTTTAAGTTTTCGGAGTTGAAATCCTTTTCACGTTTTCGGGAATCAGAAATAAAAGTTTCGCACCTTGGAAAACTTTCTTTTACCCTGTCCTCGTCATTAGCCGTTTCTATTTTTTTTTAGAATTGAAGGACACCGAGGCACTGTAATTCCAAGCAATTCCGGGTTTCTTTGATGACGGCGCGTTGGTACGTATCCGCACAGCAAAGAGACGTCCGGGACGTTCGGGGCAAACCTGCTGCATTCCGGGATGCTCGAAGAATGACACAAGGAACAAGGAGGTCTCTTGGCACAATTTCCCGGCCGACGTCGAGCTGAAGAAGCAGTGGGTGACGCAGATCAACCGAGCCATGCCGGGCCCGTTTTGGTGGGAACCAAAACCCAGCAACAAAATCTGCGGGGACCACTTCAACGCCAGCGGAAGGAGGAGGTACGAAGACAAGATCCCAAGGTTCTTCCCCCTGAGGCCGGACGCCGAAGCCCCGAGAGCATCACGTACGTAACGCAGTTCTCGGTGAGACTACGATGCCTGGATGACATTTTAGAATGTGATAAGTGCACTGATTGGAGAGGCCTTCCAGGCTTCGTAGCTCTACCAGTGGCTCTACTCTGCGGTTCGAAGGGGCAGCGGCAAGTCGGGTACAAAGTGTTTTCGCGGAAGCCCTCACGTCGTTCACAATTTCAGAAAAGGTCTGTGGTACAATCTGTAAGCTAACAGCAGTGCCACAACTGTAAAGACTTGTTAACTTGTTGGAAACTGGTTTCTGAATGAAACAGAGCAGGCAAGATATGTAAAGTGAAATATAAAGGGTTGTGTTCCCATTTACGCTTGAACAATGCCCGTACAGATCGAAATCAAGTGCTCGATATCCGCCCATTTATCTTAGCCTCGTCTAGCTCTAAAGCACAAGGTGGCACCGCCGCATGCATACAGATCATGCTGCGCTCTGTAGGCTTGAATTGTGGGACCGCTCTTGCCCGCATAACTGTCTTCCCCTTCTAGCCCACCATACCTAGGGTCTGCTTTTCAGTTGTTTGTTCTTTTACTTAATTGTATTTTAGAGTCAAATGAAAATGACAGTCGACAGTCAATGCTTTACCTGTGTATTCCTCCTACTATCCCTCTGTCTTTTTAGAGCGCAGCTCTTAGGGGCCCGTTCCCGGCTTGAGCGGCGTCGCCGTCGGCGTAACCAAGGTCATCCCAAGGTCACGTGGCCCCCAAGGTCATCCTAAGGTCACGTGAACCCCAAGGTCACATGACCCCCTTGAGGTCACGTGACCCCCCCGAAGCCACGTGACACCCCCAGGTCACATGACCACCCCCAGGGTCACGTGACCCCCACCGAGGTCACGTGACCTCGGCGGGGGTCACGTGACTGATGACGTCACTGATGACGTCATCAGTGATGATGACGATGCAGATGCCGGTGACGTCATCGTCACTGATGACGTCACCGGCATCCGCATCGTCATCGTCATCATCACTGATGACGTCATCAGTGACGTCACTGATGACCTCACCGGCATCCGTATCGTCATCGTCATCATCACTGATGACGTCATCAGTGACATCACTGATGACGTCACCGGCATCGCATCGTCATCGTCATCATCACAGATGACGTCATCAGTGACGTCATCACCGACATCCGCATCGTCATCGTCATCATCGCTGGCGAAGTCATCGGAGTCCGCATCGTCATCGTCACTGATGACATCATCGGCATCGTCATGTGACCCCCCAAGGTCACGTGACCTCCCCCAGGTCACTTCACCCCCCAGTACCCTTCTCCTCCTCAAGAGCTGCGCTCTCATTCGGTGTTACAGGGAGTTGTAAACGGCTTTCATTTTTTTCTGTAATTTTTATCTTCTTGCAAAACATCCTTTCACGTAATATTTTGATTGATTAAGTTATGTTCCTTTGTGCTCTTTCACTTTGCAGACCTAATTACAGCCGCCATTCAGCAACCTCTGGTCGTCGTCAGTGTACCGAAAGAGGAAGGTATGGATGGATTGTTTGCACAAATTGCTTTGAAAAAGTACAAGCTGGATGTAGCATATGATAATTTGTGGATTTAGTTTCTGTGTTACAGTTTCATACTAAAATCTGGGGTTCCACTTTATAAGGCTTTGAAATGTTCAAACCTTACTGATGTGCACATTTTCTATGTTCATAGTTGTAGAGTTTTTTTTAGGTTTAAGCTCAGCACTCAAGAATGTCTTTGAGGTTAAGAATGTAAAGATTAAAAGATTTTGACATTTCGTTTTTCAAGTTCAAGTTTGAGAAGTTTTAATTTTTTAAACCTCAAAACTCAAAATTCAGACCTAAAAAATTACTTTAAAAAAATTAAAGGTTCACAGAATAGATGAAGCGCGAGACACATGGACGGCAGAATCGTCCGATCCGACAGTCCGAACGCCGCTCCGAATCGCCGCACGCGGCAGTTTGAGACACAGTTTCCGACCTTGCATGCGACACGACGATCCGTTCGGCTCCACCCAGGAGATCCAAGCACTCCAGCGGAGGTCCGCGTTCACAGATCTCTGGTCCCAGATTGACGGTTTAGCTCGCATGAGCGAAGTTCGAAGGTCGTTCTTGTTAGCGCGTGCATTCTTTGCCGAAGCCATCTTTCTCGAATGGGTCAGCGGGATCAACGCGACCGGCTTTTTGTCGCCCATCCCGTTTTTTTATTTGCCCAGCCAGACCCGATACGTCATCATGACGTTCGCGCTAGCTGTGCTGTCATTGGCTAGACGCATCCGACAATCCGTCCGCCGTGCGAAACTATCTGGCGCAATGGACGCACGTCGGATCGGCGATCCGACGCCTGAAGCGACCAAATTTTTCGGATCAGGCAGTCGTACTGCTGGATCGGACGTCGGATCGGATGGATTTTTCGCGTATGTGTCTCGCGCTTAAAAGTCACAGAGTTCAGAATGTTTTTTATAAATATATTTATCGCTGAAACACGGTCAAATCAAGAAATGAAACCCCGCTTCTTGGCCCGCATATTTAACTATGCATCGTGGAAACCTCAAACTGTGTGAATGTGAAGCTAGCAGTAGCGATAGAATGCACAAACTTTGAGAACAGGACGTTACCTGGCTCAAAGAATAAAACAGAAAAAGGAAATTTCTCTTTGAGACCCCATTTATTTAGGCCTAATATTCGTTAAACTATGAAATTATATTGTGGGCACCTGGGGCAATTATTAAGTGAAAAGAAATTGTGAGCATGGAAACAACCATTTTTCTTGTGGTGACTACGGGTCATGTGGTTGGTGTAACTACTGGTCACATTGTTGCATGACACCACGGCAATGTAACATCATGACTTTATGTCACATGACCTCCGATAAAGCTTGCACGATTATTTATTTAGGGCACGCATCCGAGTCTTGACACTCCACTGGTACAAGGGTAAAGCATTAAATTGTGGAACGTGAGGTCCAGGGTTTGATGCCTGTCGAGGGATCGTAAAGACACCTGGCTGTGTTATGTTGTTTTCATGACAAGACATGGAGTTGGGCTAGTTAGTTTAACATGACTAAAGTAAAAGAGAAAAAGAAAAGAAAAATGTGTATGTGTGCTTTTTCAGCTTGTCTCTTGTCTTTACTTGCTGTTTTGCTTTTTGCTCTTGTAAATTAGTTTTTAAAAGCATTCTGCTTGATGAAGTTCGGAATCAAAGAACACTGCAATTCCAAAACAGTTCTGAGCTTCTTTGACGGCATGGCGTCTGTGCAGGAAGGAAGCGTACGTGGCAGGGACATTCCAGACAAACTTGCTGCGTGCAAGGGTGCCGAAACAACGACAGGAGGAAGAAGAACGAGGAGCTCTCTTGGCACAAGTTCCCGGCCGACATCGAGTTGAGGAAGAGATGGATAACGGAAATCAATCTGGCTCTACCAGAGGGGCAACCATGGTGGGAGCCAAAGGCCAGTAGCAAAATCTGTGGGGCCCACTTCAACACTAGTGGAAGGAAGAAGTACGAAGATAAAATTCCAAGGTTCTTCCCCCCGAAGACGAATCCCGAATCCTCAAAAACGCCACGTACGCGACATAGTTTTTTTGGCGAGATCCTGTAGAAGACGTTTTAAGGGGCAGCAGCCAATCGGGGGTGCAATATTTTTACTTGACCCCCTGTGGTCACGGCAAGATTGGATGGCCCCTGATTGGATGCCGCCCATTTACGTATTCACATGTAGAGAGTGCCTGTCTACGCTCTCTGCACATGCAGAGGGGGCGTGATCGTGCAGTGGGAGGTAGACGGTTGGCCGGTCCAACAAACATGTAGCTTCCACCGTCCTGTCAGTTTAGTAGTGAACGGAGTATAGCCCTGCGTGATGCCGAGAAGGTCAGGTGGTGGGTTTGAATCATGAGATGTTATTTCCTTACTATTGCATTGCGGCTGTTAAAATTGGTTTTTGTTTCCTTGCATTATGAAAGTGGTTTGCACCTTCTGCAGGGCACTAATAAGAAGTTTAACCATACGCCTAACTCGGCGGTTCTCAAACTGTGGTCTGTGAACCCCAGGGTTCGTTGAGAGCATTCACGGGGTCCACGCCAAATCAAAAAACCGCTCTAAGAAAAAAGGCCTTCCTATGCCATCGCACGAGACCTCTGGTGAAGAATGCAGTGGGGGGTCCCCGAATGACCTCCGAGTGGGTAAGGGGGTTCATGACTGCCAAACGTTTGAGAATGGCTGGCTTAACTTACAATCGGAGCTTGGACTGAATTATTCGCACATGAAACCTTTCTACCAGTGAAATTACTCAATAGAATGATTATAACAGAAGAACATAGCCAAGTGCCAAGCGTACGCTAACCTAACTTTTCAGGCCGGTTTCACCCAGCTAAAATGCATTGTCCATGTTTTATCCGAATGCAACATAACTTCCCTGCATTTCCCCTTCAATTAATTGTGCGTTTCTTGGAACTGACACATCTGCTCTTCACCCTCTGCACTCATTAATCCACAGACGTCCTGTTTATGTGCCGCCTTAAAGAGCCTTGTGCGACGTTAATCCCACTTTTTGTTTTCCAGGAAATCCAGCACAGTCGTTTGCAGACCTGGATCATGTGCCATCGATCTTGGGTGTTCCCTCAGGTCAGCCACGATAAAAAGATGTGGTCATTTATTTTTTATACAAAAAAAATGAGATTCAAAATGAATGCGCATGCTTGATTGTCCACAGTTAGGTTTCGAAACTGATGGCAAAGATTTCTTCTACATTGATCGGTTCTGTTTTGTCTCTTTGTGCTATTCTTTTTACATTGCAGACCTGACCTTAGCTGCCCATGAGCAACCTGGAGTTGCCGTCAGTTTACCCAAAAGCGAAGGTATGCATAGCCGGCTGTCTTGAGGGGTTGTTTAAGCCACCTTGGTGGCTCCAAGGCGAGAGCGTCGGTCGGCCTATGGATCCCCATGTGGCGGGTTTGAATCCCGGCCAAGGTGCCCGCAATCTGACGGAGGCTTATTGCGGAGAATACGCCGTGTAACCGAGATTTCGGTTGCACGTGAAAAGATCCCCAGGTGGTCCAAATTAATCCTCAGTCCTCCGCTGGGGCGTGCCCGATGCCCGCCTTTGGTTTGGCACGTAAAACCCCGAAATTTGACTTTTTTTGAGGGGTTGTTTGCAATCAAAATCAGTTTGAAAAGTGTAAACAGGATGTGGCATGTGTTAATGTCTCTTTCAGATTTAGTTACAGGGTAAAGCCCGTTCACACACTTGTGACCTTTTAGAGTCAAGTGCCTTGAAACCTTTCAAAATCTCGTACGACGAGAGGACACGCTGGGCAGCACCCATTGGGTAGAAGTGACACACTGGGCAGTCTTGTGTATTTTCAATTTTTTCCGCATCTCATTATTTTCTTTTTGGCTTGAAAAACATTTGTCAATATTATAAACAAACATTTCTCATAAGTAGTATGTACATTTGACCTCGCAAATACCGCCAAACCTTTTCTTTAGTGAAATGCAGTTCCAGGGTCACTGCATAGATGGCACCAGCGTGTCAGTATGTTCTCCCGTTGTAAGAGATTTTAACAGGTTTTAAGGTGCTCGGTTCTAAGGAGTCAAGTGTGTGAACGGGCCTTCACAGTCTCGTAGTAAAAATTCCAGTTTATAAGGTTTTGAAACATCCTAACCTCACTGACGTGCAAATATGCAATGTTCATAACTTTTGAGTTTGTTCAATATTTTCAGTTTGGCAATCTAAAACCGTCCTGTAATTGACATTTAGAAAGATGAGAAGATTTTGACATTTTCTCAGGTTCCAGTTTGAGAAGCTTGAATTCTCAAAATGGTCACAGAACTCCAAGTTCTACACTTCCAAAACATTTTTGAAGCTTTCACGAATAAAAAATAGAAGTTTCCTAGCCTAGATCATTTTGACTAAGTTTGCCAGTTTTACGGCGGTAGCCGTTAGTGCCCATTCCCAGCCAAAAATGCTTGCGTACGAATGCAAAACCCTACTCTACAGCAACAGCACTGTTCTACCTCTCCCCGTCCTTCCTCACGCATACACGCCAACAGCAAGGCTCTCTGTCGTTCCCCCCCCTCTATAGGCCGCCGCTGTTTCGAAAAACCCACGTAATCACGGGGGGAGTACTTTCTGCCTCGCCATCCTCCCCTCTACATTCACATTCCCTCCGGTAATGCTCTTCCTTGTCCCGCCCACCCCCCCTGGCAGCCGCCATTGTAAAATACCCACGTGGTCGCCGCTGTGGTGACGCGCTCCCCTCGCCTCCTCACTAACGCCACCCAGGTTCTGTTCTCAGAACCCATTGCAACCATTGTTCAGCGCACTGTCTGAAGGCAAATATCTTTCAACGTGCCTTTCCACAGCGCAGCAGTTACCACTGTCAATCGCAGCATACTGTGTGCAGTCGTTTGCAATATTTACAGAGAAGCTATAAGAATTGCATACGACTGCACATTTCCTCGTGTCATCATCCTCACAAAAAAAAAAAAGAAACGCCAATTGAAGCGAAAAGTGCATATCATGCATGCAACATACAGCACAGCATTCGTTTCAATAAGGAACAAGCACCAAACAAGCATCCCAACCACATAATTGAAGATAAGGCGCTCCTGATAACAATGCGAAGCATGTAATGCTCAACGCATATGTTTCTCGGTTGTTGCACAAGCTGCCGCGGCGACGGCAGCTTGCGACGTGGGGAGTGATGTCGCTAGCCTTTTATATATCTAAAGTTTTAATATAGTGTAGTATAGTTGCTGTTTACAAACATGAACTGCCACTTGCGTCCCATGTGACTGTGGTTCCGCCTTTGCAAACCTGTCATGCTTGTTTATGTCACCAGTGCTAGAAAGCATAAATGCTATATACGTGCATCAAAATTGGAGATTTAAAAAGGCCCTCGGCTGGACATATAACATCTTGGAGGAGGCAAGTTGGTTTACAAGAATATCCAAAAAATATTAATAGATCTCGCGCTTCTTCATTTTGTTGGCGTTCACCTGGAGTTAAAGTTTCATCAACATTTCAAGTAGCAGTGTTAGGGTGGGCTTTGTTCATTCCTTTTCTAAACAGGAAGTTCTCTGGGACGTCAAAAACTGGAGCACCACCTGGTGGCGTTTGCCATGAAAAGGGTCTATAGTGCAGTGGGCAATCGTTGCAGGTGATACCACAGCTTCGCTGGTAAACCACCTTCGCAGCGTGGATTGGAACCCCGACTTTTTTTCCAAGTACTCTTACATCAGACATACTTTTAATGCCATCGAGCAGTTTTTGATGAGGGACCAGCAAACGCACAACAGCTACGCGTTCGTTTCTGTTTTTGTCTCGATCCCATCTCTCTCGCGCAAGTTTTTAGCAGTGTGCAAATTACGGGGAGCGTCTCTCCGGCCATCATCGTTGTTGTCGCTTGTGACAGTCGGTAGGATTGATGGTGCAGGTTTCGCGGCTCGCTCCTCGCATCGTTTGGTTGTGCGGCAAAACTAGTTTTGCGTACCGGGTTTATTTTGCGGGGTAATATTTCCAGTTAGACATTTCAACATAGCTCGAGTATGTGTGCGGTGCCTGAAGCATGCATTGGACCGGCACGTTTAGCGTCCCATTTCTCCCACGAGTCGAAAGAGGTCCCGAAGTCCCCGACGACGCAAAAGCTGGACGACGACATCGCAAAAGCCGGAGCGTCGTGCCGTTAGACGTTAGAACAGGCACGAGCGAGCATTGCCTCGGGAGTATTGACGTTCAAAATCGTTGTTGCCAGCCGTCTAGCTTCCCCCAAATATGTAGGAATTGCTCTTTTGGCATTTCGTCCTCCAGATGCGTCCAAATGGTCCGAGGAGGAGAAAGGCGACATTAACCAAGCTTTCCGGCGTCCCACAAAAGAAAACTCTTGGGCAGTCGCATTTTTGGAGGACGACAATCGCCGGTCGCGTCGGCCCTGCGCCGAGCGCCAAAATGGCGGCGTCCGCGAGGGGATCAGGTGACGGGGCGCCACCACTCTGGGCGCTGCTCGTCGAGTGTGGCACCGTGCGTAGTACTAGTAACGTTGTTGGAATCGGTTGCATTCGTACGAGTGACGGGTAGCAGGGTTGTCTGGGAGGCCATTGCAAATGGTGGAGGCATGCCCGACGAGGTGACAGCCACAACTCCGCAGTCCCATCGTTCGGCGAGCCCGGGCAGAAAGAATGTTCCAACGAAAGAAAGAAATCCGAACAGTAAAAAATATGCATCAACAATTTTGCAAAAATGCCGCATTAAAAGGATGAAAGCGAGTTGATGGCCTAGTTGGATAAGCATCTCAGTGACAGTGCGAAAGACGAGGATAAGTAGAAGCACTTGTCCTGTCTAGTCTTCTACTTGTCCTTGTCCTTCGCACTAGATGTTTTTAAGATGCCTAGTACTAGTAGTACTAACCGAGCGCATTGGTGTTGAGGCAGAAGTGCCAAGGCAGTGGTGTACCGTTTCGTGCCCCAGTGCAAGACCTACCACGATGAACAGGGTGGAAGTTTGCAGTATTTTTGAACGAGAGAAAACCCGCGGCTACATTTAAATATTTGAAGGGAGGGCACTGGCCGTTTTTGCTGCTTGTTTAGCGTGAAGGCCGCTTTTTGCTGTGGGAGAACTCGTCAGTGCCAACACTGGTAATGCAGCCGCCCCAGCCGACGGCAGGCTATGTAATGGTGTGTAACCAACTGCTACATCGAAACATTCATTTGCTTACTACTTGTGTAAAGTAATCTTTTTTTTTTTTTTTTTATGCAGGTGAACAAGAGTTTTTACAGTCAGCAGCAGTGCATGGTGAGTTTGCATGACAGTAATGTAACTGCTGAGCCATTTGTGCCAAACTGCGCCAAAATGAACAGCCTGCTACATGCTGCTCCAAAGGCTGTATTTGTGCACAATTTGTGCCATGTCTGCACCAAAGGGGAGCTATTCTCGAAGAGGAAACTGAACGTGTCTGGCACATGGCATTGTTAACAATGCCACAAAAAATTAAAAAATTTTTTTCAAATGGTTAATTATTATGTGCGAAGAGTAGGGTTGTGCAAATATTCGAATTTTTAAATATAGTAGTTAGAAATAAAATGCTATTTGTAGAAATAAAACACTATTTGATATTCTCTTCAAAATGAACTGCGATATTCACACTTTTTGAAGTGTTGGTTGCGGTGGGGTTAGCCCCCTTGAGTGCGCTTCTCCTCAAGCAGCGGTGCACGGCAGAGAAGCAATACCCGCGGAGCTGACACCGGAATCGCGCGACTCGCTTCGCCGCAGCCGAGCTGTGCTTTTAGGTGAAAAACACACTTTCAAAGTGGTCTGCTGCATGCGCAAACCTACTGTATTAAAAAAAAAAAGAGACGTGATTTCTGATTTTACATTGCAGTAAAGTCTTCAAAATTTAACTGGCTATTATGCAAGATGTCAGCGATGTTTTAACAATCTGTGTTCATTATTAATGTGTTTTTTTCTTTTTTTAATTTAAAATATAAGTTTGTATATAGCAAGAAGATTTATGAAACCCTTCAATTAGGTATGGCTGGGCTTCTTTACAGGTTTAATTGTATGAAAAATCTGTCGTTTACTTGCCATTCCAATGTAGGTATTGGATTTTCTGAGGCCACAATCTATAAATATAGCTAGATTGAATTTAACAGAGCTCATAAATGGGTAATTAGAAGCTTGGGAACAGCGTTCACAGTTCAACTGAATTTTCGTTTAAACATGGTGTAACAGTAGTGAAAGGCATAGAGAAAGGCGCAGCAACTATTCAATATTCAATTCAAAAATATTCAGCCAAAACAACTATTCACTTTGAATTTGCCTCAAACCCAAAATTTATTATGTGCACACTCCTAACGTCTGAATAATGCTCGCATCGATCGCGATAAACAGCTAGTGCTATCCAATGTGATTGGTTAGAGTAGCTATGTGCTCCGCTTAGCTACTCTGAACAGTAGCAGGTGGAATATGAGTGGCAGCAGCACGATACAAACCCTACAAAGTAGCCAAAAACATTTTTTTACGGCAAACTCGGACCGAAGGCGCCATCGGTACTCCTAATAGGTTAATTGAGACATCAGGAAAATTACCGCTGTATGATGTTCAGTAAAAAATATCTGTAGTGGCCAGGTACCCTGTAGGAATGACTCTTCAAATAGTCTCCGAACACTCCAGCAACTGCAGTTTTTTTTTTCCACAGTCTAACTTTGAAACATTGTATAAAATTTTCTAGCATGAAAGCTCAAAATTGTATTTTTTTTTTTTTTTTCAAAGGTGAGAATCTCTGCTTCAAAAGCCGTCTTCCCTGCTACAAGAGCTGTTCCAAATCACCACTTGTCAGTTTCACTGCATGCTGGAAGATGCTTGCCAGCATTACAGAGAAGCATTGGCACAATTGTGTATGCATTCTCGTTTGCTCTTCATTCCCATGGCTATGAAAAATTTCAATTCAGTCTGCAGGACTAACCTCACTAGTTCAACTAAGTGATCGCCGTCTTGTGGAGTTGACCAAGTTAGAATTAAAAAACTTATTTTATCGTGTGACTTGAAAATGGGAAGGGGGTCATTTGTATGCTTAAAATTGGGGGTGAAGGCTTCACTTAGCTACAGCTCCAATTTTTTTTTTTTTATATTCTCACACATTGCCTTTTTTTTTGGAAACCTTTCCCATTCAAAGCAGAACCAGGGATGACACATAATTCTGCAATGCCATGTTCCTTGTTGTTACCATTGGAATTGCCAAGGTATTGAAGCTATTGAAAGATTCAGCATTCTAATTTATCACCATCAGAATTATGAAACACAATATTGAGCAGACAAACATGCGCTTTAGAGTTCGACAACACAGATTGGTACCTAAGAATGGTGCTTTGTTTGAAACTCAAGGTGTCGAAGGAACAGAATCTGCAATTCTGTGCCAAAAGTGTGAAGATATTTCTGCTGATTTATTCCCCTGGCGGCTAATGCAAGAATCACTTTGAAAGCAAAAATTCATTGGACGAGACTTATATGTGCAATTAATTGCTGACTCAAGCTGGCGTGAGCACTTTCGCCCACTTCAGCATAACTGTGAAGCTGAGCCACTTGCAAAAGAAATTATCTTTAGCATTTATGTAGGCAAAAGTTCTTAAACAGACATGAGATGGTTTATACCAATGAAACAATCAATATTGTTACGTTTTTAATTTACAAAAGGACGTCCATAACCAAATCAGACCCAATTCGAAGTGTGTCACGCGCCGTCTGCACGCACTTCGTCGCCGTCCTCGGTGGGTTCTCGCACGCGCCTCGGCAGCACCGCTACACTATTTCCCCTCTGAGTTTTTTTAGTGATGTTTCTTTGTAGGTTGGTTCATTCTGCTTAACAACCTCGCCACGTTCCATTAAAGACAGACAGCTCCTTTTGCAGGTGTCGTTGCCGATGCTCTTCTACGACAGTTCCTCCGCAGCACCAAAATCCAGCACATTGGCGCTTTTTGAAGTTGATGCCCGGAAACTTGTCACTTGGCCGCCGCTAGCTCCTGTTTTCGTCACCCCTGGTGGCATGCCTAATCAGAACTCTGATGCCGGCACATATCATATCGGTGCAAAGCATCACTGCACATTTGCGCATTTCGAAAAGCAACACCGAAAATGAAATGTGCCGGTAAGGCCAAAGTTCAGAAGATAGAGCGTTATGCTCACGACCTCATCTGCCGAATGTCCAGAACGACAGTCAGAAAAACATTCAAGTCCAGCGCGCACTACGCTCCTCAATGCCTTGAAGCTTTGGGATGCAAATTTGGCCATAGGCGAATGCAGGATCTTCAGTGAACGGCCACAGAATGGTTGTCGGGAACGTGGCGAAGTGGTAACTTGTTCGTGGCGGTTCCCGCATGAAGATTTGCGGCGTCGGGAAATCCAGCCGCCATCCATTGGTTCCATGAGATGCCAACGCTGACCACATTGCAGAGGATGTTCTTCCCGAGAGGAGGCTGTCCGGGTAACTTGAGGCGCCATGCGAGAAATCCCACTTCTGACACCAAATGTTACGTTTTTAATTTACAAAAGGACGTCCATAACCAAATCAGACCCAATTCGAAGTGTGTCACGCGCCGTCTGCACGCGCTTCGTCGTCGTCCTCGGTGGGTTCTCGCACGTGCCTCGGCAGCACTGCTACAATATGTTCGCATGTTTCTGGGAACCGAAACCAATAGGGCAGCAAGAAATAAGACTACTAAACTAAAGGAACACCGACTAAAAAGCTTCATGTGCTTGAATATGTTACGATTAGGATTCCGTGTTTTCATATCAATCCAAAAAACACTCGGCAGTAAAACATTTTGTCGATTTGGATTTATTCGAAAAACTTGGAATTTCGATGTCACAACAGCAGACTGAAAAGCAAAAAGAACGGTATTTTATAAATTTTCTCAAAGAACAGGTTCGACAATCTTTAAAAAAAAAAAAAAAAAAAAAAAAAGACCGATTCAGGTAATTTTTTTTTTTTTTTTTTTTTTTTAATTGGCAAATGGGAGCTTCTTGTTTATATCATTAAGGTCTGTCTAGGACAACGGGCCAACAACCTTTTGGGCCACGACAAAAGCAACTGTTCCGATTTGCAGTTTGGATCATATTAGTGATCCTTGGAGGATGGGTTGGATTTTTATAACAGTGAAAGAAGTGGCCTTATACATTTCATGGAAGGAGGGCAGCTGAAGCCTTTACGCTTCCCAACGACTACATCCATAAATTAGGTTATTTCAAAGTACTTTTTTTATTTTTTTTAGCAACATTTGTTTGCAAGATTTATTGTGGAACAGTTAGTACTGCTATTGCAAAGTGCAGCTGCAGGAATATTTTAGAGTGCAGCTCTTAGGCGCCCGTTTCTGGCTTGAGCGGCGTCGGCGTCGCCGTAACCACGCTTTGCATTATGGGACGTTCCTCATAATGACGTCACAAGGGACGTCACGTGTGACATCATGAGGGTCACGAGCGACGTCACAAAGGTAACGAGTGAAGGTCACGACTTTCACAGTGACCTTCACGAGTGACGTCACAAGGGAGGATGGAGGAGCCGAAAATACCCTTCTCTCTGTACCTTCCCCTCCTCCTCCTCCTCAAGAGCTGCGCTATAATTCGGCATTACAAAGAATTGTAAACATCTTTCGATTGATGCTAAAGTTGAGGCTTGGGCGAGTTGGTACATCGGAATTAAAAACAGCGCGGAAAGACGAGGACCAGACAAAGAAGTGACACGGACGTAGCGCTACGTCCGTGTCACTTCTTTGTCTAGTCCTCGTCTTTCCGCGCTGTTTTTAATTTTCGATTGAGTTTTTATTAATCAAGTCTGAGGATATGTTTTTGTCCAAATATACCTTAATTTTATTAAAAAAATTAAAAAAATTGGGAACACAGTCACGCGTTTCGGAATTGCTCTTAACTCAAAAGGTGTCTTGCAACGTAAATATATTGTGCTCAAAAAGTTTTTAGGAAAACTTCATTGTGTGATTTACGTGTCTTACGTACGCAGGCACAAAAGGGGTTTTTGGAGACTTGAGTGTCCACTTTAAGATCAACTTCAATATTGTGCAAAACATTGGAGTTTTAGTCTACCATTCTGATACCTCCGACAGCTATATGGTGCATGCGCAAAGGCGTCGGTGAAGTGTCGGGTATCGTTATGGAGTCATCGGAACGACCTACTTGTACTCCCCGTTATGACTACTACTCATTTTTTAAACCGAGTTGCTACCTTGGTTGAGCTTTTCACGCATCTCCGAACGCACGCAAGGGCTTTTTTCGTTCTTTCATAGGTGATGGAAACACGCCGTTGGGATCGACCAGCTTCCTTTTGAAGGTCACCGAAGACGTCCTGTTCCGGTGCTGTTTCTGCACCCACATCACCACCGACCGGCGCGGGATCGTGAGCCACCTGGTTTCCCACGACGATGAACAACCGTCAGAGTGCCAGTACCGTCCCACGTCGTTTGGCTCCACGTCCATTTTGCGCCACCACATTCAAAAGCGGGCGAGAGACAGGTCGTTGAAGTCCTCCGGCTCGATTCAAGCGTGCAAGGACGAGCACCAGCAGTCTCCCGAAGCCTTCACGCAGAACAGCGGCGTAACCAATCGCGTTTTAGCACAGACGAGCGACGAAAAATCTTACAGGTGCGATCTGTGCCCCAAAACCTTTGCTGTGCACGACAGTCTGGCCCTCCATCGTCAAACGCACGGGGGTCAGAAACCTCACAGGTGCAAGCTCTGCCCCCAAGCCTTCGTACAGCTTACGAATTTGGTCGACCACGTTTGTACGCACACAAATAAAAAACCTTGAAAGCGTGGGCTGCGTCTCGAAGTTCTGGAAGCAAGACCCGCACTGTTCGCGTTTGGGCCCCTACAGGTGCAGGACGTTACAAGTGCAACCGTTGTTGCGAAGCCCTTGCTTGGAATGAAACTCTAGCCCAAAGGGCCAACGGTGCTCCTTGACAATTTCTAACCAGCCTTGCTTCAGCAGTCGCTTGTCAACACACAAGGATTATGAAACCAGGGACATCTGCAGGAGGACACTGATGTGCAACAGGCCTTCCAAATGCATATATCTCGGAGTCTTCAATCTCTGTTCCAGTGTGCCATAAGCTGAAGACATAATTTCTTTTTTTTAATTTAAAAAGTTTTTTTTTTTGTTTTTTTTTAAGGGGGGGAATCACAAAATATATTAGGCTACAGGCGCCTCTGTAGCAAGTTTAGCGCGATATGCTAAGGAACCGATTTATGCACTCTCTTCAACAGGTCAATGCACCATTGAGTTTATCCAGTGGTGTTGGAACGTAAGCCGTTCATCGTAGTATCACATAATCATCCTTGCATTAAGGTCTTTGTTTGTGCGGGACAATACCTCGTCAAACCGCAAGTCCGCTCCAGTGGCAGTCAGAGGCGGCAGCATCCGATTACAAACTGGAGCATGCTTTTTCTTGCATATCAAGCTTGCATAGTTTGACGTGTGTTTTCTTGAGGTATGGTCAAATATGTGTAAAAATATTTCTATCCCTGCTGGCTTCTTTGTTATACACTCTTGTCTCACTTGGGTACAACCAAGATAGTCTCGCAGATAATAAATGTTTGACGAGACTTTCGTTTTCGCCTATTCTTTTGGCCAAGCGATGTAATTTCACTGGCAGATGTCTAGTAACACTTAGAAGGTTCCCATTTTGACATACTGTACTGCGCTGAGGACTTATTTCAGTGGTTACCTTGCCATAAAATTTATTCCAGAGTGTGCATGTTTCAGTTCAACAGCATGTGGAGTGGACGCATGAGAAATGGCAGCTCAGACCTCCACGCCTACAAATATTTTGGTGTTCCTATAACCCATAACATGTTATGGAACAATCACATTAATCACATCTCTGCTAACACCAACTCTATGCTTGGTTACTTAAAACTAAATTTGGAATTAGCCCCCGTGTCATTAAAATTACTTTTATTTAAAACACTGGTACATTCAAAATTTGAATACGCTGCAGCAATCTGGGGTCCCGGTCACCCAACACTTGTGTCCAACATTGAGGCCATACAAAATCGCGCCGCACGATTGATCTTTTGTAATTATCACCGCACCGCAAGTGTCTTGTTTATGGAAACTAACTCATTTCAATAAGAAAAGCTAGAAAACACGTGTCGAAACCACATGATAGATGATAAGGCGCGCAATAACAATTCGAAGCACGTAGCGCTCCCCGCATGCATTTCTAGGTGAAGATTGTGGTTGCATAAGCTGCAGCGGCAATGGCAGCGTTCGAAATCTCTCATATATATTAAAAAGAAGAAACGCCTAGCAACTGATTTGATTGTTGTTGCAAGAGTGCTATGGGTAGGCCACGCACAGTTAAGACATAACGGTACAGAGATGTTTCAGGGGACATGGCAAAAGGCATAAATGACTGACGGGGCCATGCCACCCTTTTCGCAACAACGGTAGCAAAAATAAACAAATGAGAAATGATACAATTTCACTCCAAACTAAAAATCAATACAAAACAAATACATCACAAAACATGACGTGAAAGGACAATTGCTAGTTATCATTCCAAGCATTTTGCTTAGAACACACCCGGTTTTATTCCCCTGTGAGTAAATGTTCTTTTACAATATGTTTATACTGATAGAGTGATCGTACCACTGATCTCTATGACAATTGCTGGATCGCGCTTCCCCGCTTGTTCGCTGCAGCGCAAGTGAAGCCACCGGACTTCACTCGCTTGGGATACGATTTGCCGTTTTTGCTAGCCTTTGCTGCGGTTTTCCAGCGTGCTGTGGACACGTTTTCTACTCGTTCGTCGTCATTCGCCGAAGAAGTTTTTTGAAGACTCTGTGTATTGTTGAGACTTGCCGTTGTGAACACGTGGACAATTTTACGAAAGTGCAGTGTCGCAGGAAAAAGGCACAACGCGTCGAAAGGAAGGGCTGGCGGCGTGTTCAAAGCTTCCATGGCACGCCGAAGTGCCGTGTCTCTGTGCCTTCGCACGCTTGGATACCGACCAAGAACCGACGCCGTGTGTATGTGTCTAGCGAGTGCAATGTGCGTGAAGCTGTTCGTGCCTCTGGATCAGCGTCTTTTCCCCTCGCGGTTTAGGAACGAGCTTAATCCAGCGTCCACTAGCGACGGAAGATGGGGGGAAGGTACGTCTTTTTTTCGTCCTTAGACGATTTACGCAATTCCGTGCACAACAGCTCCTCATCACTGATCAGTGCTGACTTATTATCAGCCTACTTAATTGCACTTGACGTTTGAGCGCGGCTCGCCTAATTGTAATTGGTCAGCAGATTGCACACGACCATATCGGCCGCGCTTCAAAGATTTTCATTCTCGCCGTCTTGTACTTTTGCTTTCGAAAACCCCCCTGGCTCCACAACGTTGCCCTATTCGTGCTCCCACGGAATCTATTGGAGTAGATTTGGGACATAGCCATGGTTAATATAGTACATAAGAACACGTACAGATCTCTCCCTTTTATTGATAGCAACTCACCGGAACAGCTGGACGATCCAGAACTCCGTGGCCGATATATATAAATGATCTAAAGGCTTCTACGCGCGACACACGTTCAGAACTTTGGCGCGGCGTCAATTCTTGACCGGTATCCAAGCGTGCGAAGGCACAAAGATGCATCACTCGGCGTGCCAAGGAAGCTTTGATCACGCCGCGACTCCGGCGACACTTGTTTTCGACGAGTCGTACCTTTTGATACGGCTTCACGCTCATTGCACTCGCAAAACACATCCACACGGCGTCGATTCTTGGTCGGTATCCAAGCGTGCGAAGGCACAGAGACACGGCACTTCGGCGTGCCAAGGAAGCTTTGAACACGCCGCCAGCCATTCCTTTCGACGCGTTGTGCCTTTTTCCTGCGACACTGCACTTTCGTAAAATTTTCCACGTGTTCACGACGGCAAGTCTCAACAAAACACAGAGTCTTCAAAAAACTTCTTCGGCGAATGACGACGAACGAGTAGAAAACGTGTCCACAGCACGCTGGAAAACCGCAGCAAAGGCTAGCAAAAACGGCAAATCGTATCCCAAGCGAGTGAAGTCCGGTGGCTTCACTTGCGGGAGCGGCAAGTGAGATCAGTGGATCGTACGCACTCCAATGAAGCTAAAATGTATGGGTATTGGTTTAAATAGTCTGGTATAAGAAAACTCAATCTCTGGTCTCCATAATTCGTTCGCGAACGCGATTTTATTTATAAATGACGGCTTAAATTATACGGGCTATCTTTCGTGTGGTACTTAGCATGGAACACCAATTTATCGAGCTGAAATTGCCGCCAAATTTCAAGTGATAGTCTATATTGATGTAGATTTCTTACATTGAGAATTTGATATGTCCTAAAATATGGTGTGGCACTTTTAAGAAGTTGTATGTTACCAATTGCTCACAATGCTTGCTTTTGTATGGATACAATATTGTTTAGATTTGTTTGGGATGATCGTTGACCAGATTTTCATGGAATAAAACCCCCAAGAATCGAATGGTTGAAGATGGTTGAATATAAGAGTCCTGGAATTTTCATTGCAAATTGGAAGGTGGTATCATTCCTTTTGGTCTAAACAGTAAGTACTTTGTTTTTTCTATGTTTAAATAAAGTTTATTAGGTCTAAGCCATAAAGGGGTACTCCGCTGTTTTTTTCATGGTCCCCGATTTGCTTGAAATTTTGCTAAACTAACCAACAAACATCGTGAAAATAGTATCCCAAATGTTAGGTCAAAATATTGTTTTTTTGCGAAGTTATTGAATTTACAGTTTTGGTCCTCACCGTGTTTTTCAAGCTCGAAGTCTCTACTGGCAACAATGAAAAAGTGACGTCAGTGGAAGGCAGGGGTTCACTCTTTGGGCTGTAGATTTTGTTTTAAACTGATTCGAAGCAGTTTCATGGTGTCAAATGAATGCTTGGGAAGCTCGCTGCAGTACCCGCGCCCCAGCACGGAACAAATGATTGGCATATTCTATTTTTTGGCTGCTTGCTCGACTGGCAAGCTTGCCTGCCACTGACGTCACGGCACTGAAAAGTGCGCGTATATTTGAATGTTGGTTTTTGCATCATTTTCATTTGCCAATTTCACAATACCTATTATGAATTTCGCGATTCTAAATAGCATACCGGAGAGAGTAAAGGCCGGGGAGTCAGAAAATATAGTTACTTGAGGTCGTCGATGTCCGAGCCAGAAAAGAAAATATTTGTGTCATCTGCATATAGGACTATATTTGAACTGCCATGTATGTTTACAATGTCGTTAATATATAACAAAAATATTATAGGACCAAGAATAGATTCTGAGAAACCCCATACTTTATGTACTGAACGTCTGACTTTACTCCATTTACTACTGTATATTGCGTTATTGTAGTGAGGTAACTTTTAAAAAGTGATAAGGAAATACCGCGTATTCCTCAAAACGGAAGTTTCTGTAAAAGTATTTCATGCTGAACGCAATCAAAAGCCTTCTTGAGATCTAGAAATATACCAAGCGTGAATATTTTTTGTTCTCTGTTCTCGAGAATTTGTTCTTTAATTCCAAGAAGTGCAACTTCTGGCGATTTATTTTTCTGAAAACCAAATTGTTCTTTTACTAAAATATTATTGAAGGTCAAAAACTTAACAAGTCTTTTATTTATAATGTGTTCGGCTACCTTTGCAAAAACTGAAAGTACAGAAATAGGTCCATAGTTGTTTAAGTCACAAACTGGGCCACCTTTGTGTATAACCGTCACACGTGCATGCTTCATTTTGTCTGGAAAGACACCCGTAGATAACATGAGGTTACAAACGTGCGCGAGTGGAATACTGACTGTGTCGCAAACGGCTTTTAACGGTTTTGGTTTAGTGTCGTCTGGCCCGGAGGCGCAATAATTTTTTTTAATGCTAGAATTAACTCCATTATTTCACACTGGTCTGTCGGATATAGAAAGAGGGAATCAAGACAGTTTGTCGATTTTTATTTAAAGGAGCACCAACAGCCACAAAATGCACATTGAACAGATTTGCTATCTGTTCATCCGTCAGCGCCTCATTGTAATATCGAACTTTTCTTGCCGAGGTATTTTTAGAAATGATCTCGTTTACTGTTTGCCATATCATGCGGGGATCTCCCATAACCTCTGAAAATTTGTTCATGTAATATTCGCATTTTGCTTTTTTTAATATCAGTTTAGTTTATTTCGGACTTTCTTAAATATGCAAAGGTCAATTTCGCTTCTCGTTTTTAGAAATATTTGAAATAGCTTGTTGCGGTTTTTAATTCTTGCATATAATTCATGAGATATCCATGGTTTTCGAGTTTTCTTGTTTTTTTTCGTGTCTTTAGGGGAAAAGAGGTGTTATACGCGGACACAAAGCAGGATAAAAAAAAAAAAAAAAAAAAAAAAAAAAAAAAAACGTCATAGGCTGTGTTTGCATCATTTTCTCTCAAAACACTATCCCAATCTAGGCAGGAAATAAGATCTTTGAAATGCTGAATATTTCGTTCCGAATAACCTGTAACCAGCTTTTTTTCTTTATTCTTGCGCAGCTGGTTAACAGGCATTAGACAGTATATCGGCAAATGATCACTGATATCTCACGTTAATACACCTGGTCTCAAATTCTCAATAGGAAGATTTGTAATGCAGAGGTCAAGGGTTGTCCCGGAAGTAGAGGTGATTCTAGTTGGTTCAGCTATTGTGTTTGTGCAACCATAAGATTCAAATATCTCTTGAAAGCGCAAATATGATACATTGTCCGCGGAAGCATTTATGTTAAGATCACCAACGAGAACCACCAGCAACCTCAGTTCTATGCTGTGTTCAAGCAGCGTTTCTGAGAAATGCAGAAAGTCATTTACGGATCCAGACGGAGGACGGTACAAGTGAGCAAACAAAATATCACGGCATTGAATCGAAACACACTCAACGTTGTCGTCTATAATTTTGTATTCAGGAACTATATTGTATGATAGCTCTGAGCGAATATACGTATATGGCAACACCACATTTCTTGCGCGGCACGCAGACACACAGTCGTAACCAGCCAGCTGGACGCACTCATCAGATGTAAACCACGTCTCACTAAAACAGATTATGTCAAAACATTGATTTAACTCAGATAAAAAAAGATTTACCTCGTCGAATTTCTTTCGCAAGCTTCTTGCCACTCACTCTCTCCTCTCCACTTCTCCGTACGGTGCGGGGATTTCGGTTTCGAGCAGTTGCGTTTTTTTGGCTTTATTAAAAAAATACTTGACTCTAGAGCAAAATATTAGTTGGGTAGTATTCTGACACCATAATAAATAGCCTGACAAAAAATCAAAAAAAAAAAAAAAAGACCGCATCTTTATGTGGTGAATGATGTTGATTGAGGCGAAGCTCTGGTGGTGCTGATGATACTGATTTTGTTCATAGGAGTGTCACGTGAAAATATTGCGTCCCTGATTGGCTGCAGCCGTTTCAAACGTCTTCGAATTGCTGCGAGTTGCTCGCTCGCTCGTTCGAGCCGGACCCGATCGCGTCGATCAAGGGAAAGCAAGGGAAAACAACCTCAAAATTACTGGAAAAGTTTCCCCGTCTGAAGCGGGCTCGCGAGCCCCCTACTCGTCCCGCAGTCGTGGCCGAGTGGTTAAGGCGATGGACTAGAAATCCATTGGGGTCTCCCCGCACAGGTTCGAATCCTGTCGACTGCGCAAACATTTTTTTTTTTTTTTTAAGGGCAACTCTATTTCATTTTTGATATTGAGAAAACTATGCAGCCCTCTTCAGCAAAGACCACATGCCAAGTATCGCGATGTAAATCCGTCTAAATATTTATTAATCTGGCCAGCAAACTTTCAAACGAGCCAAGTCACCGAAATCTGCTAACTCTAGCGCGCGACGTGAAGAGCAATCAACAGCGCTGTCAATACCACGGATTGATTTGGCGCAGCCAACAGTGAACCCCTACGTCAGAGGCATGACTACGTCAGTTCCATGGAGAATAGAAGGGTAGGAGAGGGCATGACGTCAGCCGCGTAGCCTCCACAAGGCATGCTCCCTTGACGCCTCGCCTCTTTCGCATTTTCCTCCTTACTCTCACCACATCACGTGACCGTAGCTAGCCCTCGTCTAGCTATGGTGTACTAGAATACACCACAGCCTAGCCTTCGATCTGATAAAACCTACCGGACGGAGCGCGCGCAAGCCTGCAAGGAATTCTCCTACAATCAACCATCCATCTCGCACGTGACATGTCACGCGCACCAATCGCCAGACAGATCTGCGGTCACGCTGGGCACAAAATCGTTTAAACTTTTTATGACTAGGCTTGCGTGCCCCCTCCAAGCGTTGCCCCCTCCTAACTTCTAACCTCCTTGGTCAGTTCTATGTTTTGGTTGTTTTTACTTCTCCGGGCAAAATTGAACGATGACGTCGTGAGTGTAACACGCATGCGCCAAGTTGGGAGCAGACGCACTCGTTTCCTCGTTTCGCCTCTGTTGCAGTAGGAGGACGGCGTTTTGTGGTTTTGTAGCGGTTCGAGCGCGGGCAGCATCCCCGAAGCCTAGCTGCGATGCCTGGCGAAAGGGCCATAGGCTCACGATGTTGTGTTGCTGCCTGCTTGAACTATCAGTTGACCAGCGCGGGAGTTGTTTTTCACAAGTTCCCTCGCGACAGTGCGCGTCTCATTGTTTGGACAGACATCGTGCGCCGTTGGAACTCCGAGAAGCCGTGGTCGCCAAAGAGCAGGACAATGATCTGTTCTGACCACTTTTTGCCGGAATGCTACCAGCGAGATCTGCGCTTGTTATGCGACGCTGGTTTTTCAACCAAGTACGCGCGTCTGGAGCCAAACGCCGTGCCATCGATCCTCGTTCCTCGATCCTCGCCTCCCCAAACAGCTGACGAATCATGCGTGAAGCGTCGTCGAACCGGGGGGGTACGTATATTCCTCGCTCACGTCGCGCTGGCCGATGCTTTTGTTTCTGTTCGTGCGGGCGAGCATGTGCGATCGCAAGCCTGTTGAGGCGACACTCACGAGCACGTCGCACGTGAACGCACGCGAACGTTTTGTGCTATATATCAGTGGAAGTGAGTGCGCGTGTCCGCGCGCGGGCTGGCGTGCTCTTGCAAACGCTCGAACGGCTGTACGAACTTTACCCAACACTGGACCGAACCTGAAATTCGGAATCGTAACTCTGAACACCGCCGTTATGTACTATAATATTAATACATTTCAATATATCTATGCTGTTACCAGAAAGCAGTACATTTAAGAGCAAATAAGTTGTTTTCAAAACCAGTAATCTGAACAGTATATCCGATCATCATTGCAAGTTAGACTAGAAAACTTTTCGTTTGTTTGGCGACCAAGATATTCCCCTTCTAATATAGGCATCCAATTGGTATTTATGTTGACACTTGTTGCACATCGTTATTTTTAGCACAGGGCAATTCTTTCCACCTCTACTCTCTCCTTTTCCACCCCACCAACATTCTGGCTGACTCCCAGACGGCCTGTCGGCACTTCCTTTTCAACACCCTGCATCTATCCACTGCGTCCCTACTCAACTCCTTCTTATCCTCCACCTCCCACACTTTCCGGTTAGTCTGGGTGCCTGGGCTGGGTGCTTGGGCATGCAGCCGTCCCTGGTAATGAGTGTGCTTGTGTACTCGCCCGAGAACTCTCACACCGGGAATCTGGGAAAGACTTTGCCACCATATGACCAACCGAACAACATCATCCTCCTCCTCAGCCTTCTCTTACTCGCAGACAGGGCGTTCTATGACATCAACTTTTTTCACACACTTCTCCACGTGGTCTGGTAATGCCAGAACATTCTGTCTCGCCTCTTCCCAACCCCTCCCCCACCTCCTGGGAGGGGCGGCAGACCGATGACGCGGCCACCGGCCAGCAATAGCAGGTGGACCGTGCCAAATTGGTGGCCGCCATTTTTGAGGCCCCGGACTTTGGGCTTCACCTGGGGATGCTGGAACCCATCCCTACAATAAAGTTTATTCATATTCATTATTTTATAACTTTCGCGCGGCCCTTACACTTAAGCTAGGCTATAGGGTGTGTTATGAACAAATCAGAGGCAATAAATATTGACTGATTGGTTTCACAGAGCGGTGACCACTGTAGCAGCAGCACACTGTCGAAGGACAGTAGCTTGCCAATGGTCACTACATTGGATGACGACTCAGAAGCACCAACATATGAGTCATCGCTGGATGCACCAGTGGCTCGAGAAGAACCTGTTGGTCAGAACCAAGCCAAAACAGCATGCCTTAGCCAAGTACGTATTTTTGTTTTCATTGGTGCAAATTAGCCATATCTTATGCATGAGCGTGGAGATAATATTGTTATCAGTAACGAAACATGTTTACTAATACTGAACGTGCGGGTCCTTGGCCCGCAACCAAAAGGTGAATCATCAACAGCGTCTCGCATTGTTTGATATAGGGTGGTGTCAAAAAACAAAATTTCACTTCCTTTGATTGCACTTCGGAGTGCAGGGGGGGAAGGGGGGCGGGGCGGGCTGCATTCAACATTTTCCTTATTCGTTACGTGGAGGCGCTTGTTTATGAGCGAAGTTTTGTGGTGTTGGTAAATCCCACAAAACCTAATGAGCATCTCTACCGACGGCAGAGCTCAAGAAGCACCATCAAAGACGCTCTTAGGCCTCATATACCTTAGTTCACTACGCTTTTCTGTCCATCAAAGTGGCCTTGCAGCACCCACTGGGGCCATTTTGGCCACTAGTGAGCCAATTCCTCAAGTAACAGATCCTCTAAGCTTCAAATAAATATCAATATGTATGAAAATTGAGTACCAGCCGATGCTCCTTTGCATTGCCGACTTCTTTGAATGGCGCAGCCAATCACAACGCAAAAAAAAAATTGCGCAAGCTGGAAAACATTGCCTCCGCCCGCAGGAAAGCAAAGGGCTAAGGCCCACAAACTAAGAATTCTACCGCGGGTTTGAGCAGAAGGTATGTCATGTGAAACCAGCCCATATGTACGCAAACTCAACTCTGTTATGTCACGGTGCGGTGGTGGCGCGTCGGGTGCACTTCCGGCATGGGCTGTGGGCGGAAGACCCCATGCGAGACGTGTATTACTGCATTGAAAGGAACCGGGCAAAAATCTGCCTTCTAGTCAAAATGCCGCAGCTGAGGATGTACCAAAAAGGTCAGTTTTCACGTGCTCGGTTCGTCCGAGAACGCGTATATGTGTCGTGAAAAGGGAAAACCAGACGCCGTCGTACTATGATTGCTTGAACGGGAAACGCTTTGGGTTGAAATCACGGATACTTGTAGTCATCAGCTTTGTTTTGTTCCAACATAACACCGAAGAACCGTCAAGTTGTGCGGACCACCACTACGCGAAGTTTTGCGGTGTAACGAGCCTTGCTAATTTCGCTGATTCCGCTCAAGTACCGTATTTTCCGGACTATAGTCCGCACCCGGTGTATAGTCCGCAGGAGGAAATTTGGGGTCAAAAATAAAAGATTTTGCTTAGATAGCCCGCACCCGGTGCATAGTCCGCACCTGGTGCTTAGTCGACACGAAAATCTTCTCATAGATGGCACACGTTTACAAATGTCTGCTTTTTAGCTCACAATAAAACCTATAATGTGCATAAATCATCATTAACATACACTTTCGTGCACAAAATTCGTCACGTCTCGTCATAATAAACAATCTTGAAAAAGATAATTCCTGTATAGTCCGCACGCGTAGATAGTCCGCACAGCTAGAAATTTCAACTTTTAAACATATATAGTCCGCAGACTATAGCCCGGAAAATACGGTAGTTGGAGATTGCCAGGAAGACATAGGATCAACAATTCGAACGCGAAAGAGGGCAGGGGAACTCACACCGACGCTTAAAAAGTTTAAAAGAGCAGGCAACAGTTCGAACGATCAGGCGGCCGTTTGAACTTGAAAAAGCACTGAACGTGGTCCGCACAACTTGACAGTTTTCTGGCGTTCATGTTGGAACAAAGCAAATAAATGTGATGACCACAAGTATCCATGAATTCAACCCAAAGTGCCTACCGCCCAAGCAATCGTTGTCCGACGGCGTCTGCTTTTCCCTTTTCACAGCACATATCCAGATTCTCGGGCGAATCGAGCACGTGAAAACTGACCTTCAAACCTTTCTCAAGACTCTTGGTATGGTCCCAGTAGCGGCGTTTTGACGAGAAGGCATGTTTGTGTCTAGTTCCTTTCAAAATAATGCAGGAATACACGTCTGGCATGGGGACTTCTGCCCACCGCCCAAGACCGGAAGTCCGCCCGACGTGCCACCAGCGCGCCGTGACGTCGCAGAGTTGAGTTCGTGTATACCGGTTGTAGTAACTATCGCACTGCTTTTACAGAGCGGGAACCAGGCTTCCGCTTCAGGGCCAGGGTGCAACAGCAGCACCGCCGCTTCGTGCGACACCGTGCCAGCAACTACTGCAATTGATGGCCATTTTGGACCGCACTTGGAGTCGTCCATCTGCCGCATCTGTATGTGTGTGGTAACGAGAGGTATGTAGTGACTTGGTTCACCTTATCGTGTAATGACAGAATACCTTTATCTGTCTCTCTCTCTCTCTCTCTCTTTGTGCAATATTATTCGAGTCTATATCTGAAATGTAATGTTTTTGGTGTGCCAGGTACACGGACACTGTCTGTGGACAAAGCTGTGCAAGCTTTCGAGGAACTTTGTCAGACCTCGACTGAAAATCCGGCACTGCCAACATCCTCCGGTGAGTAGCTGTGGTGGCTTAAGAATATAGTGCCATCTACGTAATACAATTGTGACGAGAGTTTTAATAGTATACATAACATAGATGCATTATGTCCATGTTTCCCCCAGTTTATTTTTCGTCAAATTTGGAAAGTGTTACTTGGACTTCATTCTTCTGTGAAAACAATTTTTAATAGTGTAAAATATTTACAATGAGCTCATCTATGCATTTCAAAACAAGCAAGTGTGCTTGTATTTACTACAAGCTTGCTGTAATAAATACAAGTGCACATGTTTGTATACGCATGAAAGTAAATGTCGCCTCGCTGTTGCAGGTGCCACAGAAATGTGCCATGAAGGCGCAGGTTGAACAACATAGTAGTATACACCAACTCATGTTTACAGACAAACCGGAACGCCCCTAGCGGACGCCACCGTCGCCGCGCGTGCGCGATGGGGGTGTGGGCATGAAGCTTGCCGTCGCCCATAAACAAACCATTGAAATGCGATGTTGTCGGCGTTGGTGTGAGTCCCCCTGCCCTTTTTAGCGTTCAAATTGTTGATTCTACGTCTTCCTGGCGATGTCTGACTATCTTGAGCGGCTTCAATGGAATTACCGAAGCTCGTTACACCGCAAAACTTCGCGTGAATAATGTGGCATGTGGCGATTCAGTCCGCGTGGACGCCGCAGTATTTACGCTAAAACCTGATTTGCATGATGAGATTTCGCTCGCAATTTATAGTCACGACGCCGCTCGGGCTGCAAAAGCGTGAACCGTAGCTGAGATGGTCGACGTCGATACTGAAAATCGCAAGCAGAATCGGACCAAGTGAATTAGGCATAACAAGTCGGTGATGGTCACTGGTAACAATGACCAACATCTCCTTGTATCTACTGTTTACATCGAGCCTGCTTACCAACCTTCAAAGTTAAGTCTTTTGAGGCCTGCACTTACTTCTCATCGCAAGTACCGGGCCAACATTTAATCTACGGGCCAGCGTCGTCTAAGAGAGCAGACGACAAGCAGAAACGTTTGAAAGAGCAGACGACAGTTCGAACGATCAGGCGGCCGTTTGAACTTGAAGACGCACTGAACTTAGTCCGCAGGTGGTCCGCACAACTTGACGGTTTTCTGGCGTTCATGTTGGAACAAAACAAATAAATCGGATGACCACATGTATCCGTGAATTCAACCCAAAGTGCTTCCCGCCTAAGCATCCGACAGCGTCTGCTTTTCCCTTTTCAAGGCACATATCCAGATTCTCGGATGAACCGAGCACGTGAAAACTGACCTTCAAACCTTTCTCTACGCTTTTGGTACGGCCCCAGTCGCGGCGTTTTGGCGAGAAGGCAGGTTTTTGACTGGTTCCTTTCAAAACAACATAGGAATACACGTCTGGAATGGGGTCTTCTGCCCACAGTCCCAGACCGGAAGTGCGACCGACGCGCCACCACTGCGCCGTGACGTCACAGAGTTGAGTTTGTGTATAGGAACTTCGGCTTCATGCACCCCCTTCAAGTCACTTTACCCGTACCCACTGATGGAACTATGCTGTCCATGGTGACTATGGTCTGAACTTGAGACTGGAACACCAGCTAGCACCGTTAGACGTACAGCCTTATTTCTGCCGTGACCTAGAAATACATTGCCTCGTTCTCTGCAAAAAACAGACACCCGTCTTTCTCACGACCGACGACCCTTCGCACTGATCCAACCTGATCTTTATTGCGCGCTTTTTTCTTTTCCCCGGTCGGTGTGACCTTCAGAATCTAAATTTTTTCGGATAAATTCGAATTGACAAAAGTTTTACGGGCAAATGGTTTTTGGATTTTATCGGCTTTATTTAAAAACACAGAACCACCGTTATATCTTAACCATGGTGTTGAACCGCCGATTTTGTGTTTTGTTCTGGTTCGGTCTCGGTTCCAGCATGCCTGCTAAATATTAGTTTGGTTACTGCCGCTACCAAGCATGAACTGGTTCCAACCAGTTCATGCTTGGTACACTACCTTCGACTGTGGCCATTCATGCATTTCCCTCATCTTTCGTTGAGCCTGGGCTATTTGCAGTAGCATGGCAGAAAGGTGGGGACCTGATGTTTTTATTGTGTCAAAATAAACTTGGAAGGGTGAGAGTGACGGATATATATTTTTGCTCATCAATTGTGAAAGCTGCACTGCATCACGAGTCATGTCATGCACACTGTTACTGTGCGTGTTAAACAGTTTTTCAATAAACGAGGAATCGCCATGCACATCTGATCGAGTTCTGGTTTGGTCAACAATAATTGCTTTGATCCCGTTTTTGGTTCGGTTTAGTTTTGACACCATAATGTTTGCTCTGGCATTCAATCTTTTCCAGGCGTGGAAAAGATTGAATTCCCTGAGGTGTCAACTTATGTCCAAGAAATTGAAGTTGCTGCACTGAAAAATTCATTTGTTTTTGTTCGGTTTCCAACCTGCATCTTGTAGGCGAGGTAAGCCTTGTCTTAGGCGGGCATCATGCTCTTCAGTTGTGCACGCGAAGTTGAGCACATCATCCAGATTGACAATGGTGCCTGTTGTGTCCCAAAGAATACAGTTCTTCATCTTTTGAAAAACCGGAGCAGTGGAAGCCAGCCCAAAACATACTGTGAACAGAAGAGACTTTCATGAGTCACAAACGCAAGGAGGTCCCCGCTCTCCTCTATCAGGTTCAGCTAGTGGTACGCTGACGAGAGGTCCCGCTGGTTGAAGACGTGGGTGCCAGAAAGCTGGTGAAGGAGCTCGTTTGGACACAGAAGAGGACGTGAATTGAGAACAACAGAAGTGTTTGATTTGCGGAAGTGGTCTGTGATGCATTAATGCGCTCGATCACCCAGGAGTGCTCCAACTTTGCCGGCTCTACAGGAACTTTGTCACGCAGTGCAAAAGTTATCCTTCATAGATTCTGTTGCACCAGACTGATGGACGCTTCGTCTTCACCTTGTGAGCATATCCAATGGTGTGGCCCGTACCTGAGAACAGCTGGAGGAAACCTTTGACGGCCTCTGGAAGGTTGTTTCCCGAAACGATAGTCACCTGTCCTCCGCAGGAGATGAAAAGTCCAGTTGAATTTCCAACCCTCGTAAAGCATTTATAGTCCCATTACGGATGTCTTGTTCGGACAACGTGGAATGTGCAATCGCCATTTCTTTGCGCCAACTGTACTGGTGAGCTGACTTTTTTCAAAATGTTTGGGATAGCAATGTTTTTTTATGGAGTAGCCAATGAATACAGTACTTGTAGGTTGCAACTTACAAGAATGGAAGCATCTTCTGTAGACGCTTTCCAGAAGGATTGAAACCGAGGGTCTTGTGTCTACTAGGAGTTTGATAAGAAGGAACGCAAGTATCCTGCACGTGGTACAGTTTGCTGGTATCTGAGTTGGTATACTTCAGTTTGTTCTATGCTTGGTACTTGTGATCCTGTCAAAACTGTTTGCTTGCAAACAAAGGCAAAATGTCCAATCTTGCATTTTCTGCATGCTTGATTCCTTGCAGGACATTTAGGGTAGTCTGCCATGTGGTGCATTGAACCAGATCTGCAGTACATGCTGGACGACCTTTGATTGGGTGTTTTGCCCCTAACTATTGGTTTCTTTTGGGCTTGAATCTTTGCCAGTTGAAAACTGAGTCCCGCATCTTTGGTAAACACTTTGGCCTCCTTCATTGCCTGCTGAACTTTTGAGGTGATGGCAAGAGCTGATTCGAGTGGTATCTCAAGCTCTAGTAGTGGGCGGTTTCGGACTTCGGCATGAATTGTCTTATTGGCAAGTTTATTGCAGATTATTTCATACGTTATTGTCCCAAACCTGCAGTTTGTCGCAAGGCCCCGGAGAACGTGACACACTCTTGTACTGTTTTGACCGGTCATCCATGTGTGCAACGAAAAATAAATCTTTCCAATGTTTTACTGTGAAGAATTTTTGCAACTCTCTTGCCACTGCATCATAGGCTCTGGAAATGGGCGATGCAGGTCTGCGCGATTCGTAGGTAGCTCCTGCAGTACTTGCACTTAGATGAGTGGTAGCAGTGGACAAGGCAGAATCTTCCGGCAGTTTGCGGCAGGTCCGCTGACCCTCAACTTGAAGTGAGCTAAATAGAATGGCAGTTCTGCCATTATCTATTGTCGACCCATTGGAAGGGATCGTGTACTGGCGTACAATTCCTCCATGAAATCGCAGACTCGCCTGGGTATGGTAGGAAAGACGGGTGGATGAACCTTTATAATCGAGTTGAAACTGTCGATTGTGACAATTGTTATGTATAGGGACTGTCTATGCAAGTTTAACAGAAGGCAAGCTGTTCCCATTCCGAGCTCGGTTCGTTCATTCTTATTCATTGTCTTCTTCGGCTCAACCTACACGTAGACACAACAATTTAGGTAATTCAATATTCCTTCCTCCCCCAAAACAAACACCTGGCTATGTGCCTTCTTCGATCCAAGGTACCATGAGCACAACTAATGTTTGCAATATTCGCGACTCCAGCTAAGTCTAGGGGGTATGCTGGTCAGGCAAAATGGTGGTCAAAAGGAGGTCGTTTTCATCGTTTAGCACGCGGACCACCATAAATTTCTTGCACTGCAGCGTAACATCTGTGTTACATAAGAAAGCAAAATGATTTTTCGACAGTAGAAACCTTCTAGTCAATGCGTAGGAATGACACGGCAGAAACATAAATATAATCACTGGAAACAGTGTTTGTATCTATGCTGGCTACGAGAACCAAGCTGCGATAGCAGAAGACAGAATCAAAATGACCTCCTCTCTTGAGCTTCTCGGCGGTGCCGCTACGCAGCGTCGATAGATTTTGTTGGAGTCGCCGACACACTAAGCGGGATTTACAGGCTGTCTTACAGTGTGGTGCATTTATATTTGATATGCTATAAAAGTTCTGGTCTTACTTGTTCCGATCCCGAGCTGCTGGCTCCAAATATGTTGGGCGAAAAAATTTCTGCTGGTCGTACGCTATGTTCAGCAGTTGCACATCCAGACA